CAAATTCATGTAGTATTCCATATCTTTTAAGCATGTAAGTACTGAAAGAATTACTGGTAAGCTTAGAAAAGCAGCAATATTAATGTCTTTTTGGCACTTATTAAAACCATACTTATCACCCTCCCACACTTTTGCAGATGTTTAATTTCTAGTAGGCTGGTTACTGATTTTAATTCTGATTTGGGTTTTAGCTGCATTTTATATGTGGTCATGTTCATGCTGATGCCGTAATTGAAAGCTGTGTTCACTACCCTGTGAATGATGTGAAAGGCAGACTAGAGATGTCTTAATAAATAAATAAAATCATGAGGCTTGCAGGAAGAAAACTAAAGTTGTGTGCCACCACTAAAGAGGCCTTGCTGGATACTCTCTATGATCTCACTTGACTAAAAAGTAGGCAGCCAAGATCTAGGAACATGCGAAGCTGTCATATACCAAGTAAGACCATTGGTCCATCTAGCCCATTTTGTCTACAGACTGGCAGTGGCTCTGCAGGTTTTCAAGCAGGGGTCTCTCCCAGCCTGACCTGGTGATGCTAGGGATTAAACCTGGAAGCTTCTGCATGCAACGAAGGTTCTACCACTAAACTTAGTCTCTTCCGCATCTAAGAATCCAGGTTGTTATGGCTTTAAAGGTCAGAATCAGGATTAGTTACATGTCATTTTAATTACATGTCACAATGAGAGATACAGACTATTTATTTCTATGTGAATCGTTTCAGTAATTTCAAAACAAAGCCCATGCATTTCATAAAACATACAGTAATATTCTAGAGTAGAGACCCCTTTCTAGAAAAGTGCCCTGGGATGGCTGCCTACTTGCCAGCCTACCTGCCTGCTTGATCCCTCAGTTATGAGTTTTCCAGGAAGCAGTGGTTGGGTCTGGGAAGCTGACTGCCACTTTCTCACAGTGCTCCAGAGCAATGCTAAGTTGGGCACTCTACGGCTTTGTGGAAAAATGAAAATGGTGTATGAGTTCAAACTGCTGCTGCCATAATCCACAACCAAGGGACTAGGCAGCAGCAGTAGTGATGGACTTTGGGCTTTCAAATTTTAGAGGCACCCTGTGCGACACCAAAATTCAGTGCCCCACTGCCTCTCACCTTCCACTGTTTGTCATTGTTGCGGTGCCCCCTGTGGTTCCCTTCCAGCTTGGCACCCATGGAGGGAAAACCAGTTGTACTCCCCTAAATCCGCTTCTGGCAGCAGGCAGACCAAACAGCAGCACTAGTGTGCATCCCGACAGGGCACTTAGGGCTGAATAACTGTTTATTTCACTAATCCTCATCTCAGTAATCCTTACAACAACCCAATAGCATAGTATTTTTATCCTTGCATTGCAGAATGAGGGAGACTTGAGATGTTAGTTTGCCTAAATTTAAAACATGTATAGCCAACAAACTGCCCTCCAGATGCTATTGGAGTGTAACTCCCATAATCCTTGGCCATTGAACATCCTGGCTAGGGTTGATGGGAGTTGTAGTCCAAGAACTTCTGGTGGGCATCACATTGGCTTCCTCTGGTCTAAAAAGTTGTTTACTGGATTCAGGGCAAAAGCAAGTTTTGAACCAGCAGTTTTTGATTTATTTAGCACCCCAAATTCACACATTATAGTATCTCTTGGTTTTCTATCCTTGAAGAGGTTGATTCTCCATTGTGGGTTTCAGTCCTTTTTAGGGCAATGATTGCACAATATAACAACTGCATAACCTACAAACTATCACTCCTTCACTGCCTTGTTATAAATGAAGTACACTTGTATAATGGGAACATCAGAATTTCAAGTGACTATTGGAATTTATCAGCAAGTGGTTGTGTTTCTAGCTTTTCCCATTAAAGCAGGATGCCCTTTTTATCAGCACTGTATATTTTCTGCTCAGAGTATTCTGTGAAATACTCAAATGAGTATTTTTCCAAGTCACATGATGTCTTCTTGGAAGGACCATCTTGCTTTCTTTAATCTTTGTCAGGCTTAAATATCACTACACAACACTCACAGATGTGGTTTGGGATTCTTCTGTTCCTGCTTTTCTCTACTTTCATCACTGTTGCTGTTTTGGTGGAGTGGATCAAAAGCCTTTCCATAGGCTGCTCTATACAAGCTATATGTGATGGCTTGTTTTATTTGGCATTCTTTTCCAGTGTGCGATTCATTGTCATCAGGTTGATTCATAGTTAGGAAATTACTCTGAATCCTGGCAGGGCTTGTGGTTGATTAAAGTCCAGAAGTTTGTGAGTGAGTCTACCAGCACCTATTTGGGTCCATTTACAGTTGTGCACATTAAAGACTACTGATAAATAGATGTGCAACACACACAACTGGCTCAGAAACTAGCACATAATGTCTCTTAACAGTATTTCCAAATTATTATTAGAACATGTTCTACCATGTCAGACCAAAACTCAATGCAACCCAGCATTCTCTTTTGAGCAGTAGCAGCACAGCAGTCACCAGCCGGCTGGCCAGCCAAATGCCTCTCTGAGTAACTGGAAGCAGTTCATTATGGTGTTAATTGTTTGTTCTCAACATCTAGTATTCAGGAGTATATTGTATCTAGACATGGAGGTTTGATTTAGCTGCCATAGGGAATAATTGTGAATAGACGTAGCCCTCATGAATTTGTTTAATCCTGTTTAAAAGCCAGGTAAGCTAGTGGCTATTGACACATTCTGTGGCAGCCAATTCCAGAATTATGTATTGTGTGAAGGATCACTCTATTCTATCACTTTGGAACTTGCTGTCAATTCATTTTACTGGGCAGCCCTGAGTTTCTGTATCATGAGAAAAGGGGGAGGGGTCCATTTTAAAAGCATTCAGGATTCAAACACAGCTTATTAGCCCTCATCCAGTCTACCACTGCATCCAGACACCAGTCCAGGGTCCTCTCAGCCATTCCCAATTCAGATGTTACAGCTATTTTGTAACTGGTGCCCCTCACACTTTCTCGAAATTCTACTGGCCACTAAAGGTTAGCAACCCCTGCGGTATAGGGAGGGTCATGTTTACAGTGGTACCTCTGGATGCGAACGGGATCCGTTCTGGAGCCCTATTCGCATCCTGAAGCGAAAGCAACCCGTATCTGCGCGTCGCAATTCGCCGCTTCCGCACATGCGCATGACATCATTTTGAGTGTCTGCGAATGCACGAGCGGCGAAACCCGGAAGTAACATGTTCTGTTACTTCCGGGTCGTCGTGGAGCGTAACTTGAAAACACTCAAACCGAAGCTACTTCAACCCGAGGTATGACTGTATTCACTTATGCCAGTTTCTTTTTTTTTTAAGTACTAGGTGGGTGCTACTGATTCTAATAGTTTAGTGAAAAAAGCTGGCTAAGAAGCTGGTTCCACAACTCCAAGACAACATAGCAGATGGGTGAAAAATCTATTCTACATAGAATTATGTAGTAAATTAATCCTGGAGTGTACTACTTCAGATTGCAGGAGTGCAATCTCCTTCCCAATGCACTTGACTGCAATCCCATCTTGCTTTATTCACCTATTTGTGGATATCCTTCAACATTCTCAAAAGTCAGATCTGGTTGCCTTCTACTCATTGGAAAGAATGATGTTGCAGAGAGGTGTGTGCCATTTTTTTAGGGCTTCTGTAAAAACCTCCCTTCACACAGTAGGCAAGTGCATTAAGGAGAGGACTATGTTAAGCTTTTTATAAAAATACAGTAACATTCAAAAATATGCAGAACATACCCCACACATGCATTCTGAAGTGGTACTCTCCAGAATTCTTCTAATTAATTCTGCATAATTTTAGGCATAGCCATGTTTTATGACTGGGCTCTTTCCCACACTGCCTGTGTAAATGTAAGAAACTAGAATTGCTCTTATTACAGTAGTACCTTGGGTTAAGAACTTAATTTGTTCTGGAGGTCCGTTCTTAACCTTAAACTATTCTTAACCTGAGGTACCACTTTAGCTAATGGGGCCTCCCGCTGCCACCGCGCGATTTCTGTTCTCATCCTGAAGCAAAGTTCTTAACCCAAGGTACTATTTCTGGGTTAGCGGAGTCTGTAACCTGAAGCGTCTGTAACCTGAAGTGTATGTAACCCGAGGTACCACTGTACTGGCCCTGCTCATGTACCTAAAACATTAAGAGAACATACAGATTTAGCCAATAAATCACCACCCCTGCCACTCCACATCTGCTCTCCATGCCAGAAAAAAGGTTGAGAGAAAAGGTGGTGACTCTTATCAATAACTGTGAAAATTGTACTGTATTCAGTTAGTGTATGTAACACCACACACACACACAGCCTTATTTACTGCCAAGCATTTGTTCAGAACCCTATTGGGTCAACTAGGGTTGCCATACATCTGGAATTTCGGGATTCGGTCGTCAGGAACAGTGTCCAAAATCACCGAAAGGTCTGGGAAAATCCAGTTACATATGGCAACCCATCTTGGAAGTGCCAATTTTGGCCAATTCCAGAAAAAACTTCATTTTTTAAACTGAGATTTTGCAGAAAAAGCTCAACAACTTTTGTCTCCAGATTTTAACTTTCTGAAATATGGCAACCCTATCCTTGGTTTTCTTCATCATTTACAACAACTCTCACGACCACTAGGGCGCAGTCTCTCTCACCACCTGCTGCAAGGAGACGCCATCTCCTATTATGGAACCTAGCAGACTCCCCACCCCCTACTTTTTTTGCTTTTTGAGCCCTTGTGGTTTGGTTATCCAGCAAAGTTAAGTCGGTTAAAGAAACCCAATAACATAATTAGGCTATTTTGCAAAATTAGTACGAAGCAGGTCTGCAAGCTTTAAGTCTACTGATTAAATCAATTAAACCACGAGAGCTTTCCTTATAGATTAGCATTTCCCCGGCATCCCGTCCCACGACTAATTGGTGGGCTGAGGGTAAATGCCTCCCCATTGGGCTTTCTTCTCTTTGGACCACATCTGATGAAAAAAAAGAAACTTCAAACAAAGCTTTTCCTTCCACTTTCCAGCCAAAGCCTGCGCATATTTTGCATTTCAGGGTGAAACCGCTAGGGATTTTCCTCAAGCAATAGAAACCACAAGCAAATGAAACAGCGCTCAGCTGAAACTGGGGGTCAACGTATTGTTTAAAACATGGCTCAGTCAGTAGACAGGTGGCGAGTTTCTCTTACCGCATATTCTGTCCTAACTCAGGTGGGGAGTTCATGGCAGGTGTTATGGTGGCAATGAGCAGTTGAGAGGATCCAGGAGCAGCAGCCTCCTTACTCACAGGAAACTGACTGAAGCGGACTCGGCCAGTGGCTCAAATTCCTTGAAGTCAAGACATGGAGCGGTTGAATGATTTGAGGCCTGCTCCTCCCAACAGTCCTTCCAGGCAAGAAAGGGGGTGAAGCGGCCACAACAGTTGAAGGATTTGAGGCCTAGTGCTCCCACTGTCTCTCCCCAGGCCAGATCAGGAAGGTTGAAGTGGCCGAAACTTGAAGGATTTGAGGCCTAGTCCTCCAACTAGCTCTCCCCAGGCCAGATCAGGAAGGTTGAAGTGGCCGAAACTTGAAGGATTTGAGGCCTAGTCCTCCAACTGTCTCTCCCCAGGCCAGGCCAGGCAGGCTGAAGTGGCTGAAACTTGAAGGATTTGAGGCCTAGTCCTCCAACTGTCTCTCCCCAGGCCAGGCCAGGAAGGCTGAAGTGGCTGAAACTTGAAGGATTTGAGGCCTAGTCCTCCAACTGTCTCTCCCCAGGCCAGGCCAGGAAGGCTGAAGTGGCTGAAACTTGAAGGATTTGAGGCCTAGTCCTCCAACTGTCTCTCCCCAGGCCAGGCCAGGAAGGCTGAAGTGGCTGAAACTTGAAGGATTTGAGGCCTAGTCCTCCAACTGTCTCTCCCTAGGCCAGGCCAGGAAGGCTGAAGTGGCTGAAACTTGAAGGATTTGAGGCCTAGTCCTCCAACTGTCTCTCCCCAGGCCAGGCCAGGAAGGCTGAAGTGGCTGAAACTTGAAGGATTTGAGGCCTAGTCCTCCAACTGTCTCTCCCCAGGCCAGGCCAGGAAGGCTGAAGTGGCTGAAACTTGAAGGATTTGAGGCCTAGTCCGCCAACTATCTCTCCCCAAGCCAGGCCAGGAAGCATTGAAGAGGCCTAATTACTGACCTTCACACAACCTGAGGCCTTTTATTGAGGTGGGGGGGGGGAGGGGGAGAGAGGAAAAAAAAAGACTGTTTGTTTGGGTTGCACCACTTTGAATTGCAAGGGGTAGTTCACCCAAGGACTGCTCCTCACTACAGAAGCGTTCCCTCCCCGCAGTAAACTAAAGGTGAGTCCGGACAGAAAGCTTTCTCCCTTCAATCTAGATTTCTATGTGCAGGGATTAATTAAAAATAAATAAATCAGGCAGGAGCTTGGAGTCCCTACCAGCATTTTGAAATGGTGCAGCCCACATTCAGGGTTATCATACCTTTTTAGTGGGAACTAGTCCATAAACTGGTGCTCTGCCCTGAGATGGTTCTGTTTTTGTGTGGAGGAATTCTGTAGAACTCTCTCTCTAGGAAAAAACTAGCAAAAGCCCTTCGTTACCAACTTGTAGATATCAGGTAAGAAATGTTGCATTTTGGGCCTGCGCCTTGTAATCTAATGTGATTCTTGCTGCTATTGGGTGGTGGTGGTTGTTGGCCTAGAGTGCCACTTTACTTGCTTTATACGATTGTGAGACGTCGTTTTGGGTAAGAAAGGTGGGACTAAAAAATAATAAATAAAAATAGAATTGAATGCTCTAGGTTGCATATGAAAAGATGGGGAATGGTGAGGTCTGGTGTTAGGTATTAAGTAGGGTGTCCATATGTATTGTTTTTTAAAAAAGAGGAACTGATTAACTGGCTTCCCTCCCCCAAAAAGGGCGGAAGATGGCACATATCTGTGTAAATTTGCATTTGCTAATTCATATTTATAAATAACAGTTTAGAAACAGTTGCTGTGTTTTAAGTAGAAATGTAATACGTCTCATTGTATTGGGGGAGACCGACCTGCTTGTCTGCTCAGTCTGCTGTTGAGGTGCTAACTGTTAATGGGAAACTGCAAGGCCCCTACTCTTTCTTTTCTTTGTAGCTTGGGAATTGCGTCCACAATAATCAATAGGAAAACCATTGAAGCATATGATTTTGTACATCTGATCATTTGTGCCTTCTGAATGTGAATTCAGCAGCCAAGTTGTTCATCAGGGCAAGAGAGTTTCTGCATATGGCCCACTGGCAAGTAGTTTCCAGGCCCAATTCAAAGTGCTGTTTTTGACTTATAAAGCCTTAAATGGCTCAGGACTTCCTCTCTCCTTATGACCCTACCTGGACCCTGATATCATCATCTGAGACAATCCTTAATGTACTGCCTCCACAAGAGGTCTGGCGGGGGGCCATACAAGAACCAGCCTTTTCTGCAGTGGCTCCACTTTTGTGGAATGCTCTCCCCAGGTAGACGCCAGGCAAAAGCTCTCTTTTTCAACCAAGCCTTTGGCTGATTAACATCTTATACCCCTTTTAAATGTGTTTGGTGGGGGGCATATTGGTTTGTGTTTTTGTATTGCATTTTTACAATATACTTACAAGTTTGTACAGTATACAGACTTAATAAATAAAATAAATTAGCAAAGAGTAATGATATTGCTTCAATTTTGGTTTTAGCCCTGTACACCACTAGTGCGCATCCCCAAGAATTTTCTCCCAGGAAACTAAGAAAAAAGTTCCTCACCCCCGCCATATGCCTTATTAGATCAGATGCTACCTGGATTATTGACTCATGATATCATAACCTCAGTAGAAACCTTGTGTGTGGACATGTCCTAAAATTCATATACCCACCAAACTGCTGATGATACACAGCCAACAAACTACTCACACCGGTTTACTTCTGCTTAAATCGCTAGGACTCGACTACAATGTCCAAGTACTCTGATGTAAGTGGTCTGTGGACAGCAGCCAAAGTCAGCTCCACCACTTAATAAGGGAGAGGAAAGAGACGGCATTCTGAAATGAAACCTCATGATTGCATGTCATCCTCAATTAGGCATAAGGATAAAAGGCTAAAAATATACCCAACACCAATCCCGATTTAGGCTCATCTAGCACACTGTCTGCTTATCTTTTTTTTTAAGCAGATGTACTAATGGAATTCCACCAGCAAGAGTTGATCAAAACCACCATCATGCTTTTTTAAAAATGGACAAAATAAGTTAAAACAAACAATGCATACCAAACGCTCATGCCAAGAGCCTTTCTGTCAAATTGTTGGAGATACTAGCAGTTATTCAGCATCATTTGCAAATGTTTCCCTTTCTCTAAACATAAGAAGCATCCTTAATATAAACAACAGCTTCTCCTTTTAGAAGTCCAAGGAGCCAGGGAAGCCATACAGCTGAAAAGGGAATGAATGAATGAATCACTTACAGATATGGGTTTTGTTTTTTTATCCTGATCCTGTTATTTTGATAGTATAGGCTCTACCTTTTGCAAGTGCTTCGAGATGAACATCTTTAACACATAACCTCCTGTCATAGGAAATGATTTGTGATCATGATGCAGGCTGAAAGTCCCTAGCAAAGGTGGTGCGACTCGCAACACCATCTTGCTCTCTGGGATCTTGCTGCTTGTAACCACAACTACAAACACTCTTGTTTAACAGGAGGTTCCACCCTCTGGCCCAATCTAGTATCTGAAATCTACCCCCCCCCACGCCCTCCTTGAAGAGCTTTGGTGGAAAGAAATCTATTACAGGAAGGCAGCCCCTGGGGCCAGCACCTGGTTTATGTTAGCCTAATACAGAGTAGCCATTTATTTTTCTGTACCGCAGAATATACGAAGGCCTGTCTCTGCTTTTCTCCATTCAAGCCAAAGGTAATAGACAAATTCTCTATTCCACCTTAAAATGTAGTATTTAGCAACAGAAAAAGATCAGCAAAATAATTGGCAATTGTAGTATTATGGCCTATTTTAGGGTTCAGTGATTTAATCATTGTTTAGATTTATCAGCAGTTTTTTTAAAAAGAACTAAGAAGATGCCCTAAGTAACCTCACATCTGTTGTTGTTGTTGTTATATTTAATGCAAGTACATGAAGGAATTCATGTACTAAAATTATTGGGCCGGCTACATCATATACACGTTTGTCTAAAAACATGTTTCTCGTTTCACAACGGTTGTTTTTATCTGTATGCAAAAATAACTGTTTGATCAATTAGTCAAACAAAACTATTTCAGTTAAATAATAATGTACTTTGGTGTGCATATAGTTGGAAGTGTGACCCCTCACCCATCTGTTACGGATTCTATAGCTGTGATTCCTGCATTGCAGGGGGTTGGACTAGATGACCCTTGACACTCCATGACCTAAATATTTTGCAGCTGTAAAAAGCTCATGCAGGACATTCATTTAATCTAACCAAAAAGCTGTCCATTGCAAGATCAATACAGTTTTTGTGATACTGTTCTGTAATTTTTGTAGGCCTGTTGCAAGATACGGTAAATTTTGTGAGCTCAATTCACTTTGTGCCAATGGCTGTTCTTTGCCATTAAAATGTAAAAGGCAGCCTAAGGATTTCAAAATAGCAAGATATTGTCTAGATTGGTATTTAGTGACAGTGCAATTAAATCGTGTTGTGTTTTACAAACGCAGTAAGCAAATCTCAGTGCAGAATCCTTTTAATTGCTTTGTGAAGCTTGGAATCTCCAGTGACCCCCCACTCCAGTTTTGAACTTTATATGGATGCTGTAGTCAAATGAAATAGCACAAAGGTAGAAGGATAAATCCTGGGACAAGAACTTGGGGCTGGTAGTATAAAAGCAGGAACATTCTGGCTCTGACTACAGTGGCTGTTACATATTTACAGTGAGAAGGATTTTGGCTGCTCCCCGACTGTTACTGCCCACTGTGTTGCCAATGGATATTTGGATGTGTTTCTTAAGCTTGCCTTGCCATATGTATTCTGTTATGGGAGGGGTTTATTGTTATGAACTGACACCTACCCAGACCAGCTGGTCTCCAGCTAGGATTGTTTGCTACTGTTTCTTGCCATGCCCTGGTCGGCTCAAACTGCTTTTTTTTTTACAATCGCATGAGTTGTGGAAATTCAACAGGTGAAGTGTTTTCTAGCATGCTGTGATGGAATCAATTCCTGCTATTGGTTTTGTGCCTCCGAAGCAGCTAAAGGCATATGTTGCCACTTGCTGGAATAAATATGTCTGGCGGCAACCCTAGATATTACTCCTGTCTCTCTAAAATATGTGGAAGAGCTTTCCAAATATAACAAGCAGACGTCAGATGAAGTGCAGGTTTGCTGGAGGTCTGGAGAGGAATTTATTGTAGAGAATGTACATCTATTTTGTCCAACCGGAACAGTGCTTACTGCTTGTGGGGGGATGGGGACCCTTTGCACTTTGAAGATTCGGTCTATGGCAGGTGATGTGAAAGACTGCCTAGTATAAGGCAGTTTTCTATGTCCCTGTCAGCTCAAAGGTAAAGTTGCAATAAGGTGAGGATCTGGAGGTCTTGCACAGCAGTCTCCCAATAACTGATGCAGATATTGTTTGATGCAGCATCAAAAGTGGATAGTTCAGTTGGTTAGAGTGTGGTGCTGATAATGCCCAAGGTTGCAGGTTTGATCCCAGTATGGGGCAGCTGCATATTCCTGCATGGCAGGGGGTTGTACTAGATCAGGCTTCCTCAACCTTGCTCCCTCCAGATGTTTTTGGCCCATGATCCCTAGCTAGCAGGACCAGTAGTCAGGGATGCTGGGAATTGTAGTATCAAAACATCTGGAGGGCCGAGGTTGAGGAAGCCTGTACTAGATCATCCTAATGGTTCCTTCCAACTTTACAATTTTATGATTCTATGAGATATAATTGATAATGGAGCAGCGAGATCAATATGAAGTTAAAGGAATGGACTCACAGAGGACCACACCATGTGGGCCAAGAAACTAAAATGTAACCAAGCAAGACAAGTATTTATTCATTTTATTTTTATTTATCCCACTCTTCCTTCTGAAGAAGCCTAAGTATTCTTGGTGAGTAGGACCCTTGAGCCTACAACAGGGTACAGCTAATTTTGGACAGGGGTTCACAGTTCTGGAGTTCTATTTGGACCATCCCTTGCTCCTGTAGATCCAGAGGCTAAATCTATATGCAATATATAATAACAATCTCAATGATAGTTCTGGTGGTTGTCATCAGGAGTGCTTTTGCAGTTTAGCTAGTGAGCCAACTGCATCTGTTCCTGGAGAAGGAAGACCTGGGTGTGGTCACAGTAGTATGAGCTAATAATTGGAGTAGCTTAGAAGATCAGCTGCATGGATTTCACAGTAATTAGCATCTGTTGTTAGTGACCAAGCCAGCCAAAGTTCAGGGAAGTCTGGATTAAAGGAGAGCACAACTCACCATAATATTGTTCCATTTGAAAATAAATCAAACACTTGTTCATCCTCTGTGTCCAACTAACAAGTATACTAGTATAACTCTTGGAGAAATCCTTATAGATATGGAAAATTAAATTTCTTCATGGAGAAGCCTCTAGGGAGTGGGGAAGCTGTGGCCTTCAGAGGTTGTTGGACAGAAACTCCCATCATCTGGAGGGCCACAGGTTCCCTACCCTTTCTCTAGGTCAGGGGTCGGCAGCCTAAGGCCCATGGGCCACAAGCAGCCCACGGGAGTCATTTAACCGGCCCACGAGCTGCCCCTGAACCGAGTCGCTTGACGAGTCCCCACGCGCTGCGCTAAACCAGCATGGCATGGGGACTCACTTCTGTGACGCTGAAAATTGCGTCTGCGCAGGCACCTGAAATCGCGGGCGGGCGCAATCCGTCCCAAAGAAGGATCTCCGCTAGAGTGAACCGGCCCAGGCAAAGTAAACCTTGCTGACCCCTGCTCTAGGTGATGGAGACTGAAACAGCCAGACACCATAAATACAACTATTAATAAATAAAACCAGCTGAATCATAGGGCAAAACTGGACTGCTTAAGACACACAGAGCTTCAGGTATCTTTGTGTCTCTTTACTTTCTGTTTTGCAACACTTGATACTGTACAAACAATGCATGAAATTGGTGTCTTAGGGAGAGAAAGATACCCAGTCCAGTTATGTCATTCCACTGTCTAGTTTGTTTTTAGTCCAGGTAGGTGATTTGTATCTGCCAGTGGTACTGGTTATGAACTGTTGTTATGATGGATGATCATTCCCAAAGGATCCCCTTAAGGAAATAATTCAGTAGGTGGACATCATTATAGGGTGTCGCTGCCCACCTGACCTCTGGTTGGTTGGTTGTGTTGCTGTTGCTTACCAAGAGGTAGCGGGACAAGGCAGGGGACAGGTTAGTTCAGGGCAAATGTAGCAGAGGTTAGGAGCCCTAGATTGGATCTGCCATTGTGTCTGTACCACACCTCTCTATCTTCCAGTAAGGAGCATCAACGTGGTCAGGTGAGCAGAGTCACATCTACACACCCATATCTACTGCAGCTGAAATCATGTGATGGATTTAAGGCATACCAATACAGTTCTGATTCAGGTAACTGAATCATCATTTTAAAATGTCTAATCTCCACAGTGGATATGTGCAAGGAGTGCCAGCCCATATGGGCCCTCCTCACTAGTAGGTATGGAAGAGAAATATGTTTAGTTGGCATTTCATACACACCTGCCTAATTTGTGCCTCCAAAACCAATACATAAACCGACATGCAGCTTCCCTTCAAATTTCACATTTTTCCAAGTTTTGTGATGGTTCTTCAACCCCAAAATAAATACAAATTCATATGCACTCAAAAATATTTAAATTAGTGAGAAAACATAGAAATGCATTAAGTTAGGGGACATTGCTTGCACAAAGTGTATATTTGGTAAAATTGCATACAAAAATTGTATATATTAGGGGAAATGTGTATGAAAAGGAGTGTGAATTTTCATGTACAGTGTTGTGGTTTTTTAATTGCATACTGATGCAAAAATAGGCTGACTTGAAACTATGATGGGGGGGGAGGGGAAACTGAAATTGACAGATTCATCCATTCCTACCCACTTGTCCACACAACCTACAGATGTTTGCATGTTGTATAGGAATATCACATGGGAAAATGTTCCTGAATTTCCGTGCGCCGCTTCCCGTCTGTGCATTGCAGAGCCAGACTGGGAATGGGAAGCTGTTGACTAGCTTCCAGCAAAAGTTAGACTGCCTTGTTGCCTCAGACTAATGACTGTGTTGTCCATCATCCTGTTTCAACAGCAGCCAGCCAGATGCTTGTAGAAACATATGGACAGAGCATAAAGATAATAGGCGTTCTTTGTTGTTTGACTGCTTTTTGGAACATCAAGTATGGGGAGCTGCCTTTTATCAGGTCTTTGTTCATTTAGCCCAGTGTTGTCTACTCTAATTGGCAGTGGGCATGGCTTCAGGCAGAGGGTATTTCTCATCAACAGCAATTTGATTCTTTTTTTTACAGCTGGAGATGCCTGGCATTGAATGTGAGACCTCAACCCCTAAGCTATGGTTCCTCCCATAACACTGTTGCCCCAGTAGTCTGTTATGTACTTGCTCCCACCTGAATCTCGCCATCCTGTGGGTGCAAAAAGTTACACAGGAACAGCTTGCCAACATACCTGCAGAAAACAATTAAACAAATATAACACAACAATACTTTTGCCCACTACTGATGCCACTAGAATGGACTGTGTGTCATAACAATAAGTGTTTTATGTGTAAAATTGGCCCATTATCCAGCTCAGAGCAGATGAAATTCAAAACCTGTTCTGTTACCTCCTGTTACATCTTTATACTAGACCTACTAGGGGTCTGCAGCCTTGATTTTGGCAGATAAATACCAGCACACACAACATCCCTCCTGCAATCCACAGACCATGTGAGACTGCATTCCCTCCAGGCTGTCTGTGCCAACTGCTTTCTGTCTTGCGTGATCCCAACCAATCTTTCCCTCTCCTTCTTATGCCAATTTCCATTACCATATTGAGTTTTGAAACTTCTTCTTTGTCTCTCTTGCTCCTACCTCTTATTTAATGGGTAGATGTTGTTTTGCTTACTCTCCCCTTAGTTTTGCCTCCCATCCTTTACACATGCGCTATAGTGGCAAGTCTTCACTGACACAAGTGCAATGCAATGTAGTAAAAGATTGGATCTTAGGATTGCGGCATTGATTCCTCAGCCTGTCTCCCTGGAATATGATCCATAAGCCAATTTCAGTTCCTTAAAAAAAAAAAAGTTTAAGTATCATCTGTTTCTTCCTTGAGATTTCAGATTTATGTAAAAATGGAAGCTCTATACGCTGTTTTTCTTTTGCATTAGGATTCTGTCCAACTTCCAATTCCCAATTTAGATTACATGCTCAGAAAGCAACTCCAAACGTTTACTGCGTTTGAAGGTCACAGCGCTATTGATTGATTTCCAGTTATAATGTATGTTGTCCTAACATAAGGAGCGGGTGAGGGTTTGCATGGCTGTTTTTTCTTCTCCAAAATCTGGACTAAATCCAAAAATGTGAGGATCAAAGCATCTGGACTTGTTGCTTTTATGTTTGGCACATAAAGAGGCTGGCAGTCCCCAATGTGGTCTTGGCTGGGCTCAAGTTGTTTTCCTTCTCTGATGTGAAACAGTTGGGACTCACAGACCCTCCAACACTTAAAGTGGACTAAATAAAAACTGGCTTTTAAACTTGCCAAGTGCATGAAAGTGCCAGTCCCTACAGTTTTTCAAAAGTTATTAGCTATGGCATGCTTTTTCCCTTCCCTTTTCTTATTTTTTAATGAAAATATGTTCTATAAAATTGGACATTTGCTTGAGAAATAGGTAAACTCATTTCACAAGTCTCAAATTATTGTTTTTGATCTGGCTTCAGTCTCTCTGGTCAGTTGGATAATGTGATGCCCACATGTCTTTGATAACTTCAACGGAGCTGAAATTGGCTCTGGCTTTTACTACAGCAGACCCGCCCCTTATTTTGCAATGTGTGAAGTTCTTGAGAAGGTGGTGGTCAAGTGGAAAGAGTTGCATGTGGTTACTGAGGGTGGGTTCAGAGGTTTGCTGTCACTTCCTTTACATGGAGTGTCCTTAGCAGCCAGGGACACAGCCAGTGTAAAATAAGGAATGCCTGACCTGATGTGCCTTGGTTAAACTGCTGCTTCGTGGTAGCAATTTGTGAGAGTGTGGGAGCCAAAAATGTACTGTGCAGTCATGCTGGGATAGATCAGGATCAGATGCTACTTTCATCCATGCAGTTTCACTGGACCATGAACATACATAATATATGCTGTCATTGTGGATACAGCCCCAGGGAATGCAGGAAACTACCATGTATACAGTATGCCCAACTGTGTGACTGGACCCTATATCTGCTAGGCAATGGATGCTTTTGCTAGGACTCTATTGTCCAATCTGATAAACTGTTTTGGTTATGTATCACCACATAGGGCCAGTCGCTAAGTTTTCCAACAATTGATCCAGTACATTGATCTGCAGACCCCTTGTGCCTTTGTAATTTCTGTGGTTACTCCTGATTGCATCTTCCACAGGTCAGATATGAATGGCGGGAGCATCTACACAATGTCATTTTCGGTGGCTACATTCTAACTCCGGACTATCTTCCTTTTGGAAGAAAATTGTTCATGTACTTAATCTCTGGAAGAGCTTTACTTTTGGCCAACTAGCTAGGAACAAGGAATGTCCATATTAGCTAGATATTTATAATGTAATAAAATGCCATGAACATACAGGAGAATCTTCAATACAATTTCAGTATATAAATAATGGGTCTACAGGCTGTGACTATTGCTTGTCTGGTAGCCTGTTATTATTATTATTATTATTATTATTATTATTATTATTATTATTAATTTATTCAACTTATACAGCCTATAAATCAGTGATCTCTGTCTCTTTATTTACGTTTTTTCTTTCTTCGTATTATCGCTAGAAAAACACTGCTCAAATGCATTCTTTCCACATAAAATAAGTTCGGAAAATAACTTGGTCCTGTACTAACATTTAGTCACAATACCAAGTAGTATTTTAAAAAAGAAAGTTTTGATTACAATATACAGTACAAATAAATAAGCATATGTGCAATTATGTTCTGGGTGCAATGTTTAGCAGTGAGATTTTTGGTTTTATGGGTCCCATGGTTAAAGCTGACACTGAGGGTGTGAGAACAGGTAGAAGCAGTGATTAATCCGCCAAGCACCTTTAGTACTGAAACATTCTGTTTTATCGCAGAGGAATTTCATTCAGATGGCAAACTCTGTTGTTGGATAAAATATTGGCTATTGTCTCATACCATAATAAACGGTTAAATGAGGCGTTTTTATTGAAATGAAACCTGCCACATGCACAGTAGGAGAGAATATCCAGTTACAGCCATGTAACCATGTCAACTCGGTTCCACTAGATGCAGCAGGGCTTACTCCCTTACTAACCTGCAGTTAATTTGCACACTTAATATCCATGACAGTATAAGAGGGGACCCAGCAGCCTAGTGCATAGAATTTGACACGGTGTTAGAAGATTTGGGTTCAAATTCACGTCTACTGTAGAATCTACAAGTCATTTTAAAAGTGTATTTAATTAACTACGTATTATACATCACCTTTCAGGATCCAAGTATCAAAGTTGCATGAATAAAAACCTCAATCACCATAATAATGATTTTCCAATTGATTTATATCCCACCTTTTCATCCAAGGAACGCATGGTTGTGTGCATGGTTCTCCCCTGCTCATTTAATCTCCACAACAACCCTGTGAGGTAGGTTAGGCAGAGAGGCAGGGACTGGCCCAAGGCGTGTGTGCTTCATGGCCAAGTTGCGATTAGAACCCGGGTCTCCCGGGCCCTAGTCTGGCACTCTAACCATTCCACCACACGAGCTCTCGTGATTCATCAGGCTCCTTTCCACAGGCCAATTGGTGGGGGAGGGAGCAAGGGTGTAGTTCCGGTGGAGGAGACCCCGAGGTCTTATTTGCCTTCCGTTTTCAACAGGAATCCTCCCCCCCCCCTACACACACATTGGGGAAGGCTAAGCCAGAACTTTAGGAAATCCAGCAGTTCTGCCCCTTTTCACATCTGTGAAGCAGGCATATGAGCCTAAACCCAAATATGTTGTATGCTGTTACTCTTTTACCTATTAACAATCTGCAGGGAAGGGTTATGGGAATCGGTCATATCACAAACACGTTATGTCCACATGAAACGTCACGTTGCATGCCCAGCGCTGGCGCCCTCGCTGATGGGTGCATACGTCTATATTATTCAATGAAAATCCTGCACAATGGCCAGATACATTCAGGTGGATTGTTGGAAAGGGGAGGACAGTAGTTCAGGAAGCACAGAGACACTGCAACTAGTCTGTCAACACTTGAAAAATCCATTACGAAGTTCAAATAGGAAAGCAGGTTATGGAAACATCAGCTTAAGACAAACGTTTCCAGTCACTAGGACTCCATTCATTATATGCCTGAGTGGTTCCAGGAACAACAGAAAGAAAGCTATGCGGTATTATAATGCCAAGTACAAGAAAGGCAGTACGGATGTTCTCTTGAATCTCACTCGTGGCAATCTCCAATTTTTCATGCTTCCCCTGCTTTGACCTGCTGCTTGGTCTCCCTCTGGAGTTTGGTGCTGATGGCTTGTCTTTGATCAAAGTGCTGCCACTTTCAGTGGGTACAGTGTGGGAGGAAGTCAATTTAGCACCCTTTCAGTGAATAAATACCGCCTCGCTTTATTTACCCACAGTGTCACTTTCTGGAGAAACACCAATTCTTTGCCTGACCAGGCCTCTGTTTATATATTATCCAGCGTAGCGATCATCTTGTGATTGCTCTCACCCTACACCCAGTAGTGTATGAAGGAAGTTTCTGATGCCCACAAAATAAAATACAGTGAATGAATAAATAATATCGGAGGACCAGCTTGTATTTTACTAGTCAAATAAAAATAAATATTTATATTTGCAGATACTAAAATTAGTTGCTGGCATCCGTTTGTCTCAAGAGACAATGGAGTTCACCTCCAGGAGTGAAGTCAAACCCTTGCGTTAGCAGCACCAAAGTGACCACCCTGGGACACAAGCCTGGACAGTGTGCATGGAGATCCTGGGCTGACAAGACCCCCCTTTTGACCTGGATGCAAACTCTGTAGGTAAAAAAAAGTAAAGGACCTCTGGACTGTTAAGTCCAGTGAAAGGCGACTATGGGGTTGCAGCGCTCAATTCACTTTCAGGCCAAGGGAGCTGGTGTTTGTCCACAGACAGCTTTCTGGGTCATGTGGCCAGCATGACTAAACCACTTCTGGTGCAACAGAACACCGCGAGAGAAATCAGAGCACACAGAAACACCGTTTACCTTCCCGCCGCAGTGGTACCTATTTATCTACTTGCACTGACATGCTTTCAAACTGCTAGGTTGGTAGGAGCTGTGACAGAGCAGCGGGAGCTCATCCTATCGCAGGGATTCGAACCAGCAGCCTTCTGATTGGCAAGCCCTTGAGGCTTAATGGTTTAGACCACAGCGCCACCTGCGTCCCTATAGGAAACAAGGAAAGACAGGGAAGGTGTACTGGAGGTGGCATCACTCTGTACTTCCCCAAAATGAGGGGATTGCTAAAAACGAAGTTGGAAGGCAAAGTCAAGAGGGTCAAATCTCCCCTAAATGCTTGGATATTGTTTAAAACCACCAGAATAAAAAAGTAAGAAGAAACTGGCAATTCTCTGAATAGATAGATGTAGAAAGTGGAGTCCCTAAGGACTAGAATTAAGACCTCTGCTTTTAAATTTGTTCATAAATGATCTAAGGTTAGGGGTGAGCAGTGAGGTGGCCAAGATTATTGATGATCCTAAATTGTTCAGGGTCATGACTGGTGACCAGCTATAGCTCAGTGGCAGAGAACATGCTTTGCAAGAAGAATATCAAGTCCCTCTCATTTCCAGTTAAAATTATTAGGTAGCAGGTGGTGAGACCCTGGAGTGTCCCTGCCAGTCTGACTAGATGATACTGGGCTTGATGGACAGATACATTGCTTCTTATGCACTATGGTTGTTGCTGTTGTTGTGGTGTGGTGGTGTGTATATACAGTATGTAATTACTGTTTACTTAGGGTCATTGAAGGGACGCGGGTGGCGCTGTGGTCTAAACCACAGAGCCTAGGACTTGCTGATCAGAAGGTCGGCGGTTCGAATCGCCACGAGGGGTTGAACTCCCATTGCTCGGTCCCTGCTCTTGCCAACCTAGCAGTTCAAAAGCATGTTAAAGTGCAAGTATATAAATAGGTACCACTCTGGCAGGAAGGTAAACAGCTTTCCGTGTGCTGCTCTGGTTCGCCAGAAGCGGCTTGGTCATGCTGGCCATATGACCCGGAAGCTGTACGCCGGCCCCCTCAGCCAGTAAAGCGAGATGAGTGCCACAACCCCAGAGTCATTTGCAGCTGGACCTAATGGTCAGAGGTCCCTTTACCTAGGGTCATTGAAGCTCATGCACCATTCTGTCGCTCATATTGTTTTGGAGATCTTGGCATATCTAGTGAAACAGAAGGTAAGAGGTGAACTTTGTGGTTATAAGCTCTTCTGCTGAAGTCTATACAACCCCCTACCACTAATACTTGTACCCATCACTATACCAACCTTCCCCCACCCTCTCCAAAATCCAGGTCCCCCCCCCTTTAAATTTTGCAAATAAGGAATTTTCTTATTGCAAATGATGATTTTTATTACAGTGTCAAGATGATAAAGTATAGTTTGAAATCTGTATTAGTGTTGAATACAGGTAAACGTAATACTGGGAAAGCATGCATCCACATTATGCCAAGAGGAAAATCGAAACCATGGCATAGCCTTACTGTGATTATCTTCGTGACTTGTTTCCATCATTGTGAAGAAAACATGAGCAGCCTTTAGCAAATCCAAGTTTGATCAGGGGAGCTCTTTTGAAAGAAAGTAAGAAATTTCCATACTTTTTACTAAAACCCCGACAGTCAGGATTAATAAAACAACATGCACATAGCAAGAACAATATCATCATTGCTAATCAACAATGAGAAATGTTGCCTGCAAGTCTAAACAGACCACAAGAATGTTGGAAAGAGTGAGTTTTTGCTATAGCTTGTGGTGAGGGAAGAACATTTGCTTATGCTCATAGTTGGCTAGATAGAAGAAGAAAAGGCGTGTTGCTGCTCTGTGAAGGCATTGTGCTTGGTTGGCCTCATATCCAACATGATTCTGATTTTCAAAAGCACAGGCAGAAACCTCAGAATTGAGGTGGGCAGCTGGTAACTGTCTCCCCTGCATAACTTAAGTTTTACGAAGTGCAACTTTATACAGGAAGTTATCAACTGGGAAGGTATGTAACCTACCAACTGAGAAGTTTATGGTTAAAATCAGAGCCTGGAAGGAAATTGGTCATAAGAAAGAAGATGAACCAGTTTCCTCGGGTATCTTTCAGCCCCCAAATCGGCAAAATTCAGCTTGAAATTGCTAACTCTTTATTCTGCTGGCCTAATATTTTGATGAGGTCTGGGGACACAATACAAAAGCATCCTGTGAAAGTATGTCATTTCTTAAGGGGACAGAGAGAGACTCTGGTTAAAGCAGTTTTAACACTGACTAGCACCTTCCAGGGCTTCCCCATCGGGCACCAACCATCTCTGTTGTGGGGAGCCAATGACTCGTTGCAGCTTCAATGAAGGGCCTGTGGCAGGGGCAGGGCCACATTCTGTTAAAATCTTATGAGGGCCAAATGTCAATACAGTGGTACCTCAGGTTACAGATGCTTCAGGTTACAGACTCCGCTAACCCAGAAATAGTACCTCGGGTTAAGAACTTTGCTTCAGGATGAGAAGAGAAATCACGCGGTGGCAGCACGGCGGCAGTGGGAGGCCCCATTAGCTAAAGTGGTACCTCAGGTTAAGAACAGTTTCAGGTTAAGAACGGACCTCCAGAATGAATTAAGTTCTTATCCTGAGGTACCACTGTAGTGGGTTTAGCCAAAGACAAAGAGGGTGTGGTAATGGATGTGACCCCTACCTTTGTACAGTAGGCTACATTCCAGCCATACCAAAGCCATTGGTTTCTGCACCCACCCACACCTCTCCATCCAGTGATCACTGTTCAGGGACACATTCCATCCTAGTTGTCATGGACTGGTTGGATGCAGAGGAATAGTGGGAGGAACCTGGTGGGGAACCACTGAGGGAAGAAGGCTCAGAGCCCAGGAAGTGGTGGTGGGACAACGATGAAGAAGAAGGAGAAGACTGGGAAGAGGTGTGGAAACTGATGAGGTAACAGGGCTTTGTGAGCTGGGAGAGTCTGTGGCAGACGGAAGGCAATAATCAGAGACAGAAGCTGAAGCAAGAGGGTAGGAGGAGGGAGGTCAAGAGGCAGAGATGAATCAGGTTGGTGAAGAAGCAAGGATGTCTCCCTCCTGCTGCATCAAGCACCTCTCCCCCTTTGTCTCAGAACCAGAAGAGACATGAAAAGGGCAGAGGAGAGGTTAGCTGCATGCAGGCACAGTCTCTGATTACGTAGAGGAAGACCACTGGGAATGAGCTGCTCTGCTCATTAGGGCTTTTTTTCAGCCGGAGCTCACTGGGACCCAGCTCCGTCACCTCTCAGGTTGGTGCCATTGCCCTTCTAAGACAACAACTCATGGTGAGTTCTGGCACATCTTTTTCTAGAAAAATAACATTGGGCCTCAAGTTGTGGAGATTGTGGTTTTGCTTATAAAGAGTTAACTCCATCTTGGAGCTATGTGATTACTGACCGGCATGCTCCTATAACACTGGTAAAAGCACTTGAGCTGGTGAGGCATGTTGCTTGCAGAGGGGCCAAGAACTAGGGCTAAACACAGGGGCCTTAAGGGCTTCATTTGGCCTCCAGGAGCACACCCCTGAGCTATGGAGTTTAGGGAATAGATGTGGTTTGTTTTTTTAAGCAAACCACAAAAGCTCTCCAAACCTCCCCTGTCCCACTTGCCATCTCTAGCCCCACTGACTCACCCACCAAGTCCAGCCTGGATCATAGCTGGCTGAGACTTGTGCTGATGCCAGCTGAGGTGTTAGCACTGCCCACTCCCCTGGAGGGCCTGCAGCTTGTGAAACCTCATTAAATAAAGAAAAACACACAGCAATCCCTTAGCTTTTTCAAAAACCTCATAATCAGTATTAATACTACTTTTCTGGTGCCAGATGACATGGATTTTATTTATATCACACTGTATCAATAATTAGCGAGGCATTATTGAGCTATATGCTTCTTACTTTTGTAGTAGATGATTAAATTTTGTAAAAAATAAAAACCCCGACAGAACAGTTGTGAAACTAACACAGTGCCATAGGCCCAGAGATTTTCACCGGTACCAGCGCAGAACATCTGCATCAAATGATATGCAGGGTTTTATTCAACTCAGTTTTATTTGAGCAGACCTACTGACCTTAGTCATGTTCATTAATTTCAGTAGGTCTGAGTAGGACTGGTGTTGGATAGAGTCCAGAGTTCCTGTGCCCTATATCTGACTATCTATTCCTTAAATTTCCTATCAGATGATGGTGGTATGTAAACATTTTTCCTGATGTTCTGGCATCATGACATCTAAAGGGAGAGAAAGGGTAGACACAATAGCAGTCTGCAAATATATGAATTTTGCAATTTCCCCCATTTGTCATTTATTATAGAAGTTTAAGGGGAAATTCAAATTCACATCTTTATTTACTTGCCTTGTGAAACTTCAGTGTTTTTGGCTTGCTGGCCTTATTTGCTTATTTGCAGTTTGGGGAGGTTTCCTGTCATAAAATCATTACGATTTAGAAGGGATCTTGGTGATCATCTAGTCTAACCCTTTGCTCAGCGCAGGATCTGCAAAGCAGGATGCTGTGACTATATCATCCCCGACATCACCCAGGCTCTTCGGCACGTGAGAGCCCACCATCTCTCAGATTACGGTAGTCTGTTCCAGTGTTGAACAACACTTGCCATTAGGAAGGTTCTCTGAATCTTTAGATGATTCCCTTCAATTTCCACCCAAGAGATGGTCCTTCAGGTATTTGAAGAGCGCTATTATGTCTAACCTTAGTCTTCTCTTCTCCCAGCTATGCATACTTTGCTCTTTCAGTTGTTCTGAATGGCTATTTGTTACTTGGTTTAGTTGTATTTTAACTTTGATTTCTATTTGTTTACATATTTGGGGAATGTTCAGCAAATCCTCAAAGGAGGATTTTTAAGGCAAATTTGGGTCAGCCCTTCTTTTCACAATGGCAAAGACTTCAAGAAATGGTGTACTGCATTCTGTAGTGGTGCTTCTTCTTCTGTGGCAATGCCAATAGTACGAACACAGGCAAAGGGAAAGGCAATTTGCCAAATACTCCAGAATGGTAAAGATCATCAATCCAGGCTCAACTGACCCCAGTTGCAGCCTGATGTAATGGAGATGAGATGAAGGCTTGCAGTTGTTTTGCTTCTTAGATACACATGAGCATATGTCATGCAAATGGGCCATGCACATGAATCGCTGCCAGATGAGTCCCATGAAGTGAAAGCTGCAATCTGGAGTATTACAGTTTAGAAGTCTGTCAGGCATCATGCCATATGCATGGCCAGTCTGTGTGCTTGCCCACGTATGCAGTCTTGGGAAGCACTCTGGAAGTCATCTCATGTCTGTCAGGTATGGTTCCAAGCTCTCTTTGTTACAGGAACTAATCAGAGAGACCCAGTATGGTGTTCTAAACACTTCATGATTTTTCAGTCGGATGTATGCTTTAGGTTGATCAAAATTTCCGTCCTTTTGTAGTGGAAAGAGGAGGGCTGGTATGGCAATAACATATATGGAAAATAGTCACAAACCATTTATAAGTCCCTGATTGTTAACAGGTGGTTCTTGCAAAAAAGGAGATGATGATGGCATTTCTGCTCCCCTCCTCCCCCAAAAAGATGCTTATTGTCTTCTGTGTGGTACCTTTTACTCTTTGCAATGGAATAAAAAACAAAAACCATTTAACACCACCCTCTTTTGTGTTTGTTCACATGGGAAATGCATGTTTAGTAAGTGTGATCTGTATGTTTCTCAGAAATGGCATGTGGCAATGAAAAGTGCAGTGCATATGGACTTCGGCATCAGTGGCTACCTAGATGCTTGTGGGAAACTTGCAAGCAGGAGCTGAGCACAACAGCAGCTAGCATTCAGAAGCATACTGACTTCGACAGTGGAGGCAGAATATAGCCATCAAGTTTAGCAGCCATTGATTATGCAGTGATTAAAAGTTGCTTAAATTCTTCTTAGCTGAAAGAGCACTTTGTGGCAAGAGCTTCTTTTATCATAAATAACCACGCAGAGGTAGAACACAGTATTCCCACACTCACCAAATGATGGCCATACATAAGCATTTAGACTCTGCTTGTCTGTCTTCCATTGGGTTACCAAAGTCACATGACTGGTGAGGTTCTTGCCAGATTGCTTCACCTCTTTTTTTCCTAGCTTGCAAGGTGGCTAGTGGATTCTGGGAGATTCCGCTGTGGACACAGCCAAATGGTGATAGCCTCTAAATCTTCTTGTATTCGTAGCAGGATGGCTTGCTGAAGATGGATTTTATAACTGTAGGGCACCATAGATAGATGCACAACTCATCCCAGGGTAATCTTACTAATCGTTTTAGAGTCTCTTAAAGTAATGAAGATTATATCAGTGTCAATGGATTTCAAAGAGATAAATCTCCAGTGGGAGTGCAAATGCATCTAAATTCTGCTGCTGTCAGATAGCAAGGGCACATACATTACTGGTTGCTGGCAAAGTATCTGCTCATACATAAAACATATTGCAATCAAGCTGCATCATCCACTTTTACTACCAAACTTGAATGGGGTGGGGAGTGAATTGGTGGCAAAAGCTTGTGGAGCTTAGAAGATATACTTTCTAAATTGCTCACTATTTTCCTGGACAGTTTTTTATTTTGGGGTGTGGGTATAAAAGTATTTGGGAAAATGAGAGGTTGATGGTAGAGGTTGACTTTGGCACAGTATCATGGGCGGATGATGAGATGTCTTCTCATTATAAGGACTGGACATAGGCAGGGGAAAAATACAACGCTGCCAAAAGCTGGAGTTTTCTGAGAATTATGATACAAACATGAGCTTCATTCTGCACTAAAGACAGTGAAGACAGATTTAATACATCTTGACTACTATTGAAATGCTGATCTAACAGAGTCCTTCAATCATCATCATCTTGTGTATCAAGTGATTGATATAGCACATTAGTGTTCAAAGGTCATCTCTCACACACACTCAATAATCTTTACAACCTCGGAAAAATGGTGTCATGCTCCTTCTGGGCTAATTTGTCCACCTTTGATCCCCACCCTGTGCTCAGCTCTCATCTGTGGCTCCTTGAAGCATGTCCACACACCAAGAATGGTTTCAACTGGCTGGCTTAAACCAGTTGAAGGCAGCCGATTGGTCTCAAACCCTCACTGAGTTAGAGACATCAACTGCATGCAAAGACAGGCTCTGGCGGATTGAGCGGATAAGACCAATAGTGGTTCCAACGGTCAATAAAGTGGTTTCTGTACGTGCTGTAGTGGGAAATGAGGGGCAGATGGGGTTCATCAACCTGGGAAGGTAGCCCATCTAGCAGAAGGAAAACTGTGATCCTAAACCTTTGCTGCCTTGCAGGATATCTTTGGGAGAAGAAAATGCTAAGGAGTAAACCGTACACAAATCCGGAGTGGAGACCCTAAGGCAGTTGGATGGCACCTGAAACACCTGTTTCCAGCAACTCCTGCAGCCAAGCTGATGCCAGACGTATTGCTCTGCTTTCCTTTCCATCAGCGAGGCCAAAATCTGGGCGGCCCAGGACCTCTATACACACTGCCCAGGCTTGCACCCCAGGAAGGTTACTTTGGTGCTGCTAACGCAGCAATTTGACTTCACTGCCACACGAGTCGCACTCTGTTGTCTGAGACAGTCAGATGCCACCAAAGTATTCTATCCATATTGCAGATAGGTGGGACAAAAGCTAAGACCATCTACAGACTTTATGGTAGAATTAAAACATTCTGCTTCATAGCTCAGTCTACTAGCTATGCTAAAGTAGCTCTCGGGTGCTGCATTACTTGTTTTTATTTTTATTTTATTCAAGACCATTTATATACCTCTTGGTTGTAATAAAACTCTAAGCAGTTTACAGGAAAAATTATTTGCTGCCTTGACTATTACTGCAGAAAGGTGGAATAGAAATTAATTGTATATGCTATGCATAGTTGCCACATACCTGGTAATATTGTTCACTTTGACGGAATAGCTTTCCAGGATCACAGGCATAGGTATTTTCACCGCATCTTACTTAATCCTCTTCACTGGAGATACAAGGGTTGAAGCTGGTACCCTCTGCATTCAAAGCAACGAGCTATAATAGCAATGACTGTAGAAAGGACTAGAAAGGATTCAGCCTGTGCATTTGGGATTGCAGACAGCCTGCATTTCCTAAGCTTCAAAAAGTTCGTTTGCCAAATTATCCCTTGGCTGTGTGTTACTAAAGATTTGAGGGCATATCCAGGCAATGTTAAGTACTTTTGCATCTTACCATTCTGGAGAGAGAGAGAGAGATGGTTTTGAGCACGTATTTATTAAATATTTGACCCTTGGACAACTGGGACTTGAGAATGCTTACCCTTTGGTATGATGTAGATCACACACATTCTGCTTATGTAGTGAGTGGGGAAGTCAGGGTGCGCATCTTACAACCTGTGTTGAGGCCAGATCGCTATTGGTTGAACCATGGTTACATTTCTGAATACTTGCTTCAGTGCCAAATGACTGATAAAGAAGAAAGACACAGAAGATCCATGAACATGTTTATTTTCAGCATGATATATCGGTACAACAGAAAACACTGCATTAGTGAACACTCTCATGGCTGTCACTGACAGGTTGTAAGTGTTTAGTGAGCGGGCTGCAGCAGGGGCGTAGTAGGCGTGGGGTAGAAGGGCCATAGCCCTGGGGGCACAATTTTTAGGGGGCACAAGCCAGGTGCCCCCCCAGGAATCTCCATCCCTCTCTGCCTGCTGCCGGGGGGCCTCTGGACCCCCAAGCCTGGCCTTGCCTTGCCGCTGTGTCCCCGGCCCCCTCACTGAATGGCCGCCTGGTTGGGGAGGATTTGCCCAGCAAGGGCTGCTTTGGCCGGCCAGGCTCCTTCGTACACAGGTGGGCAGGGGCAAGGTGCAGCCCCACTTGGCTCCGGAGGCCAGAAATGAGCTGGTGTGCATGCCTTAATAAACATGCAATGAAACACAGATGCCTCCCAGCATCACTTAATACACTGCAGCAGAGCTCCCACATAAATATAATCTTAATGCGCAGTCAACCATAGTTGAGATAAGACAATCTGACGAGGAGGGAAGTGGCTGGCAAAAATGGCATCCTTGCCGCTTTAAATATGGGGAGGCCAGCTTTCAGTCCTCCTGATCACCAGCCTTTTGATTTCATGTATAGAGAAGAACCCTTATGGAATTTGCCCAGGATAGTGGGTTTCCCCTTCCCCTCCTGTGGGATAAAGTAGCAACGTTATAACCACTGATGCTTCTGAAATGTCTCTTTGGCTTTTAGGGAAGGAATAAGAAGGTATAATTTCCATGTTTGTCCTGCTGGCAGCTTCCAATGCTGTGTTGGTTATTACTTAGGCAAACAGAAACCTGCAGCCAATCAAAATAATATGCTTGGCAGGAAAGCTGGGCAAAGTTTAATAGCTCGGGTTCTTCAACATAAAAAGGATAAAAATGGACTAATAATTTCTGGCAGGGCGGAGCAGGGAATATTTAAAATTCTGATTGTTTTCCTATGAGGTTAACATTATGATTACTGAAGTCTAACCTAAAACATGCGGCTCTGTTCCCATGAGCTGAAAGGCAAGTAAAAATCTACTGGATTTAAAGCAAGGATGCCAACTGTTCTGGGTGTCCAGGTCTGGGTGTCTCCATACTCCTTTCCAAATGCTGGACTGAATATGTTTTCTGTAAGGAAGGGCACATGGTTGAGACACTCTCCATGGCCTCAAAGCAGAAGGGGATTGCACTCACCATTTCCTCCTCCAAATCCAGAGCAGCCACACCAGCTGGCTGCAAGAGCCACTCCATTTTAAAATGTCTGTCTGAAGTGTTAGGATGCTCTTGATGCGAATTATAAAAAAGCCGTATATGGCAAACAGGCTGCATCTTGGTCAAATTTCCTTCCCCTGCATCCCCCCTCCAATGTGTTCTGGGTCTTCTCTCCCCGCCGGCAAACCTCCAGAGCAGATTTGGAGAGGGTCCTGGGTGTGGTCTGGGGAAGGAGGGGGGAGGTCTGTATCGTAGTGGTAAATCCTTGCACTAATGGAACTAGGGTATTGGATACCAGCCTATATCTGGAGAAATGCAGCTGGTTTCAAATTGTACATGATTTCTCATGTACACAATAAGTTGACAATGAACACTCCTGTGAATGAGTAGAATATGATTTAAAACAAACAAACAAACAAACAAACAAACAAACAAACTGATGGCTGCACATTAGCCTGGGAGAGTAATTCCCTAAATGTTTTAATTGTTTTTACATACTCACAAGCATGTCATCTCTTAAGAATGGGATGAAACTTCTCATATGAATGAGCTGGCGCTTGTTTTCTCGGTGCGCTGCTCTGTTGTTTGTAATTATGTTTGGCTGCATTAAACTGTTCCTTTCTATCTTTAAAATTCTAAAGCCTCCAGATGCAGCAGTGAAATCTACATGGAAGCACAGAGAATTATAAGACAGCCAGATTTCACGGTAAGCAGCCTCAAAGCAACTACATTTTGAGGTGTCAAACTGTAGGGAGGAAGGGATCTGCCAATTTTAGTTTTCCAATCTTAAGTTCAGTTGCTCGCATTTCAACATCAATTTGCAATTTTTTTAAAAAAACAACAACCCAGCCATCGTGAAAAATTGTCAACATTTTTTTTTAAGCCCTCAGGAAAATTTGTCAGCATTTTAGTACAAGTTTCTCATAAGACACATTTTTGTATACCATAATGACTAATACATTTCTGCAAGCAATTTCCCCATATGCAATACATTTTGGCGTGTTAGTTTATATGAAGTTTTAGGCACACTTGCATCTAATAGATGCATTTTTGTACACAATATTTGGTTGGAGAACTGCGTCGGCAAATTTAGAGATGTGCAAATTTCAAAGGATAGCTGCATTTCCGTTTGTGTATTGTTTCGGGACATTCTAATTAGGTAGGTTTGCTTTAAAATGTGAACCAAATCAAATTTCTCCTATCTCCCCCACATCAGAGTAAAAATTTGCAAAGACGGGTGGAGCACAATGTGCTGCAAACTGACTTTTAAAGAACTGTATCTGAAGCAAACACAGACTGTCCAGTTCTCCCTTCCCTTGTCTTGCAATATATTACTATGACAGCACAATGGAAAGTCTAATTTCCAGTGAGAACTGAAACCCGAGTGAAGTGTTAAAATGAGAGAAAGGATGTCAAACCTTGCTAAAGAGATGCTTGGAATAATAAGGGGGGGAAAGGTATGTGCTTTCTGAGAGGGGAAAAGAGATTCTTGTGAACACAAATACATACACACTGGGTGGTATTCAAACAACTTTTACTCAGAGTAGACCCACTGAAATTAATGGACTTAATTTAGTCGTGTTCATTAATTTCAGTAGGTCTGCTCTGAGTAAGTGCTAGTTGAATACCACCCAGACAATTTGCTACAAAATTCAAAACTGCTGAATTTGCTATGCTCAGGATGAATTTGTACCTCTGGTTTAGCATTTCTGAAGCAAAAGGTAATGTTCCAATACTCCAGCATGGTATGTATTTTACAAGAGGCATCATAGCATTCACTGATTTCGAGAAGCTTTCAAAACTAATCAGTAAGCAAAATGATTGTATCCAGGCACATTTGTAATATATTTTACTGTTTTCATTGCTGGCACTATGCTAAGACCATTTTAGAAGAAAATTCATGGAGTAGTCGTATAAAACAGAGTATAAACAAGTCTGTTAACATTTATGGCACATTTATGAAATATAAAATATACATTATATATCCCCCATGCAAACAAAATATGCATAATAGCTACCTGGGCAGATTCTACATGTCAATGTAATATACTAGCCAATATTTTAACCCATACGCAGCACAAGCCTATGCACACTTCCTTCAGACAAAGCCCCATTGAACTCAATGATATTTACTTCCAAGTAAACATGCATAGGATTCTGCAGCCAATCTCCTCCTTTGGCATTTTGACTAACAGGGAGAAAGCCCATGAATAAACTGACATAAAAAGTCATTTCCAGGTCAACTTTTTTAAAAAAACACCACATTTCATAAAAAAATAGTTTGCTGTTCACCCCAATACTTATTCCTCATTTATAGCCTACCCCGAAACTGGAAAAATAAAATGATCACATTTACAGTACATATTTACAATCCCAAATTCAAAAAGTTGGTAGAGAAGTGTAACAATGGACATGTCTTAGGAATTATGACTGACCAAAGTTTGTTTTTTGGTCAGGGTATTGCTCTAAACAAATTTCAAGATATATATGTTCAGGGCAACTGACTGCAAACCAGAATGCATATCTTGCCCTCTGTGCATCTATTTCAGAGTATGTAAACCAGTGAATGGCCACTGGTAAAATCAATAGCTTAGTATTTTTCTTGCATTACTCATGTGGAGGGCATTCAGAGATAATGGGAGCAGGGCTAGCTGCAGAGGTTGCAAATGTGTGGAGAGCTTATGGAGAAACAGCTACAGCTGTTCACTTCAGGCATCTGTATTCAATCCATGGATTGTGAAGGGTTGGGACCAGAACCAGCAACAATGCCTCACTTTCTCTTCCTTGACAAGAGTAGCAAGTGAAAAGGGATGTGGACTTACTTAAAGCCATGGTTTATTTATTTATTTTTAATTTTTTAAAGGATTGGCTTTTGCCATTTCTCAACAGGCTTGAAACAACAAATCAGACCTTTGGTTGGGCAAAGCTACACACGACCCTGATTATCATTTTTCTATCTTAAGGAGGAATCCCACATCCATTTCTCCTTCTCTTCCTGTAACATTTAATACGGAAAACAGATGATAGCTATGCCACCTCCTTGCACAGCCCATTGTCACGCTCTTATAGCACTGAGTAATGAGGAGCAAGGACCAGAAGGAGCTGCTCTGCTAGCTTCCTGGAAGGTGGGGTTGCTGTGGGTTGCTAGGAGGGAGAGTTTCTAGAAGGGAGAGCAGAAGGGAAGGTTGGTGTGGTGCAAATTCACCAGCAGGAGTGCTTAGCTGGCTCTGCCAGTGTGTCTGCACCACACCAACCTCCCTGCTGCCTCACCCCTCACAGGGAGAGACTCACCTCCTGGGAAGCTAGCATAGTAGCTCTGTCTCACCCAGGGAGCTGCTTCTGGCAACATTAGAGAAATCATGACTATGTAGTGTGCCACATTCCTCATTTTAAATGTTACAGAGTAAAAACGGGGAAGGCGGAGGCTTTGCTGTTTTTGATGGTAGTCTGTGTTCTGCCTCGTGTGGAAAAATAATGACCAATCTTACACAGTGTTGAACAGATTCAAAATGTTTCATGGGCATGCATAGAATTCTCTTCACAGGAGAATTAACATGTACCCAGAGCTGTTAAAGTTCATTAAGTAAATATTACCTGGTAGATAACTTCGGTGAAAGTCACCTCATTCTCCCCTTTATAGCTGCCTTGTCAAAGAGCAGGAGAAAATAACATTGAACCCCAATCCAGGCAAAGTTTATCATGCTGAAGTGGTGCAACTTGCTTGTCCCACCCATTCCAATGGGACTTAAATGTGACTTCCTTTGGGTTAGGGCAGTTGAATGGAAGCTCACAATCTGCTGTGAGTAGCTGAGCACTAAGTATGCACCAGGTGCCAAACTAAACAGAAAAGTGTCAGGGACAGGGCAGAAAAGCTGGTCAGAGGAACTTACAGTCTGTTAAGGCTGAAGGAGTGAGCAATGTAACAGTTAAAAGATGGGCCGGTCTTTCTGAACTCACAAGTCAAACCCCAGAAGCTCTTTCAGCTTGGAATCCATGAAACCAGACGGGGGCATTTTGTGGGATTTGGGCGGTACCACTGAATCTTTTATCCAATTTAACCTGATACGCCCAATTACTTACGGGTTTATCCACAAAGTGATTTTACCATGTCAACGATGTGTGGCTGTGCTGTCAGAATGTGCCCCCATGTGGTGCAAACTGGTATTTTATGACAGCAGAATGGAGATTTGGTTGTCGTGGTTCACTCCGTTGCAGGAAAAGATACCGACTTGCACCCCAGAGATTTGCTCAGACATAAATGAACATGGTAAAGTTACTTGGTAGTGACTTTTCACACCCCCGTAAAGAATGTGAGAATTGGGCTTTCAGTTGGGCATCTCTATAGTGAGTTTGTTGGTTATACTTAATTGCTTGTTTGTTGTACTACCAAATTTCTCGTTATTCCTCCTGTCTGCCTCAGAAGGAACCTGTGTGCTGTGCTTTGTGCCAAAGACAGATAGAAGCAACTGCCGGCCTTGTAAATTTTAAATAAAAAACAGGAAAACAGCAATTGTTGTTTCTTTGTCCTAGCATCCCTCTTGACCCAACCTGATAACAGTTTTGCATCAAGTCCAGTCTAGTCTAATTAAGTCCACATGACACCTGCACTCTGTTTTGGCTAGTAAAAAAGGGCAGGCTTTGGGGCTTCTCCATCATGTCCAGATTCTGCCCCAACCACCTTTTAGATTTTTGTTGTTTTGCAAATTACCTTGTGAAACGATGGTCCTGAAAAACTGTACAGTGGTACCTGTGGATGCGAACGGGATCCGTTCCGGAGCTCCGTTCGCATCCTGAAGCAAACGTAAGACGCAACTGCGCGTCTGGTGTTTCGCCGCTTCTGCCCATGCGCGTGACGTCATTTTGAGCATGTGCGCATGCGCGAGCGGCGAAACCCAAAAGTAACACTCTCTGTTACTTACAGGTCGCCACGGAGTGCAACCTGAAAATATTTAAGCTGAAGCATATTCATCCCGAAGTATGACTGTATTCTGTTATGAAAAATAAAATCAAAAGCCAACATTTACTACCAATATTGTTTTCTTTCTAGTTCTGCAAGGCACAGTGGTTTCAGAAGCACTTTGTGGGTGTGGTTTCGATCTGGAATTTCTGAATGGTGAGAGAACTTGCAATGGGGGAAAAACCTCTAATCTATCTAGAGCAGGGATGGGGAAACCCATGGTCCTTCTGATGCCACTGGACTGCACCTTCCATCATTCATTGGCCAGGCTGGCTGGGGCTGAAGGGAGTCCCACAGCACTTGGAGGACCACCGGCTCCTCATCTCTGCTCTAGAGCTTTATCTCTGTTGATGGAAAGCGATAGGATCTGTATCCCCAATGCATAACTAGGCAAATAGGAGTGGTTAATTTACACATCATTGATGAAGTGCAGATTACTAGGTATTCAATGGTTAATTAGTGTTGAGCAGCTTTTTCAAGCTGAGTCATAAATCTATTATTCTTAACTGGAGAAGAGCCATAGGTCAGTGATAGAGCATCTGCCTTGCATACAGAAAGTGCCAGGTTCAAACCCTGGCATCTCCAGGTTGGGCTGGGCGTGGGCCCTGCCTGAAAATTGCTGGAGAGCTGCTGCCAGTCAGTGTAGACACCACTGAGTTAGATGGACCAAGAGCCTGCCTCAGTACAGTGGTACCTCGGGGTTAAGTACTTAATTCGTTCTGGAGGTCCGTTCTTAACCTGAAACTGTTCTTAACCTGAAGCACCACTTTAGCTAATGGGGCCTCCCGCTGCCGCCGCGCTGCCGGAGCACGATTTCTGTTCTCATCCTGAAGCAAAGTTCTTAACCCGAAGTACTATTTCTGGGTTAGCGGAGTCTGTAACCTGAAGCGTATGTAACCTGAAGTATATGTAACCCGAGGTACCACTGTATATGGCTTCCTATGCTGGTTCTTGGAGTTACTTCAGCAACTACGACAAGTTTGTCATTTCATATTCATGCCACAATTCAAAGATTTAACACAGACTAATTTGTACTCTTGAGAGTCCCATGGACTGCAAGAAGATCAAACCTATCCATTCTTAAGGAAATCAGCCCTGAGTGCTCACTGGAAGGACAGATCCTGAAGCTGAGGCTGCAATACTTTGGCCACCTCATGAGAAGAGAAGACTCCCTGGAAAAGACCCTGATGATGGGAAAGATTGAGGGCACAAGAAGAAGGGGACAACAGAGGACGAGATGGTTGGACAGTGTTCTCAAAGCTACCAACATGAGTCTGACCAAACTGCGGGAGGCAGTGGAAGACAGGAGTGCCTGGCGTGCTCTGGTCCATGGGGTCACGAAGAGTCGGACACGACTAAACAACCAAACAACAACAACAATTTGTATAATGCCCTTTTAAAAAATCAGAAATTTCATCCCTCACACTTACTCCCATTTATAACTCCTAAGGTCATGATCTGCCTCTTCCCTTGCAGTCTTATCTGTACCAAAAGCGTCACCTCCCAAGTTTAATGAGCTGGATAGGCACTCATATTCATATTGGTTTTGTGTGTGTGTGTGTGTGCCTGCTTCTGCATGCAGATCTCCCTGGCTGGATTGGGGGGAAATACTTTTCTTCTGCCAAATATTTGCTGCTGTTGAAACAATGGCTACTATTTGCTCTGAAAATATGTTCCTTCCTTAAGCACAGCTTGAATAATAAGGCTTGATAAAGGCAGATTACTGAGTAACAGTATTATTATTATTTCTTTCTTTTAAAAAAAGCATTAAAAGCCTATAAAGATTCCTCTTGGTGGAATTTTTTTAATAAACAAGGGTTTGGAATATTTATGTTCAAGTAATGATTTATCTTAGTTGGTTGATGACAGGGGTGAGAAGATTTCTGCATTTTGTGGGCATAAAAACACAGGACTGACACAGGACTGACACTTGGAAAGGATACCGAGAGTGGATTAATCAGGAGGAAGCAGGAGGAGGTCAAGAATAAATAAACAGAACAGAGTTTAAAAGTTTTAAGAGGGACCCAGCTACTTAATGGATACTGTAGACCTGCACAAAGAAGTGTGAATTTTCCAGTCCAGTTCAAGCAGAAATGAATAGCAGCTCTCATTTCCAAAGTTAAATACCGTCTGTGCATATAAAACAGTTCATTCATTAGTCCAAGTGTTCCTGTTGTGGCAGTCTTGAAAAAGTATTCCCTTTCTCTTGAGTGTGTTCTTCATGAGACAGAAGTTTTGGAGGGCCACCTAGAGATTTACAGATAAACACACTTAGAAGGTCGCATAAGACATCTTTGATGAGATTTAACACAGATTATCATTTATACTCTAACTATCTAATAAATAAAGCGGTGTATGCAATGTTAGGAGAAGGCTTGGACTGGCCAGCTAATTCCCTGCATGCCAGATAGGCTCCAATAGATTGAGCGGACAAGACCAATAGTGGACCCAATAGTCAAGAAGGCAGTTTCTGCACATTCTGTAGAAGAAAGTGAGGGGCGGACAGGTCTCATCAACCTGGGAAGGTAGCCCATCTAAGAGAAGGAAAACTAAACCTCCGCTACAGCGGTCATCACCCACATCTTATTGCAGTGGATATATATATGTATGCATGTATTTATAACAGCATTTCTATACTGGCATAAAATATCAAGGTGGTGTACAACAATGCACACTCTGTATGCTCAATGTACAATAGACCCTTGGGTTACGTTACTCTCGAGTAACGTAAACTTCGGGTTGCGAAAGCGGCAAACCCTGAAGTGTTTTTCTGGGTTTCACCATATGCGCGCTCTATCACGCCGCATGCGTGCGCAGAAGCGGCACCTCTGGCTATGGATTTTTCGGGGTATGCACAGACCCCCGAAACAAATTAAATTTGTATCCAGAGGGTCCAACTGTATATTTATAAGAGTAGAGATGCAAAAAATAAAATAAAACTGTTGCAGGATATCATTGGTGTTATTTCGCCCTGTGACTGAGGGAGCGAAAAACAAAACGTTGGCATCAAAGACAGGAGTTGGTGCTCCAATGTGGATTCTACTTCATATGCAAATATATGCATGCAGTTGAGTGCTAGATTTGGCCTGGAAGAAGAACTGAGGGGACAATATAAGTAGATTGACCATTGCTACAACCTCTAACCTGCAGTATTAGCAGTGGACTAAGACGGCATGGCTGCCACTGGTTGTTCACAGAGCATAGCCCCCAACCTGGAATATGGGCAGTGAACTACACGGCAGTGTGTTGTATCTTATTCCGCCCAGACTATTTCTTGCAGACTCTCTACAGTTACCTTCTTTGCAAGATGGTCCCATCCATTTGTAGAGACAAGTGCATTTGCCATTTCGCACGTCGCATTGGGATTTATTGGCACATTGGCACCGCTGAGAGCAGTTGGGGCCATATTTGCCTGGCCCACATTCTGCAAGAGACAGCAAATGTTTATGTCACAGAGTTTTAATTTTTAGTTTTTACTATCCCCTCTCCATCACCACTGCCACTCACCTCACCAGAAATGCTTTAAAACAGAGCGGGAGAGAACAAGAAAATAAAGAAGGCATGCTAGGAAATAAGGAAACGTCGGATTCTTCTCTTACTCTTAATCAACAATTTATTAGCATTTAATCTGTAATATGAATGGTTTGCAGCCAATCAGTTGATTTAATCTAAAGATATTCCCACTTTGCAATGCTTCAGTGAAGGTGAGAGGATTCTTAGGAGAGAAGATATTCATAAATATGAAGAAATTTACTCTCTCATTTTTTATTTTTTAAAGAAGATGGCAATGACTCCAATCCAGTGGAGGATGTCACTAGCGGAAAGGAGAGAGGCAATTCTCACTTATTCCTCTTTTGCTTGGCAGTATCCCATGCCTAAACTGTTCCAGAGAGTTGAACTTTCAGGAGGAATGGAGCATTGGGGGAAGGCGGAATTGTCAAAAATCACTTTCCCCCCTCCACCCTCTGCTAATGAGAGCCTTCAGTGGATTGGAGCACAAGCAACATTTATTTAATTAAACAAGTATATCCTCCCTTTTGCCAATATTGCTCTCAGAATAGAGAAAAGAACTAAAAGAATAAAGGCACCCCCCCCCAAAAAATAACAACCCTAAACAGCTTAAAACAATAAAACATATTTTTTTAAAAAAATCACACTAAACGTATAAAAGTGGCAGCAGCAAAAAATAAATAAAAGGATTAATGCAGAAGACTAATGGCAATTTGATGGCATTAAAAAAGGTCTGAGAGCATGAAAGTGCTATTGTCCGGTATAATTGTGTGCCTTGTGAGCCTTTTTTAGGAACAGCCTTGTGCAAATGAGCACAGACAAGAAGGCCCCACTCTCTGGTCGCCACCCAGCTGTCTTCAAAATGGGGGGGAGGCGCACCCAGAGAAGGACTTCCAGTTATGACCTCAGTACAAAAGCAGGTTCATGTGGGACCGAAGGGCAGGTGAATGGGTAGGTGTTGCTTTTTTAATGGCTTCCATGCTTGGTTACGTGAAAGAGTTGGGTCTCCGTCATTCTCATTACTGATTAAATTTAAGGTGGGCGGGTGCCTGAGGAATTCAATTTCTGTGAATTCTGATGCAAACACAATTTATCTGCACCTCTCAGACTGATGTGCGGATCAGAAACGACCCTTCAGTAGTTCCGCTTCTTCAAATTCTGCAGACCTCAGCTCACTCAAGGTACCCAAACGATGTTTAAAAATATGCATTGGTTTAAAAATGCACATACTGAGACTCGTTTGTTGAGGCATATTTAGATATTAATTTTTAACAAAAAACATTGCAGATGTGGAAACGGGATAAAGCAAGCTTATGAATAAACCTAAGAGGACTTGCATGGACTGAACTGACCATGTCTGCTTCAGGGTGCTCATTAATGAAAACCACCATCATTCTACTACTACATATTCCCATAGACACTTTCTCTCACCTGGACTGTGATAAAAGACAATAGACCTTTTCTTTACACCATCTGAGCTATTACATAACTAAAAGCAATTTGCTGGGCAGTTAGGATCGCTTCCCCCCACCGGGAGAATTCTTTAGTCCTATTCAGACACTTCAGTTCTTTCAATTAAGGGAACATTGTGAGACAGGCTCTTGCAAACACCTCTGGGCCTGATTTTAATTTAAGTAATAACCACATTTTCATGTTCATAACAATGTGTATTTAAGACATCTGTTTGAAAGTCTGCAATGTTAATTTAGCAGAAAAAAGCAACCTAATAAAAAACCTCCTATATATTCTCTTGCTTTTTTTTTTTAATTAACATTATGGTTGTTTAATGGGTGCTTTACCAGAGTTCAAATTAAAATCAGGCCTTTTATCTTTATAGCTGCTGCACAGTCACAGCTGCTCATGGTTATATCACAGATGAACTCGGCCTAATTGAAAATAAAAATGCAAATAAAACCAAACCCATAACAGCTTTTTAAGCTTTGGGGGTTGCACAGACTGTTTCGAAGAAAATAAAAGTGACTTCTACTTTTCTTTCCTTTTTTTCTGTTTTTCCCCCAAGGAGTACAAAACTTCACTCTTATTTTTTGTGCTGAGCTTCCCCCTTGTGTTCCCCAGTTGTCTAAACAAAAACACTATCTAGCTGGAAAAGCTCTCTGCATTCAAGTAGCCTTACTCATTGTACTGTGTGGTCCCTATTCAAACCACAAGAACTGAAAGATTGGAATCTTGAGCAGGGAATGGGGCAAGCTAGGAAGAGAGTCATTTCCTTTCTTTTAGGCTCTTGGGTTGGAGCAAATTCCGCGTTTCCAACATCCTGGGGCACTTCATTCACACTGGCTGTATTTGAAAGCATACCATGCCATTTCCCTTCTGGGTTGTGGATCTTGAACTTGTAAGCAACAGGCTGTTTTCCATCCCTTTATAGTCGGGACCACATTTCAACAGTGTATTGTTGCTTCGAGTGGAGACCATCTGGGTTTACACCCAGTGTAAACATTAAATAAGCCTTAAGGCTTGTAATGATGGGACCTCTGCCGCTTCCTTACGATTTCCCCTGACTATAGCTACTCTCAAGAAAGGAAAATCTGCTTGAGAATAAATCATTGATTGCAAAGTTCACAGATATTTTCTCTGATTAATCCAAAAAGCCAAGAGTAATCCGCTTGAGTTGAGGGTGGATGGAAGAGTCTGTGGCAAAGGAATGCCCACTTCCTAAGACCTGCTTGGCTCACATGAACACGGGAAGTGTGTGTTGGTTCCATAGAATCACAGAATTGGAAGGGACCCAAGGGTCATCTAGTCCAACCCCCTGCAATGCAGGAATCTCAGCTAAAGCATCCATGACAGATGGCCAGCCAACCTCTGCTTAAAAACCTCCAAGGAAGGAGAGTCCGCCACCTCTCCTGGGAGTCTGTTCCAATGCTGAACAGCTCTTCCTGTTGGAAAGTTTTTTTTCTGAATGTTTAGTCGGAATCTCCTTTCTTGCAACTTGAAGCCATTGGTTCGAGTCCTACCTTCCAGAGCAGGAGAAAACAAGTATGTTCCTTCCTCCATGTGACAGCCCTTAAGATATTTGAAGATGGCTATCATATCTCCTCTCAGTCTCCTCTTTTCCAGGCTAAACATACCCAGCTCCTGCAAGCATTCCTCATAAGGCTTAGTTCCCAGACCCTTGATCATCTTGGTTGCCCTCCTCTGCACATGTTCCAGCTTGTCAACATCCTTCTTAAACTGTAATCCCCAGATTTGGACACAGTATTCTAAGTGTGGTCTGACTAAGGCAGAATAGAGTGGTAATATTACTTCCCTTGATCTGGACACTATGCTTCTGTTGATGCAACCTAGAATAGCATTAGCTTTTTTTGCTGCTGCATCACACTGTTGACTCATGTTAAGCTTGTGGTCCACCAAGACCCTTGGATCCTTTTCACATATACTGCAGTGGCAAGGAAAATAACTGTACCAGTTTCAGGGCTAGTGCACACACACACCTTTTTGAGCGGGTGCTAGGGGAATGAGACTGTGCATTTGGTGGACCCAAAGCCTCTCACAGTATAACCCCCACTGTCCTGTTTGGTCCTACTACCACCCTTATTAGGGACGCGGGTGGCACTGTGGTCTAAACCACTGACCCTAGGGCTTGCCGATTGGAAGGTCGGCGGTTCAAATCCCCGCGATGGGGTGAGCTCCCGTTGCTTGGTCCCAGCTCCTGCCAACCTAGCAGTTTGAAAGCATGTCGAAGTGCAAGTAGATAAATAGGTACCGCTCCAGCGGGAAGGTAAACGGCGTTTCCGTGTGCTGCTCTGATTTCGCCAGAAGTGGCTTAGTCATGCTGGCCACATGACCCGGAAAAACTGTCTGCAGACAAACGTCAGCTCCCTCAGCCAGTAAAGCGAGATGAGTGCCGCAACCCCAGAGTCGTTCGCGACGGGACGTAACTGTCAGGGGTCCTTTACCTTTACTTTTACCACCCTTATTATTGTCCAGTTCCGAGGGCCTTCTGCTGGTCCCCTCACCAGCAGAAGTGAAGTTACAGGGTTGCAAAAAGCAGCTTGTGGGTGCCATTTTGAGTTTAAAAAATGGCCAGCGTGAAAAGGGTTAAGCAGTACCTCCCCATCAGGAAGGGGAAAGGGCAATTTAGTCAGGACACTGTTACATGTGTCTGCTGTGTAAGATCATTTAATTTCAGCATGTTCCTTATTTGTTTATTTAAATGTGTGGAGCAGTAAAAAATGGCAGCCCCTTCGAATCTGCAGCCTTAGGTGGTACAGTCTATTCTACCACTTTAGGATTATCACATTGCTCTGCTTCATACCAGCAACAGGGAAAACAGGGAAAAGAAAATGTATCAGTTTTGTTCCAGGATCTTACCAAGATCACACCTGTCCCCAGTTGTGCCAGGTGGGCAAAAGCACTTTCCAGTAACTGGGTCACACCAAGTTGATCCTGCACACTCACAATGATGTTTGCATTTGTCTCCAAACATTCCAGCTGGACAACCTGAAAAAGCAGAGCATTGGCATATGCAATATATATATATTGCCATTGTAAGAAAGACAATGCAACGTAACTAAATAAATTGCCCTAACATTTCATTTAATACCAATACCTCTTGATAGGACTGCTTCCCATGTTCAGAAATTGCATGGCATGCCAGCGTTTGGATCTAAAGCATCTTTAGCATGGCTAAACAGGCCCCAAGATGCTCCAACACTTGGGCTGTCTTAAATAGGAAATTTACCTTTTTCACAGTGTACCCCTTGGAAACCTGGGGCACACACGCACAGCCCAGTCGCTGGGAGACACGTGGCTCCATTTTTACAGTTGCATGGATACCGGCAGTTGAGACCATAAAATCCAGATGAGCAGGCTGAGAAGTGAAACGATAATGTTATTTCAGAAGATGCACCATGAAAATTTTGTCCAACACTAATAGTAATGTTGGAATGCTGGAAGAAGACATTTGAAGGCAGCCCTGTATAAGGACGTTTTTAATGTTTGATGCTTTATTATGCTTTTATATTTTTTGGAAGCCACCAAAGTGGCTGGGGCAACCCAGTCAGATGGGCAGGGTATAAATATTAAAATAATAAAATACTATTCATTATCATCATCATCATAAAATATGAAGAGCCTGCCAGATCAGGGCAGTGGCCCACATAGTCCAGCATCCTGTTCTCTCAGTGGTGAACCACATGGCTATAGTAAATCTACAAGCAGGATTTGAGCACAACAGCACCCCCTGCGGTTTCCAAAAAATACAGTAGTACAGTGGTACCTCGGGTTAAAAACTTAATTCGTTCTGGAGGTGCGTACTTAACCTGAAACTGTTCTTAACCTGAGGTACCACTTTAGCTAAAGGGGCCTCCTGCTGCTGCTGTGTCACCGCTGCACAATTTCTGTTCTCATCCTGAAGCAAGAAGTTCTTAACCCGAGGTAATATTTCTGGGTTAGCGGAGTCTGTAACCTGAAATGTATGTAACCTGAGGCACCACTGTATTCAGAAGCATTAGTTAGTGCCTCCAACTGTGGAGACAGAATACAGCTATAATGGCTAGCAGCCATTGATGGCCTTATCCTCCATGAATTTATCCAATCCTCTTTTAAAACCAACCATCACTGCCCCCTGTGGGAGCATGTTCTATAGTTTAACTATGCACCGTGTGAAGATTTGAACATTTCAGTAAGAGGATAGGCTGGTATGGTAGCTAAGTAGACCTTCATAGGAACTTGACTTATACCAAGTCAAACCCATTCGTCCATCTACCTCAGTATTATCAACACTGACTGGCAGTGGCTTCATAGGGTTTCAGATGGGGAGGCTGTCTTTGCAGCCCTACTTTGAGATTCTGGGGATGGAACCTTGCACCTTCTGCATGCAAAGCCGATATATGGCCCTTCCAATAATTTAAACTATACTGCTTCACAGATGCCTACATACATCACTCAATATTTTCTTCACTTAGCAGCAGAACATTTTGACAATTAGTTCTAAGGAGATGCAACAAGATATTAAAATTATGTCTGTGGTTATTCTTGCATAGGCATGCATTGTTACTGCCAAGCTAGCCTCTTGGCTTTGCTTCCTTGGCCGATGACTTACTGTAGTTGCAGGAATGTCCGTAATAACCTTCTGTGCACTGACAGCAGCCAGTAAACCGGTTGCAGGTTCCGTTATTCTGACAAGCGCAATCTAGCTGACAATCAGAGCCATATTTTCCAAGAGCACATTCTGCGGGGGGGAAATGTCCAGAAAACCTTACTAATCTAAACAATGCTCCCCTGCTAAACAATCACAAAGCAACAGGAAAATCTGAGAAATATTGCAAACTCAAACCCTGCTGCTACTTCTTTCAGATTAAATGTGATTTTACATAGCTGAGAACATTGCAAACAAAACTGTTTCAAGTATTTGGAGAGTTTCAAAAGCATTAGTAACAAACCACATCTCTTTTATCGTGAGGTTTTGGGGTAGTTTTGTATCTTCCCATGAAATGTTCTCAGCAGTTATATCCATGAGTTCACACCAGTGACTACTACTCTACGAACCAATAAACTAAGCACAGCGTAATTTGGTCATTTATAATTGGGTGGTCTGGGTGAAGAGAATTGCACCATAAATCCCATGCAAATATGTAGGGAAAATGCTTGTCTGTAAACAATGCAATGAAGGAGAAAAGAAATACTACCTTTCTCACAGTAGCGTCCTGTCCAGCCAAGTCCACAAATGCAGGTCCCATTCACGGGATCACAGATGCCACCATTCTTACACAAACATTTTAGCTGACACTGGGGGCCATATCTTCCCTGGGGACACACTATAGTAAATTAACAAAGTGTTTTTTTTAAAGAAGAAACAATAATTTAGTGCAACACATAAATGAATGCCATAGCTAAGGGAGACAATCTCCATTCCCTGGACAGCTTCCCACTATACAGGAGAAGCAGGAGACTTCTGGTCTTTCAGGTGTTGTTGGGAGTCCCTACTCCCATCAACCCCATCAAGGATGGTTGTGGTTGTAGTCCAGGAACCACATCTGGAGGGCCACAGATTCCCCACTTTGCTCAAAACAATGAAATTGTAAAAGACAAGCAAATCTGTACTTCAAGCCAGGAGAAGGGACTGTAACATGGACACACAAATAAAGAAAAGGATGAAACCATGGATTGTTGATGGGGTGATAGCCAGATTCCCCAGTGCACTCTGAATGTGAAGCTGTCTTCTACAAAGTCTGAGTAATGGACCATCTAGCTATGTCAGTATTTGTACTGATTAGCTGTAGTGCTCTATGGTTTCAGGCAGGAATCATTTGCAGGCTTGAGATGTCAAGGATGGAACCAGAGACCTTCTGCATGCAAAGCAGTGAGCTACAGCCCTTGCCATGAATATTTTTCCTCAAAGGAAACTGAAGGTTTAGGCAGGAATGAATGAAAGGATTTTTAAAGCCCATTCATTCTCACAGGGATGATTTTACCCTTGCTCTTTCCATACGATCTTTATAAGACAGAGGAAGAACTTTGGTAAAACAAATTAAATGGATCAGAATACATTTTAAAAGAACCATTTCTTTATGGAAACACCACTGAGCTGGGGATGGGTGAGACAACAGACAAGAGACAGAAGCAGGTAGGAGGCAATAGCATGACAGTGGTATTAAAACTTTTGCATGCATTAGCCTCCAAGATTGGAAACTCTGACCATTCTTGAGGGAGTACAGACATTTATTAATATTTTGCATTTGTTCTGGCTGTTTAAAAGCTGATCATCTCATACATTGAAGGCAGTTGGGTCCAATTCGGCCAGGTGGACAGTAGCACTTGCCCATCACCGAGTCACAACGTCCTTCACCACAGGAGCAGAATAAGGCACAGTCCTTCCCATAGTGATGCTCTGGACAAGCTAAAAGGAAGAAAAAAGCAACATGGTTTGCCAGCTCATTGCAAAAAGTTAAATCTGCAAGTTCCTTTTCTTAGGAAAAGGCTGTTCTTTTTACTCTACTAAGGCTGTGTACCCAACATAGACTTAAAACGCATTCAGAGAATTACCCCCCCCCCCATTTCCTGGAAACTGCATTTTGTTAAGGGTGCTGGGAATTGTAGCTCTGGGGAGGGCAGGCTACAGTTCCTTACATAGTTTTGGGTGGGCAGAATGTGCCCTGAATGTGCTTTAAAAGCATGGCATGTACACAGCCTGTTTGCTAGAAAATATTTAGCATCGTTAGACATTTTGTGTTAAATAAGCCCCACTGCTTCCTCACCAGGGGCTGGGATTGCTCCATGTTTAAATGTGTGCCAGCAACTGTGCTCATTGTGATATATGGAGCTCACTTCCTCATGCCCAGTGCATGGGCTGCCCGCAGACATTTGATTGGCTACTGTGGGAAACAAGACACTGGCCTAGAGAGGCACTTACTTTTCCCACAGTCCGCTCCGATGAAACCAGGCAGGCAGTCACAGGCTCCTGTCACAGTGTCACAATGCCCTCCATTCAGACACTGACATGCTTTCCGGCAATGTGGGCCGTATGTTCCTTTGGGGCATCCTGTTGAAGTCAGGAGAAAGCATCTCTGAGAAAAGCCATTCAGTGCAGAAACCTGGGCTGTGTAGACACAATGAATTTCAAGCAAGTGGCCTCTCCTCACAAGAATTCTGGGAAATGCAGAAGCTACAGTTCCCAGGATTCTTTGGGGGAAGTCATGCAGTGCATGCAGCCTTTGGTGTGATCTTGGCAGCCCTGGTTTACTCCAGTCACATAAAAAAAAACCTGGGTGGGTCCTGATTTTAGAACAAAGGGGCCAAATGGATGACAGTAGACTACTTTTCCTCATGCTTATCTTCCTGCAATTCCTCCACTCACCCAATACTTTCCCCTCAACTAAGCTCACATCTAGGCTTCAGCTGAGGGGAAGAGACTGCAGTGAGAGCTTTATATATGACTGGGGATCATCCAAGTTCAGACCAAATGGTTTTCCTCTGTTATGTACTGAGTTGAATAGGATCCAAACTGCAGCAGTCTGATTGGTCCTAGAACAATAGGATCCAAATTGCAGCAGTCTGATTGGTCCTAGAACAATAGGATTCAGAATGCAGCAGTCTGATTGGTCCTAGAACAATGCAGCAGTATGATTGGTTGGCAGGAACCACCCAATCATGCTCCAGATATAAGTGAATCCACAACCTGATTGGCTTACAGTAGAATTCCAGAATTAGCCAATCATGTGCGGCCCATTGTGTAAATAATGTATATAAAGCAGATACTTTGAGGGGACTTTCATTCATTCCTCCTCACCACTATGAGCTGAATAAAGAGCATGAAATCACTTTGCGACTCTGAGTATATTTCATCCTCCATAATTTCTTAGGGGTTTTTTATGCCACCAGCCTCTTGGCTTCTGAGCCAGGAGAACCCCAACATTGAGTCAACCACAAGAATCAAGTTGGCACTCCTACCTAAAAGACCAGCACCAGCTTTTTAGCCCAACAGGGCCATGCAACCTCCATCGCTGGTCAAATCCACACCTCACAGCTAAAGAACACAGTTTCTCCTAAAGAATCCTGGGAACTCTGGTTTGTTGAGGGTGCAGGAATTTATAGCTCTTTGAGAGGCAAATTACGGTTCCCAGGATTCTTGGGGGAGCGAGAGATATGCTTAAAATGATATGGTGTGGATCTATATCATCATTGCAGCAGGCAATATTGAACCTACCAGGCTCACCACTCTGAAAGGACCACTTCATAGCTACTCTCACATCCTTCAATAGGTACCACCTATATCCTGAATGTGTCATAGTTTAAACAGGGATGTTTATTAGCATGCTTTCTCTCTTTTGAATGCTTGGAAAACAAAAGTTTATCTGCCCCCCCCCCCTTGCAATGAGTTTAGTTGCCCAGTTGGTTGGAGACCAAGGAGACGTGAATTCAAAAAGTAACCTTGAGTCACTGCAATACCTAAGAAATCTCTTCTGCTTCAAATATACAGTCAACAACCGATCAAACAATCTGAGTAGATCAGTTTTCCTCTCTCTTTTGGCAATTTAAAGACACACACACACAGGGAGACAGAGAGAGAGACTTGAATTCTGCTGCTTTTGGTGTCTATATTTGAAATCTCGGTTCCTGGCAGAGAAAACTGAATCACTCCAGCATCCTTTTTTAATGTCTACCAAGCGGATAGAACACACCCTTCATATAATGACCTCATTTGGCTTGTCTTGCGATGAATGTCTCTTTCGCCCACCACACTTCCCTTCTGGTCACTAGTTGGCTTTTGTTTAAATAGTTTGCTATTTACTCTGCATCAGACACCTGAGTCTGAATCTCCCCCCCCCCCGCCCCACTCCCTTGTCCCCACAACTCTTACTTGGCAAAGCTCATGGAATTGTTTTCCAGTTCACACTGACACCGTTTTGTTCCATGACTGGAAATGGTTAGGGCAATTCATATAATCCTTCCTCTTACCAGTAAACTTACCCTCCTAACTTGCTATTTATTTCAGTTCAACTGCGAGCAATGGATCACACACGTCTGTGGCCAACATTTAACTCAATTATCATTTAATACAGCACCCTTGTCTGTTCCCACTTTCCCAAAATGGGCTGTCTGAAGACGGCGCAGCCAGTTCACACACAGCCCTGCCGTTTTCGTATGCTAAACACCCATAAAAAGAGGGCTTCAGCTTCCAACTGCCAGTTATCTAATAAAGACATTTTCTAATTTAACAGTTTCCTGTGTATCTGTGTTATGTTTTTTTTTTCTGGGAACTGCAGGAATGGCAGCCAACCCTCTAAGTCATTTCCTGATTTCTTCCTTCTGGCCTGGATTAGTCCTGCCATGACCATCAGTTCTTAAATCCTTTCACAGCAGTAGCAAGTAGTGGGGGCTTTCCTTACCAACACACACACACACACACACACACACACACACACATGATCTGCAAGAACAAAACCAAACCCCACCCCCCACAAAACACACACATTTGAAACACCACCATTGCTGCAGTCAAGGATAGGACATTGCCTGTTTCATGTTTTGCTCTGGTTATAAAGTGTTTTTGAAAAGTTAAAGCTGGAAATTGGGGGGTTTTTTTGGTTCATCTGGGGTGGTGGTGCCCTCTTGCGCCCCCATGGATGAGCATGCTCCCAATTCTCTCTTTTTCTCCCACCACCCTCCACACACTGTTTGATGTTCCCAGTAACAGCTTCCTTCTGGAACCCAGATGTTCTGAAGACCCATAGCGCAGTTCGGCTGTCAAAACTGAAAGATCACCTGAGATCTACTGAAAAACTGATGAGCCAAATTAGCACATGTGACAGCAAATGCATATTTGCAACATGCTTGGATTAAAAATAATATAATAGTAATAAAAAGCAAACAGCATCAGCTCAGAAGGGTGATTATTCATGGAACTGACAGGCAATTTTACCCTTTTCTCCTCTGCTGTGGTCCTAAGGTGAATCTCAAACTACTATTTGCTTTAAGGGAAAAATCACACATTGTTGCAGCTGAAGCAGAAATGGTTGATTGCCACACTCACCCATAGTCAATCCTCTGGGAATGGCCTGTCAAAGTAGGTGTGGTCGAGATATAAAAGCAGCATCTGAGTATCACAGTTTTTTGTGGCCCTCCTAGCACCCTGCCCAACGTGTCCATTTGGGGGACGGGACTGAAGGCCACACGGACCCATGGTCACAAATCTCTGCTTAAAAACCACCTAGGAAGGAGAGTCCACCACCTGTTGTGGGAGTCCCCTCCACAGCTCTTAATGTCAGAAAGTTCTTCCTGGTGTTTAGTCAGAATCTCCTTTCTTGTAACTTGGATCCATTGGTTTGGGTCCTAGCCTAGAGACTGGGAGAAAACAAGCTTGCTCCATCTTCCTTGTGACAGCTCTTTAGACATTAATTCCTCCTAAGAAGGAATTAAGAAGATCATGGAGCTACCACTGAAATCAGCCAAGTTACCCCCCATCCTAACACTTTGTTCAACTGATCAGTGTCTTGGTATCATTATGGTGCCTCCTTTTCCAACCAGGTCCTAGCATCACTGGGGTTGGGGGAACAGGAGTCTGGCTTTTTCAGCATCCGTTCCTGGTCTCTTTAATGTGTAGCTCCACCCTTAACCAATGCTTGTTGCCATTCAAACACCTTGTTTCCGTGTGCCTTTCATCTGGATACAGCTGAGTAATGCCATGACATTTACTGCTCACTAGAGCAAATTTAGATGTTGGGGTGTGTTGCTATCGTGCATCAGACATATATGCCCTTGCACTGATTTATGGGTGAATAAAACGATTCTTATTGCTAGGCTATCTGCTTCCTTTGGTCCCTGCCAAGACACTATTTCAATTCTTCACTCCAAAATTCGAGAACATGAAAGCCCAGTTGCTCTTGGCGGCTAAAAGCCTCTGCTTACCAGCCAGCTACACCTTTTATGGATAATTTCTTGTGCTGCTTTTTCTCTCTCCCTCTCATAGTACTCATAGTATAGCAATTGTTGCCAGGAAAGGTTTCCAGCCATATCCAACCACATGCTGGTTGGACTCAATCCAGCTCAAGTTCTTTGGGAGAGGCTTTGTACACTCCCAAACTAATTTTTTTTTTAAAGCATACTAAATGTTCCTGCTCTGGAGATAGCAGAATCATAGAATTGTAGAACTGGAAGGGACCCCAGTGACCATCTCCTTCAACCCCTGCAATGCAGGAATATGGGGGGGGGGGGAATTGAACCTGCAACCTTGGCCAAACCAGGCTTTATATATATCTTGCAAACCTACAAACGTCGTCTGATCTTCACAAATACTTTTCAAATAATCCGTAAATTTACTCCAGTCTTCCATGAATTTCTGGTCCCTCCGGTTTCAAATCCTTCCTGTTAGTTTATCTAGTTCTGCATAGTCCATTAACTTCATCCTCCATTTTTCAATCGTCGGTAATTCTTCTTGCTTCCATTTTTGGGCCAATAATATTCTTGCTGCTGTTATTGCATATAAAAAGAGCTTACGTTCCTTTCTATTTATATCACTCCCAACAATGCCCAGTAGAAATGCTTCTGGTTTCTTTACAAATGTATATTTCAGCATTTTTTTCATCTCATTATATATCATCTCCCAGAAGCTTTTCACCTTTTTACATTCCCACCAGGCTAATGGCTTGACCACAGGGGTCCCCTTTTCAGCATTAATCTCCAACCAAGCACCAATGTTCTGTGGTGCATGAAGCCGCCTTACACTAAAACAGACTGTTGGTACATCTAACCCAAGGTCCCCTCCAGATGTTTTTGGACCACCGTTGTCATCAGTCCCTGCCAGCATGGCCAATGGTCAGGGATGGTGGGAAATGCATCTCAACAACTTCTAGCGGGTACCACCTTGGCTATCTCTGACCGACCCTAATATCCTCAGCTCAGAGGGCCAACCTAAATATTATACAAAGAAGCATGTGAACAGATTATTGCTCTTTTCAGGTAAGGTTCGATGGCATGCCAGCAAATTCAGGTCGTGCAGTTATAGTTAACTGGGAGGTCTCCTGCAACAAACCCACTTCCCCCAGATTTCTAGCTTTTTGTGATAAGTGACTGGAAAACATGGAATAATAGTTGATTTGATAACATCATCTAACCTCCACATAGACAAATCAGAATGAATGCTCATTAAATAGCCAATGCCATCAAAAACCTTACTGCAAAAAAATGAAGATGAATGCTCAGTAAACAGACTGTTTGGAAGTGCCCATTCTTGAGAGGCATCTAGCTTGGTCCTGTCTAGTAATTTGCTCTTCATGATCTCAGGCATGAGTGTTTCCTAGACCGGCTATCCAAGACTAAAGATGAAAACCATGTATTCTGCTACTGAGATGTGTTTTCAGTAGTAGAGTCCATAGATACACAGGTTCAGGTATGCTCATGCAGAGCAAAGATATGATTTGGGAGCGGAGAATCCTATTTCTTTCATTTCCTCCATTCTCTCATTTAGCTTGCCCAATGCACTGAGTCATCCATAGGAAGGAGCAAGTTTGGCCTGTGTTTGGTACAGATGTCAATGTGGGATACATGGGGCTACCATATTCTCAGAGGATCTTCCAGTTATGCTTCCTTGCAGATGTCTTATCTTCTCTCCTACCCCTCTCGTCACCATTTGCCAAGCTGCTGTTGCTGTGAAACCATCATTCCAGTGGTGTGAGCCTTCCACAAGAGCATCAGTAAGATAAACAGATGGTGTCCAAGAACAGTGCAAATATCCTTTTCATGAGCAGTAAGGCTTTGCAATAAAGCTAGCCAGGGTCGAACGAAGCATCTTCCAACAGTTAATTATTATTATGATTTACTGAAAAGTAGTAAATCATTAAATTAGTTTCTGCTCTTGTAAATATGAACAACTGACAAGGAGAAATGTATGTGCCTGTTAAGTCCCAATGAAATAAACAGAATGTAAATACTTGTAATGCTGTGCTGGACTGCAACTGCAGGAGGCAATCCATCTGCAATTACTATACGATGTATTTCACACTGTATGCCCTTTTATTGGACTGAAAGTTTCACGGGACCAATCCACAGGACTTGATCTGGAAATATCTGTGCAACTTCACAGGATCTTGTAGGGCAGGAGTAGGGAACCAGCAGCCCTCCAGATATTGCTGGACTACAACTTCCATCATACAGGACTGATGGGAGTGGGAGTCCAACAATCCTTGCTGTAGCAGTAGTGTGAGGGAGGACACATTTACCACCACTCCTCCAGCCATGGTTTCCATTGTTTGCTGCAAATGGGTGCAGGTAAGCCTTCCACCCTTTTGTAAAAGAAAAGTCAAATTTCTGTCTACCGTGGAAAAACAGAGGCAGCCCTGGATGTATGCTCAGCCAGTTCACAGTTGCATGCCCATCAACTGCGGAGTGGGGCATCAAGGGTTGACTTGCATGCGTGAATGGCCTATGGCAGCTCAAACACCACAGGGAGAACGCTCAGATCATCCCATATCAGATCACTGCTTTACACTGGTGGTTGTTCACACATTCAGTAGCTGCAAAGACAGAAAGCAAGCAATGTGCATGCATGTGTGAACTCACCCAATGTCTTTAGCCCTGGGCTAAAAGGCCCTGTCTTCCTGTAAGATCAGTGCAGAAAGAATGGGGCACACCAGAATAACTCCCAATTTATGTGCATCACACACAGCCTGCCCAAAAAAAAATCCAGGCTGTGAACTAAAGGGAAGGTGTTTTATTCTTGGAAGAGGATGTGAACAGCAAGAAAAAAAAATGCTAATTTAAAGCTGCAAATAAAAAGATAATGAATTATAATCCTCCTTTTTAGCCAGATCAGTTCGTGTTTCTTATAATTCATCATCTTTGTTCCACTCCACAAATCATTTCACGGAAGTCACTCTTAGACACATGGCTTTGCTGATTTAGAAAAAAAGTTATTATGAAGAAAGTCTTGGCCAACTGGTGGTCTGTCCTTCAGGTTACTCTGCATTCCTTGACTCAGGACAGCAATTTGTTTTAATTTGATTGTTCTATGAAGGTTGTGCAGTGTAAAGGCTGACTTTAACAGATTGCTTTTGATTTATTGTTACTTGCAGCATGTCTTTTTTATAACCACCATCCACGCTCAGTTGAATGCTTTGAGCTTTTGGGAAATTTTTTGGGGGTAGTGTGTGCAAGTCAGAGGCAATGGGAGATATGTGAAACAGCTTTTAGAGATGGGTACTTCTCCCTACAAACTTTTAATTTTACCAAAAATATTTTGACTTCCCTCAAAATTCCCAGGGACATTATCTCTGAAGTGTATGTAGTATTTAATTTTGCTTTGCAGTAGCAACTCTCATATTCACTATCAGAAATTAATATCAATTAATATCAATGTCACTTGATAAGGAAAATTAGGCCAAGCATATTTCCTAAATCAAGAAGATGCACCCAGCTTGTTTTCTACGCTGCCAACTGCACTGAACACCCTTTTACAGAAGAGATAATCAATTACAGCCATTTAAAGTCTGTGATAAATATGCTGATTGATTCATCATACCAATCCACCAATTAATGCTTTTAGCACTAATAAAATTGTTAACGGATAATTGGGAAAGAGTCCTTTACCCAGCAGAATGTGCTTTGCAATAAATTCTTCCCACCTATAAATCAGTCCTTTTATTTAAATTTATATCCCACCCTGTCCCATGGGCTTAATGTGGTTTAGAACATTTTAAAGTGAAAAACGACAGATAGAGTATAAATATGCACATAAATATATACTAAACCTGGGTTTGCCAACTCACAGCCTCTATCTCTTAAATCTGTAACCCTGTGTGATTTGTAAATTTAGACGCAGTACCAATTTGTAAATGTTATTAACCCTGGTTGCACAGATTTTTTAAAAAGCATTTCCACAGCCGTTTTAAAGCAAAGTATGACACCAGACATGTAGACCAAGACAGCAGTTGTGGATACAAATTTCCTTCTGCACTACGCTTGGAAATGCACACTTTGGAACAAACTATCTGAGTTTATTAATATCAGCTGTCAACATGGAGAGTAAACCCACATGCACAAACAAGAAGCACTCACCACATGGAATTAAGTGAAATCATTTTGCAATGGCTGTGCCACATCAAAACAAGCATGTGATTTGGGCCTGGTAATTCCCATTTTACAGATGAAGAATTGAGGCTGGGCAACGTGGTCTGTGTGAGTTCATGACTGACCAACAAATAGTACCCAACGTTCCGAGGTCCAAGTCCAGACTTCCCAATATTATTATCATTGTCATCACCACCATCATCATCTATTGAATTCATATACCACCCTATACCTAGAGGTCTCAGGGCGATTCACAGAACAAAATCAGAATATAAAACCACAAAATATATAATCAAAATAAAAACAACAACCCCACTGGCTTATGCTGGCTTGAGGTTGCAAATACGATGGCCCAAATGGTTCAAAATGGTGTTTAACTTCTAACACATCACCTACTTAAACCCTAAACGGTCTCAGTCCAGTATACCTGAAGGAGCGTCTCCACCCCCATCGTTCTGCCCAGACACTGAGGTCCAGTGCCGAGGGCCTCCTGGCATTTCCCTCACTGCGAGAAGCCAAGTTACAGGGAACCAGGCAGAAGGCCTTCTTGGTAGTGGCACCCGCCCTGTGGAAACGCCCTCCCACCAGATGTCAAAGAGGAAAACAACTACCAGACTTTTAGAAGGCATCTGAAGGCAGCCCTGTTTAGGGAAGCTTTTAATGTTTAATAGGTTATTGTATTTTAGTGTTCTGTTGGAAGCCGCTCAGAGTGGCTGGGGAAACCCAGCCAGATGGGCGGGGTATAAATAAATAAATAAATAAATTATTATTATTATTATTATTATTATTAGCGTGCCAGAAAAACTAGAACAGATATTTTAAAATATAATCACATGAATATAGGTATAAAACATTGCTCTGCATTACCTAGGAAGAGCCCCACCATTGTTAAGAGAACGAAGGGCCAAGTCCCTATTCAAATCTGATCCTAACAATCAAGCAAAGGCGAATGTTGATGAAGCGAGAGTGACACTTACGAAGGTCACAGTGGATTCCGTAGTAACCTGGCAGGCAGCCACACTTGCCGGTGACATGATGGCACTCTTCATTCTTTCCAGAGCACTGACATACTTGGTTACAGTTCTCCCCATATGTGCCTGGCAGACAAGCTGAGGGAAGAGGAAATGTAAACCGATGAATTACATTTGTCTTGGTAAACACAGTGCTCAAACAAAGAGCCGGGTAGAATTTATTCAATAAGACCGCTGCCTGCAGAAGAATGCTGCCCTCTGGGACTTTGGGTTTATTACGTTTGCTTGGGGATTACTTTGTGGTTTGATTTTGTTTTGCTCAGTCAATTTGTGCCCAACTGTCATGGGCCAGTTGCAATTTTCTTGTCACTTAGAGAAAGTCATAGGTTGATGTCAAGGAAAATCAACTAAAATAATAAAACTCAGGAGAGTCTCCCAAATATGCGTGGTGACTCTCTCGCCCACAGATGCCTTAAAGCTTCAAGTCAGCGTCAAATGCTTGTGCTGTTTCTTTCCTGGTTCTCTCTCTCTGCCCTGGCGGGGAGCTCATGCTAAAAGTCTGCGGTTCATGCTATGTGAGCTATTCTCCACCACAAATACAAGTGTATGTTTAAATTGTGTGTTTCCAGTGACATGTCATGGGAAAGCATCCAAGTTACTTAGGGGCTGGTTCACACATGCAAGGACACTTGATCATGTCACATGACAACTCACATAGAACGATAGAATTGTAGAGTTGGAAGGGACACGACAGTCATCTAGTCCAACCCCTGCAATACAGGAATCTTTTTGCCCAATGTAGGGCTTGAACCCGCAACCCTGAGATTAAGAGTCTCATGTTCTACCAGCTGAGTTATCCCAGGCGGTTAAACCAATTGATGTTAAACCAATCCATTAACATGAATTGGTTAAAGTTAACATTGAAACTAATTGCATAGCATTTTTGAAGTGATGTGAAAGTGCTATCTGTGATGCCCATTCACATATGAGAGACATCACTTCAAGGATCAGTCGGCAAATGATGAATGGGCATGTATGAACCGGCCTCAAGTGGGGTGGGAGAAGTCAATGCTCCATTTCTGCACCTGCTAGGGCACTGGAGGAAATCATGTGTACAAAACACTATAGACCTTCAAAGCAAGAACTGCACATGCGAAGCACCCTTTGGGTTCAATGAGTCAAAATCTCAGTAAGGTCCAGTTTGAACGTAATGGGAATCCATAGGTTCCTGCTCTGTGTCCTGGGTTTATGGCAGGCTTCCTCAAACTCTGCCCTCCAGATGTTTTTGGCCTACAACTCCCATGATCCCTAGCTAGCAGGACCAGTGGTCAGGGATGATGGGAATTGTAGTCTCAAAACATCTGGAGGACCGAGTTTGAGGAAGCCTGGTTTATGGGCTACCCTCTTTCTCCTTTGCAGCTCTCTCCCAAGCCTTTTCAAATTAGCCACTCTGAGATTCTTGTTGGTGTGCCTTCCGACTGTTTTATGCGTTGTAATAACTCACTTGGTAGAACATGAGACTCTTCATCTCAGGGTTCGAGCCCCACATTGCGCAAAAGATTCCTGCATTGCAGGGGGTGGGACTAGATGGCTCTCGTGGTCCCTTCCAACTCTACAGTTATATCATTATGCTAGATACTCTATTTCTGTACTCCACTTTCCATGCCGGTTCATTGTTTTCTTGTGCTGTATTTTGTATTTGCATATCTTATTGTCAGGTAGGGGTTGGTTTTTATTGTAAGCTGCTTTATGCCAGAAGTTCCTCAAAATTTATAAATAAGGTATACATTTGAGGTATAGATTTTAATTAAATGAACCACCTCGCTCCACATACTGTTCATTCTTCACTTCTTTCACTGTGGAACTCCCTGCCCATTGACACGAGGCAGGTGCCTTTACTGTATTGTTTTCAGTGCCTGCTAAAAGCTTGTTTGTCTAGGCAAGTCTACCCAGATACCTAAAACTTTTTAAGATTTCACTTTCTTGATGCATATTTATAACCTCTTCTCATGTCAGCTTGTTTTTAACTCTGACTTCTCTCCAGAGTTGTAATGTAAGTTTTATTTTATGTTAACTGACTAGAGAGCTTTATACAATTAAGCAGTTATACAGATTCCGGTGATGAACAAATGAATGAACGAATGAATGAATAACCTTATTCCTTCATGACAAAACACACACACACACACACACACACACACACACACACACACATTAGGGGACTTACTTCTTTCGCAGCCACTGCCCACAAAACCTGGAGGGCAGCCACACTCCCCGCTCATGTGGTTGCAAGGGACACCTGGAGGGCATTTGCAGCGCTCAGTGCAATTGCTGCCATAGTAGCCAGGCAGGCAAGCTGGAGAAAACAAAAGCAAAGCCATCTCTGCTAGAAGTCTGAATATACAGTGGTACCTCAGGTTACATACGCTTCAGGTTACATACGCTTCAGGTTACAGACTCCGCTAACCCAGAAACAGTACCTTGGGTTAAGAACTTTGCTTCAGAATGAGAACAGAAATCGTGCTCTGACGGCGCAGCGGCAGCAGGAGGCCCCATTAGCTAAAGTGGTGCTTCAGGTTAAGAACAGTTTCAGGTTAAGTACGGACCTCCGGAACGAATTAAGTACTCAACCTGAGGTAGCACTGTACTTCTAAGTACTGTGACCCACCCTCTCCCTACGGCTCCAAATGGCCCTCTTGCTATTCCCTAGAATTATCCCCTGCACATGCCATTGTTCAACCCCTATTGTTGTCTGCAGTGTTATCCAGCAGCTTCTGCTCAGGATAAACAAGTTGAGTGACCCATGCACAAGCCAAGAAAACACTGTGGGCGGGGGGGGGGGGAGAGAATAGCCCAAATGAGCATGGTTTGACTAGGCTCTCCAGCCTTCATTTATTGGAAAACTATGGACAACTTCAGATCAGTGGGATTTGGGATGTCACAGAGCAAAAGAGGGCTTAATGGGAACTTACGCTTGTCACACTGTTCTCCTCTCCAGCCCATTTCACAGTGACACACTCCAGTCTGGGGGTTGCAGGAGGAGCTGTGCTCACAGTCACACAGCCCTTCGCACCTCTCCCCAAAGGAACCATTTGGACAAGCTGAGGATAAATTGTGAAACACAAGCAAAATGAATACGTTCTCTCCCAGAGGGCAGGGGGTTGAATAATTTGAGCGCAACCACCACCACCTCAGGAAATAGTCAATATTTATCAATAGGGACATCTCAAAATTATGAGTGCCGCGCTGAAGGTCGGGATTTGTAATCTGAAAGGTGTGGCACAGAGTTAAACCCTGTAAAGCAAAATTCTAGAATGCTTTATCTATATTATGAGTGTCCAACCACACAGTTGAGGCCTACACATGCTGCACATCCTCTCTGGGTATTTTTCATAACTCAGGGGTCTCGAAAGTTTCTCATGCGAGTCCTATTCAGAGTAGACCCCCTGAAGTTAATGGACCTGGCTTAATTTCAACGGGTCTACTCTTAGTAGGGCTACATCCTTATGAATGTAGACACATCAGTTTGCTAATATACCAAACAAGCTGGACTTAGGAGAATTCCACAGATGAAAGAAGAGTTGAGATACAAAGATGACAGTGTGACCATTTATATACAAATTTTGTGTAGTTTAAAAATAAAATAAAATTACACATAAATGAGATGGAACAGACTTTTGAATGAACACATGTGAATAATAATAATAATAATAATAATAATAATAATTTGTTATTTATAGTTGTTTATTTCCTTGACATCTGATGGGAGGGCATTCCACAAGGCGGGCGCCACTACCGAGAAGGCCCTCTGCCTGGTTCCCTGTAACCTCACTTCTCGCAGGGAGGGAACCACCAGAAGGCCCTCAGAGCTGGACCTCAGTGTGAAAGTGAAATGTGAAAGTGGCACTGACCAGAAACTGAGTGATCTATCCACCCCTAGTTTCTGTAAAGCATTTGGCCTATTTGTGAGCTATTCAAGATTTAGGACAGAGGTGGAAACCAAAGTCAAGGGTCCCACTGTCTACCATCAAGCATAACAGACAACGGGGTCCTTGACTTCGGTTTTCACCTGAAGAGAAAGAGAGCGGGTGTGTATGTAAAGGAAGCCATTGAGGTTTAGAAGGAGGAGAAAGAAGCCATACCTTGAAAGGGGGAAAAGGAAGACAGGAGTCCCCATACCTGAAAGGACGGCAAAGAATCAGAGAACGCAGATCGAGCTTTTGATTCAGTCAGCAACATAATACACAAACAGAGCAATCCAAAACTGGCTTATGGTGGGCTGTAGGTCCACTGGGAGTATTTCTGCTGGCGAGAACCCACAGAAAGCCCCAAAATGGGTCACTTCAAGGCAGGGCGTGAGCAAAATGGAGCTGGCCCAGGAACCACTGGATCCTGAGCCAGTTTCTCTGCTTTCGTGCAATGGCATCAGACCAAGTCATTGTGTTCCTTACCTTCCACTGCAGCCACTGTTGTTGCCCACCACCAGAGGGCGCTCATTTAGATTGCACCCTAAGACGGAAACCCTGAAACCATTCATTTAGGCCAGGCATAGGCAAACTTGGCCCTCCAGATGTTTTGGGACTACAACTCCCATCATCCCTAGCTAACATGACTAGGTCAGGACTAGGTAAGGGATGATGGGAGCTGTAGTCCCAAAACATCTGGAGGGTCGAGTTTGCCTATGCCTGATTTAGGCCTTTTTACTGAAGTCCCATTAAACACCAGTGCAAAGGCTCCAGTGTAACGGATATCATTACTGCAGCTTTAGAGCTCGTATCTTTTGGCTTGATGCAGGACCAAAAGTTATGTGGGAGAGTGCAAAGGCACATAACAGCAAGATGTAGCGAGTGCAGAAATGGCACATAATCACAAATGGATACAGCGACACAAATATTTTTGATTATCACAGGGGCCTTTTATAAAGTTAAAAGAACTGCGATCCTTACGAGTATCGCAATGGTCCCCAATCCAGCCTGGACGACAAGTGCATTTCCCAGAACGATGATCACAAATTCCACCATTGCTAAAGCTGCAGCTCTGCTGACACCTTTCTCCATACTTCCCCGCTTCACACTCTGCAGTGAAAGAGAATAGACTTTCACTAGTTTATGAATGAAACTGTCCAGCCTGAAAAGAACTCAGTCTTGGCAGCTGACCTTCAGCTCTGCTTAGATCGAGTTTAACCAATGTAGGTTTATTGCTAGCGTACTGTTACTCACCCAAGCCCTTTGGGGACGAGCCATTATATGAACTGAAATGAATATGGAAGCAATATTGACAATATTTTCTCAAATTTACCCAGTTCACAGGCTATTCCGGTCCAACCTTTGGGGCATAGGCACTCTCCAGTCGCGGGATCACAAGTAGCCTGATTTTGACAAATGCAGTGCTGCAGGCAGTCCTTACCATACAGACCCGGAGGGCAGGCTGTGGACAAGAATATATTTTTAGCTTAACATGAAAGGACCATCACTAAAATTGTGCATAGGAGTCATTTTAAAAAATGAGGATGAAGCATGTTCTGCATTCGACTGTTGCAAAGGATGCTTTTCGTACCTCCTGGGTTCAAGAGTGCCATTAAGGGAGACCAGAGTAGGGAGCTGCCCTTGCTCACTATTATTCCTCAGGAATTTCTTGTTATTGAGGCATGAAAAGCAGCCACAACAGCAAATGCTCTTAAAACTGTGTGGTTTGAGCATTTTGCAATTTAACTTGTGAGTGTTGGTTTGACAACAACAACAAACTCGCACTATTATCTATTTAAAACCTGCTCATACAGAGAAGCTATCTATACCTCTCCTTATTTCTGAATGGATGATGATTATGATGATGAATTTAATTTATTGACTTCTCTTCACCCCAAGGTCCCAGGGTGGGTTACAACAATTTAAAATACATTTGGGATGGGAAGGTGAGAATGCAATCCTGGCATCCAATGAAATGTGGGATATGGGAGGTGGGGAAATGTTCAGTGTAAAAAGTTGTAACATGACCATATCAAAAGATATTTGGGTTAAACTAATATAATTTAGTGTCGTTGGGCTGATGCTGCTGTCTTTTCTCCCGTTAACAGGGACAATGATGGCATGGGGCATGCCTCTACCATTTTGTCCAGCCTCTTTTCCTGCTCTTTTGGATGTAGCAGACATTTTGCATTATGCCACACCCCTATGACGGCCAATTTGTGCTTGTAACACTTTCTCAAAATTCCAGATGTTTCCACTAGCCCAGAAAGGTTGGTGACTTCTGATCTAATGTAAAAGGGTCCCAGTCAGACTGCTCACTGACATCTGAATCTCCTACCTGCAGGTGGTGTTTTTATGCATTAAAAAATGGCGTCCCTACCTGCTGTCACAAGTGGTACAGGCTATTTTACTACCTTAAGTCTCTACCACCTCACTGGGGTCGTGGGTGGTGCTGTGGTCTAAACCATGGAGCCTCTTGGGCTTGCCGATTGGAAGGTGGGCGGTTCGAATCTGTGCGATGGGGTGAGTTCCCGCTGCTCTGCCCCAGTTCCTGCCAACCTGGCAGTTCAAAAGCACACCAGTGCAAGTAGATAAATAGGTACCACTGCGGCGGGAAGGTAAACAGCATTTCTGTGCGCTCTGGCTTCTGTCACAATGTTCCGTTGCACCAGAAGCGGTTTAGTCATGCTGGCCACATGACCCAGAAGGCTGTCTGTGGACAAACGCCAGCTCCCTCGGCCTGAAAATGAGATGAGCACCGGACCCCATAGTCGCCTGTGACTGGACTTAACCGTCAAGGGGTGCTTTGCCTTTTTTACCTTTCCATCTCATTCTACTGCATATGAAGACCAGACCTTTGTTTCATTGCCACCTTGATCTACTGTTTAGCCAAACCAGGCCCAAATTTAAATCCACAATGTACCTTCCTGACAGACCGGTCCTCTCCATCCAGCTGTGCATATGCATGCTCCAGTGATGTGGTCACAGAGTGCTGCGTTCTTACAATTGCAGCGCTGACGACAGCCTTGTCCGTAAGTGTTAATGTGACAAGCTGGAGAGAGGGAAAGAGAGAAAACGAACCATAAAGCCCAATCACGAGACATCAAAGGACACATCAAATTCATTTGGAACTCAATTCAAGGAAAATAAAGAGAGGGAACTGATTCGGGATGGGCGATACTTTCAAGTCACGCACATGTGTTTGTATATTCATTGCGACTGACAAACAGACCCGCAAATATGTATCATCATAACACAGTTTGAATGGTGATTTTTTTTCCTTTTCTTAGAAAGTAACAATTGGAATCATTTGCGTGATAGATCAGCTGTCTTCTTCCAACAGAATGTCTGGGTATAAAACAAACTGCCACAGCCAGTCTGACGGGCTGTTTGTTTGGAAACTCTTCTGCAAAGCCAGGCTTTTTCTTTATTGCTGCTGGCAGAATCACTGTAATACCAAATGAGGCTGATATGGTATCAGGCCCCTCTCAAAGGGATGAAGCAAAGGTGATATGGTCAAGTCTTGGGTTCCTGCTCTGCACAAATAAAAAAAATGTGCAAATACAGCACCAACTCCTCTCAAAAAACAAACTGTGCACACGTTTGCACCAAGTGTCCAAAGGAACATTTCGTATGAAAATGCATAATTCACATGCTTTATTCTGATTTCCCATTGCAGATTTTGCCATCTTTGTTTGAAAGGTGGGCATGGAGGTACCAGTAGCAGTTCAGTATTCTTTTGTCTCTTCTTTTTTATCACCACTGCTCAGAGCAGGAAGAAAAAGTCTGATCTGGTAGAATGCGGAGAGCTGTTTTATCTAGAGTCAGACCTGTGGCCTAATGCACAGAAAGAGAGCTGGGTTTACTGGACCTTTGGTCTGATACAACATTGCAATCCTACATTTTCTCCCTCATACATGACTCTGTGTGGCTCTACGTATGCAGATATATAGCACCTGGTGCTGATGTTTAAACTTAACATGTGTTGCCAGCTGCCACAAGGTAAAGGTAGCATCCATTTCTGCTGTAAGCCTGATAGTACCATACATACATCTGCAACAATTTAAAAAATGTGGATAATGGGAGCATGATACAAATTTGCATCACTATGTGATTGGGCACTGTGAGCAAATATAAAGCTGCCTTACATAATACACAATGTGTATTAAACTACTGTGTGGTTGCATGTACCCCATGGTAGGTAAAAAGGACCCCTGGATGGTTAAGTGATTAAGTCTAGTCAAAGGCGACCATGGGGTTGCAGTGCTCATCTTGCTTTCAGGCCGAGGGAGCCGGTGTTTGTCCGCAGACAGCTTTCCGGGTCATGTGGCCAGCATGACTAAACCACTTCTGGCACAACAGAACATCATGACGGAAGCCAGAGCGCACGGAAATCCTGTTTACCTTCCTGCCACAGCAGGATCTATTTATCTACTTGCACTGGCGTGCTTTTGAACTGCTAAGTTGGTAGGAGCTGGGACAGAGCAACGGGAGCTCACTCCGTCGCAGGGATTCAAACTGCCAACCTTCCAGTTGGCAAGCCCAAGAGGCTCAGAGGTTTAGACCACAGAGCCACCTGCATCCCCTCCCATGGTAGGACAATAAGCAATCACTGTATGTAAACAACTGATGTCACCCATGTGAATGGGTCTGAAATGGGGAGGATTCCTCCTGCTTTCATTGACCTTGTATTTTTCTCCTTGGGTCAATGGCTTGGGGCTATTAGAGGAAAAAAGACAGACACAGCTATTGTCTGAGGTCACAAATCTATGACTGGGGTAGAGATCCTGAACGTTCCTGACTTCTATTTAAGGTTTTCCTTTCTATATTTTTCTGGCTTATGTCCCTGCTCTGCAGCATGGGATGTAGGATGCTGGCTTGAGCCATCTGTTCTTTCTCTTCCACATCCTCTAGGCATGGCTGGCAGGTGAACTTCCTGCTGGCCATGTCCCAACCCAGCAAGGCCTGCCATGACAGATGCAGAACTTCTGGTACTTTAGACAGCTGAACAAATGCCTTTGGGTGCCCTCTAGAGTACTAGACAAGAACAGCTGGTTCTGCCAAAGGGATGTGCAAGGAAGCCTATCTTCATTGTGTTGCACTGAGCCATCACTGACTCGCTTTGATCCAAGGCTGCTGGCCAGAGTTCAGCTCTGGAACCTATTGAAATGCTGGTCCTCAACTGCAGAACATCATTGTCACTCTAACTAATGATGAATTCACTCTCAGGGTGCCAACAGCACAGTAACCAAGGGCACCTAGCTGGAAGAGGGAGGTATCAGCGCACTCAATGTAACTCATAAGTTTGCAGAAGTACAAAAAGTTGTTAAAAATCAGGACCCAAAATAGCACAATAAAGATTGGGCATGCTTAGTAGGCACAAAACACTGCAACTGACATTTCACACGTGCACACATACTCCGAGAAAAGTGTTTTAGTGCTAATTAAAAAAATCCAACTGATTAAAACACGCACATGCACATACCCCTTTTCCAGTTAATGCCCATTTAGAAATAAATGATGTCATGGCAAAGGGCTTTTCCTCCATCGTTTCATTCAAAGCATCATTGTGTTGTATTCAAGTGGTATTTTGGTAACATTTTGTATTGAATGCAACACACTTCTATTTAAGCAGTAATTCATTTATTTGTTTTATGTAATAATTATGGTGCTTTAATTAAGATTGCCGGAAGAAATATCAACAACCTCAGATATGCAGATGACACAACCTTGATGGCAGAAAGTGAGGAGGAATTAAAGAACCTTTTAATGAGGGTGAAAGAGAAGAGCACAAAATATGGTCTGAAGCTCAACATCAAAAAAACGAAGATCATGGCCACTGGGCCCATCACCTCCTGGCAAATAGAAGGGAAAGAAATGGAGGCAGTGAGAAATTTTACTTTCTTGGGCTCCATGATCACTGCAGATGGTGACAGCAGTCACGAAATTAAAAGATGCCTGCTTCTTCGGAGAAAAGCAATGACAAACCTAGACAGCATCTTAACAAGCAGAGACATCACCTGGCCAACAAAGGTCCGTATTGTTAAAGCTATGGTTTTCCCAGTAGTGATATATGGAAATGAGAGCTGGACCATAAAGAAGGCTGATCGCCGAAGAATTGATGCTTTTGAATTATGGTGCTGGAGGAGACTCTTGAGAGTCCCATGGACTGCAAGAAGATCAAACCTATCCTTTCTTAAGGAAATCAGCCCTGAGTGCTCACTAGAAGGACAGATCCTGAAGCTGAGGCTCCGGTACTTTGGCCACCTCATGAGAAGAGAAGACTCCCTGGAAAAGACCCTGATGTTGGGAAAGATTGAGGGCACAAGGAGAAGGGGATGACAGAGGACGAGATGGTTGGACAGTGTTGTTGAAGCTACCAGCATGAGTTTGACCAAACTGCGGGAGGCAGTGGAAGACAGGAGTGCCAGGCGTGCTCTGGTCCATGGGGTCACGAAGAGTCGGACACGACTAAACAACGACAACATTAGTGGTGAAGCAAAGGCCAGGTGTGGATATTTAAGATAGAGCAGAACCAGATGTTAGAAGGGTGATGCAGGTGATGTTGAATACAGCAGCCCCCTCTATCCTGCTCCCCCTCCTCTGGTAGCACCTAGTAACGCAAAATGTGACATCACAGCATCCCATCCCCAGCAAGCTGCTGTCCAAGGACATGAAACTGCAGGGAACAGAGTACAACCCCAGAGCATGGTCATATCATGCTACGTGTTGAAGAAATGCTATGGGGAAAAGGAGAGGAGGATATATGTTCTTAAAACATCTAACCTGGCCTCAGATACAAGCATTAGTGCCTTCTATTGTCCCGAAAGCTGAATCAGCCATTTTCGCGCCTTCTGAATTCTTCAGTCCAAGTAAGCCCTGGCTACGAGTGAAGCTCATCAATGTTGCAGCCGTTTGCCTCAGTGCTTCAGACTCACCCTGCAGGTGCTGGTGCCCTCTGCCTGCTAACCGAGCAAAAGGGGCTCGTTTATTTTATTCCCGCTTGTTGGCAAGTTCTCAGCAGATGGGTTGCATCCTCCCTTATCAATAATTTTGAAAAGCTTTTTCATTCACGCTGAGCAGCCTCCCTAAGCCGGCGGCTTTTAATAGCATTAAGTCTTAGAGCAAATCAATTTCTGTCTCAATTATGCGCCAGTCTTGTGCTCCCCTCCAAACCTTTTACTTCTCTCTTAGGAGAAGATCTCTCCATCACCCGGCACCGCGAGGCCTGCATATAAATACGATGTTGTCGTGCGTTGCCAGAGGACCTGGAAGCGAGCCATCACCCGACCGCTTTAATAGCAACCTTTGGAAGAAACCAGCAGTGTCACCCGTGTATTACAAGGCATTACTGGCCAGTCTTTAAATCAAAGCGATGATTCACTGTTTAGCTAAGAGGCAAAGGGGGCTACCTTCTTTGCATTGTTGTTTGACCTTATCCCTTTAACTCGGAGGCAAACGAAGTTGCAAAGACTGTGGCACCTTAACTAGTGCACAAAATAAATCAAAGGTGGTGCAGAAAGCTTTAATGGTCCCATCACGCAAGGACAAATAGTGGGTTTTGGATACGAGTACAGTACACTTTGATGGGAAGATGAAGGAGACAGGCATGGCTTAAGATGAAGGGTTTTGTTTCTTAATTAAACTTAATATGTAGAAACAAAGCTTGCAGGGCCTTTTAAAAAAAGAAAATGAAATAAATCGTCCAGAAACAAAGACTAAGCTGATTGATTGCTAACTTCACAAATATTTGGAAAGTCACAGCAAATGGTCTGTGACTGAAGAAAAGTTATCACCGTTCTGATTTGGTAACAGCCTGGGCTCTTATACGAGGTAACACAATAGGCCCATATTTCACGAAACCTAGAGGGCAGCTACAGAGGTGAAGAACCTTCCTCTTGAGTAGCTCTGCTAACAAATGATGAGAGTAAAGTGTCCACTGAGCAACTGCAGAATGTGGTGTGCTGTGGTGAGCTTTCAAGTCGAACAGTTTTTAAAAGCGAGGTTCCGGCCCTCACCACCAAGGAAGAAAACCTGACAATGTTCTTAAGTGTTACCTGCTGGAGGCTCGGAAACAAGGCCACATAATGGCTTCTGTTACATGGAGAATACGGAGAAAGAGAATTTGTGCTCTGCACTCTACAAAGCTGGCTTAAGTTTTTTGGGAGCCCTTGGACACCTCTGCCTAGGGAAGGTGCTGTTACTATTTCTTGGGGCAAGTGGTGTAGAGATGGCCAATTTGGGGCAAGAGGTTCACTGACTTAAAGAGCTGGCCGGTCTCCTGAGCTATCATATTACAGCTTATGTAGCGCATTTATTTGTGTACAGCTTAGAGAAGTCAGAGGCAATATTTATTTATTTATTGAATTTATATTCCCACCCTTCTGCTTGAAGGAGCCCAGGGTGGCATCAATAATGCCTTAATGCTCATCAATGATGTCTTAAGTGGGCCTTGCACCAGGGAGGAACCAAGATGGCGGCACTGATTCCAAGTAGTTGGGCTCTGGCAACTTCCCTACATGACTAAAAAAATTACTGCATTGCAAGGTGTTGGACTTGATGACCCTTGTGGTCCCTTTCCAACCCTCCAATTATATGATGCTAAGACCTGATGTCATATATGATGTCAGATGTGGGTCAGGAAAAGGCAGGGTTTGGATGGAAGGGGCTTTGCAGGCACCACTGATGAGTTGATAGTCAGCACTTGGGAAAGTACTAAACTTGGGAAACATACAGGCAAACAGTCATTCATTCATTCATTCACTGAATCTTTTCAGTCACTTTCTATTGCCCAGAGCAACCCAAAGCAACTTGCAACCAAACAAGCAGATAGACAAAGTGTCACCTGATGTCTTTGTGACATCAAGTGATTGAAAGGTGGCATCATACTTGGCCCACGGCTGTGTGTGGAGTTAAGGATCTGGCCTACCAGCCAGATCCAGTTTTCTACCCATTATAAAGGTTGGGCTACACAGATGTTCCTCTGAAGAATTGATGCTTTCGAATTATGGTCCTGGAGGAGACTCTTGAGAGTCCCATGGACTGCAAGAAGATCAAACCTATCCATTCTTAAGGAAATCAGCCCTGAGTGCTCACTGGAAGGACAGATCGTGAAGCTGAGGCTCCAATACTTTGGCCACCTCATGAGAAGAGAAGACTCCCTGGAAAAGACCCTGATGCTGGGAAAGATGGAGGGCACAAGGTGAAGGGGACGACAGAGGACGAGATGGTTGGATAGTGTTCTCGAAGCTACCAGCATGAGTTTGACCAAACTACGGGAGGCAGTGGAAGACAGGAGTGCCTGGCATGCTCTGGTCCACGGGGTCACAAAGAGTCGGACACGACTAAACAACAACACATAGATGTTCAAGGGGAGGGAAGGCAGTGATGTTTCCTTCTGCCAGCAGTTCGTTACCCCACCTTCAGGAATAAGTTAGGAGGAGGATTAAAAATAAAAATAAAGTCCTGGTGCATACACCTCCCTTTGGACTCAGAATGCTAATTACAAACTCAATGCAAACAGAAATGCCAGAAACCGTCTTATAACATTTGTCTATCTAGCTCAATACTGCCTACTCTGACTGGCAGTGGCTCTCTTGGATCTCAGAGGTCTTTCACATCCCTTGCTACCTCTTCCTTTTAACTAGAGATGCTGCCAAATCTGCATTCAGGAGCTTCTGCATGCAAAACACGTGCTCTTCTATCACGGACCTGTAATCATATATCTCTATCTCTGTATTGTTGCTGGCATCCATCTGTCTCGGGAGACAAGTGGAGGATTGTGCCTTTGGGGGTGAAGTCAAATTGTCGGAAGGTTACACCACCTGCTGCGGCTATAGAGACTGATATGGGACACGTTTGGTTGCATGTCTATATATAATCTATTTACTACTGTGAATTATCTTCTATAAAAAAATGGATGTAAACTTGTTTTGCCTGGCACCGATGGAGCACAGCATGACCAGTTTATTATACCCTTTTCTCAGTAGGTGTTGCTGTGGAGGGGTACAGAGCTTTTGCTAGCAGGCCACAGTGCTGGTGCCTTTTAGCTGCAAAACCCATTATGAATACATCAGGTGCATTGGTTTGAGCCTGCAAGAACGCATGCTCTTACTACAGGATGGGGCAGTAAGTGATATAGCCTTAATCTTTCCCTTGATCCACTTATTTCTCAGAGGCATAATGGCTTTGTTGAATATTCTGTAATGATAGAAGCAAGTTCTGGCAGAGAAGTTTTTGCACACAGCAGCAACCAAACACGCCAAGCCGACTCACAACACCAACTCGCCGGGCATCGTGCCTCAGTTGCAAGCAATGTTTACCTCAGAGGATCCAGCTGTTCTCCATTGTTTATGTATGGCAAATGCTTAATTGTTTTTTTTTTTGTATAGGAAAGGCCATAGCTAAACATGTCCATCAAGAGAATGCATCAACAGAATAAGCATAACCAATTATTGCAGAAGAGAAGTGTTATTGTTACATTCTGTCTACATCAAATGATAAATTCAGACAAAGATCTTCCATGGAAGAGACTGATTTGCACAATCGCCACACTGTTGGATCCATGTGGAACTGGATTATGAAACTGATCTATCTGCTGTGATCGCTAAAGAGTTGCTTGCATCCAAGATTCCTTCCCACAACCCATTTCCATTCAGATCCCAGCATACTGTGATTTCAAAGCCAATGCGCCAAGGGACTATCTGCTGTTCAATTGACCCCTCCCCCCCTCTATTGCCATAGAAGTAGATTTGGATAACCTGTGGATGTGGGGATTAGCAAAATGTAGGAGACAACTGTTGCAGCCAACATGTGGTAATAATTTCAAATAGCTAGACCATCATACAATAATTGAATCATCATAACCTTATGAATCAACCCTTGCTATTTTTTATTTATGTAAAAAAGGAAGAAATATACTCTACAGCTGTTGTCAAGTGTTTTATGCACGCATAAGCAACAGCACATACACATCAACGTTAACTTGCTCATCGTCTTCCCAGCAGCTTGCAGCCTGCTTATTAAACTTGAGAGGAGCACAAAAATGAAGATTTGGGGTTCCACAGGCGAGCTCTTGGAGGGGAATGCCCCCCAAAATCATGAAAAATGTGATGTATAATCATGGTGCTTGCATGCAAACAATCACTCTGCATAAATCACGCTGCACGCACAGATCTGCATCTGCACACAGATCTGGTATGCAAACACGGATGAGTTTGGTGAGATTTAGAGAGACGCTTTCTCATTAGTATACAAACCTTGCTCACAGCTGGGCCCGATCCAGCCAGGGAGGCACTGGCAGGTTCCATCGATGTGATTGCAGACAGCTCCATTCTTGCAGTCGCACACCTGGTGACAGTCCAGCCCAAAAAAGCCATCTGGACAAGCTGAAGATGGAAAATGATGAGATGGTGATACTCATTTGTGTATACATCTATCTATCTGGCAAGCAATATTCGCCTTCCCCAAAACAGAGCTTTTAGGAAGTAACAGGGGAATGCACACATTTACGTTTTAGTTAAGAGCTGATCCAAGAGTCTGTCTCTTGCACCGGAGGCAAAGCGGTGCTTGGACTGTAAAACTGGCCTCCCTCAGCATGAAAATGTATAAATAACATATTTGATGCTAGCCAGAAAATTATGCTGCTGAAAGAATAGCACGGAACGTCTAGTCAGATACTGATTCAGTCATGACCCACCATGCTGAACACAATACACTAGTCAGACATTTCACTTGATGGGTCACAAATGAGATCAGCACTCCAACCCAATCCACAATGTTTCAAAGGAAGTCCAGGTGATAGTGTGTTGTGACCATGCCAGTGAATTACTCATCAATTAAGCATGTTAAGCTCTAGGGTTTCCAACAGATCATCCATAAAGAAAACAAGTAACACTCCAGCAGAGGGCACAATAATATAGGAACAACATTTCACATGTGGTGGATGCGTGAACATATAAAGCCCTTCTGGGAGGGGGTATTTACAGAAATAAGCTATAATACATATGAAATGTGTCAGTTTGCATTTCTTAGGACAGAAAGTATTGATCTGATGTGTAGAGATCTTTCCTATTTAATTAATTCAAGAGGGTTCTGGAAGCTTCTCTGTATGAAAGAAGCAAGCAGAAGGTTTGTGATGTTTGGGTTATACCTTCAGAGAAGCTGAGTACAGATGGCTTAAACTGGTTCTGTTATCTCTTCTGCCAAGGTCATGTTGACTATAATAGTGAGGCCAGAAGGAGCCCGGGTTTCACTTTCTTTATCTCTTTTCCTTCTGGTGTGATGGTCTGTACATAGTATGCTTAGTGTTGAAGTTTTGACTTACTATAAGTTATTGTAGGTTTAAGTTAAGTCTGCTGCAGCTGGATTTCTTATGGACAGTGCCAATCCTGAATGTATTGGATTTGTGACCATTATGCTCATTTGCCTTCAGTAGCAGTAAAGCTCTGCTGGATGAAATATTAACTGCCTCTGGTCTATTTTTTGGGAATCCTGCAATGTGTTTAAGTTTTTACTCTGCTCACTATATGCTGGAATCTGCTCTGGATCAATACTGAGTAGAATTTCCATGACATGTGAAATGTACCCCAGGTTTGGGATTGTTCGCTATTTTTAAAGAAGGGAAATCTGACCTTTGCTATGAAGAACTAATTACTTTTCTTTTAGTAGCAGCACACCTACGAATGGCACAGAATTGAAAAGGATTGGAATATCTTTTCAGAGCCTCCTTCCTTGGAGGTTTTTAAGCAGAGGTTTAGATGGCCATCTGTCATGGATGCTTTGGGGGTACCTTCCAATTCTACAGTTCTGTGATCCTATGATCTGTGTATCTCTCATTGGAAACAGAATATATGGTCTATTGCTGTATCAGAAAAATTAACCAAGAGATTACATGCACTGAATAATACAAATGGTGTATATGATTTTGTTGAAATATGGCATCCTTTTATAAAATCCTTTACTGATTACCCTCAAGAATGGCAACTACTGAAATCACAGGCTGGACTTTGGCAGACTTAACTAGATTGATCCGTCCTGGAGTGGGGAGAGTTGAATTTTTGCTTTTGTATCTTTTTCTCTTTTTCTGTAATTGTTGTATATTGTAAATCAATAAAACCATATTAAATAAATAATAAAGAAAACAAGTAACACTCCATCATGGTCTGCTCCTGTGTCTTTAACTGCAACTTAATATGCACAAATCAACAGGTGATTTTTTAATTGCATGGAGAGAACCAGCAAATATTGACACATCAAAGCTCCTGTTTATGGCATAGCTGTGGTGGCTGGTTGAAATCATGGCAACCTTAACAGGCTCCCATATGGTAAATCTTCTTACTTGCGCCAAACATTTTGGGGAGGGGGAGTTAGGCTCTCTTTTTCTATTCACCCCATGTGTTGTGGGAGATCACAGTTAAGTACTTGGGAGAAAGGCAGGATATACTGTATTTTTTGCTCCATAGGACGCACCCGACCATAGGACGCACCTTGTTTTAGAGGGGGAGAACAAGAAAATTTTTTTCTCCCCCTCTCTGCTCAGCGCCCCTTCAGCGAAGCGGCAGGAGAAACAGAGCCCCTTCCATTTCTCCTCCCACTTGGCTGAAGGGGCGCTGCGTACTCTCCCTCTCTGCTGAAGCCAGGAGAGTCTTGCTCTCCTGGCTTCAGCGAAAGGAACCCGAAGCTTTCAGAGCGCAGCGCGAGTTCCTGCTGCGCTCCAAAGGCTTCAGGGATAGCCACCTCTCCCCTCCGAGGCAATGGAGAGGCAATGGGATGCTCCTTCACTGCCGCTGCCATTTGGGACAAACGTCGGCTCACCCTCCTTCTTGAGCTTGGCAGGCGGCAGCCCTGGCAGGAAAAATGGGGACATTCTGGGATCAGATCAGGAGCCGGGATGGCTTTTGTAATTCTGGGAATGTCCCTGGAAAATCGAGACACTTGGAATGGAATGGGAATGGCGTGCTTGCAGATGGTGCCTCCAGGAATGTTAGCATCAAGACCACTGAGCATGTTCCCCAACCCCTAATAGTGTTTACCTATCTTATTCTGGCACTAGTGATGAATGGAAGTGAGAGCTGGACCATAAAGAAGGCTGATCACCAAAGAATTGATGCTTTTGAATTATGGTGCTGGAGGAGACTCTTGAGAGTCCCATGAACTACAAGAAGATCAAACCTATCCATTCTTAAGGAAATCAGCCCTGAGTGCTCAATGGAAGGACAGATCCTGAAGCTGAGACTCCAATACTTTGGCCACCTCATGAGAAGAGAAGACTCCCTGGAAAAGACCCTGATGTTGGGAACGACTGAGGGCAGAAGGAGAAGGGGACGACAGGGGACGAGATGGTTGGACAGTGTTCTCGAAGCTACTAACATGAGTCTGTGGGAGGCAGTGGAAGACAGAAGTGCCTGGCGTGCTCTGATCCATGGGGTCACAAGGAGTCGGACACGACTAAACGACTAAACAACAACAACAACAACAACATGGCTAAGTGGGGATTTGAACCTGGCCTTCCAAGCCCTAGTCTGACACACTAAGCCAGCGGTTCTCGACCTGTGGGTCCCCAGATGTTGTTGGACTACAACTCCCATCATCCCTGAGCTCTGGCCTTGCTAGCTAGGGGTGATGGGAGTTGTAGTTCAACAACATCTGGGGACCCACAGCTTGAGAAAGGCTGCTCTAAGCATTACACCACAATCAGGCGGTGGCACCCTATGGCTTCTCCTTTGTTTTGTTCCCCAAAAAGGAATATGACTGCTGAAACAGGAGGGTTCCAACTATTTGATCCCTTCTGAAATTGCTCCCTGCATCTGTAAATCCCAAAGTAGGCAAGCTCATCTTTGCATGTGATATGAAACAAATTTCTTCCTCATTCCTACCAGCAACTTATTTTTCTCCTTTGTCTTTTAAAACTCTGGCCATAAGGAACAGGCAGGCTAGCTCACTGCTTTTTCGTTTTTCACTTGAGCTGAATAAAGTTTATTGTGATACTGCTGGTGTTAAGATTTATTTATTTTGTATCCTAGGGGAAACAAAGAGCTTCCTGTGTATTTTTCGTCAAAGGTGCAAATTGGCCTCGTTTCCACTAGAGGGCACCACAGGTACACACACAAAAATTACAATTTGCTCAGTTACTAAAACACAGGCATTTGATTTCTCCTTATGTACTTGCCTTACAAAGTAACATAACAAGAACAATAGATTTAGTGTGGGAGTTAGAACTCTCTAAAATGCTTTGCACATACTCTATCCTGCTTCCACATCTATCTGCAAAGAATTCGTGTTTAAATCTGCACTTTGGAGTGTGTTTTCTTGCAAAGCATGCAATTCCATTTGTGTTATATCCTAAAATACACATTTTGACATGATTTTGGTACTTCTTTTTAAAGCCAAGAATTGGACTGCAACGTTATATCAACACCTGGTTCTGCATATTAGTCTGCAGACCTACAGATAGGGTCAATTTTGTATCAGAATTTGCAAAGAATTACTTCCCCAATCGTCCCCACTGAGGAACTATTATGCGTATTCTGCGGAGTCCCACTGAGTTGCAGAACATTCTGCCAGGGGTCCTAAGAGTTCACAGTCTGTTCACATCAGATGCCAGGTAGGGAAGCTGCAAATAATTTCATCTATGCATTTTTTAAAATATTTTTTTTGCTACGATGCACACTACTCAGACCCCTACTGAGGATCATAACTTTGCTCTCCAGCAGATTTTGCCCTTCTCCAAATGCTGTGGCACCAGTTTTTGGCAGCTTTAGTATATTAAAGAGAAAAAAACACACATATTCAAATATGTACATTGAGGCAATACTTTTTTAAAAACAACAACTGTGGATCAATGCAGAAATCAGACGCCGGGTGAAACATGCAGAAAAAGCAACAACAGACCATTAATAGATGTGTCCATTCCCAACGCCATTTGCTAGGCCTCACTACAACCCTGTATGAACTGTGATGCAGGACATAACCATGTGGCTTTACATCTGGGCTGGAAAACCTAAGGGCTCTCCAGCTCTCTATTACCGTGTTCTTTTGACTCTTTGTGAGTCGAGGACCCACCACCTGCTTGAGATAAATAAGACACAAGGACGCATGTATTTAAGGTTAATGGGCTAAAGAAGGCCACAACTTTATTGGTTACAGCATGTGAGTGGTATTGGGTTAGGCACTGGATCAAACAATCTATACATGACTCCACCCCACGCAGCAGGGAGTCATCCAAAGGTTAACAACCAGTGGGAGGAGCTTGTTGATAGAAAATACAACTGGAAGCTTCCTCTGATGTCACCGGGGGTCGTGCCATGGCCCTAGCCACCAGCAGGGCATCGGACAGGATCCACAACCGCCAGATTCCTTTAAGGGAATACCCAAACAAGGAGAGGGGAGGTGATGGCCATAACCTACCCTCTAACACACGACACATATTCCAATGCTTAACCGCCAATACCCAAATGTTGTGACGAATTGCTACGAGGTAGGTGAAAAACCATGAGGCTGGTGATCATTTGCCCAATGGGTAAAAATTCCTACCAGGCCCCCTGGGCAACCAGGGCAACCAACCAAAGTCCATAGCAAGGTCAGAAGCATAGGTAAAGGGACCCCTGACCATTAGGTCCAGTCGTGACCGACTCTGGGGTTGCGGCGCTCATCTCGCTTTAGTGGCTGAGGGAGCCGGCGTACAGCTTCCGGGTCATGTGGCCAGCATGACTAAGCCGCTTCTGGCGAACCAGAGCAGCGCACGGAAACACCGTTTACCTTCCCGCCGGAGCGGTACCTATTTATCTACTTGCACCTTGACATTATTTCAAACTGCTAGGAGCAGGGACCAAGCAACAGGAGCTCACCCTGTTATGGGATTCAAACCGCTGACCTTCTGATCGGCAAGCCCTAGGCTCTGTGGTTTAACCCACAGCGCCACCTGCGTCCCTAGGTCAGAAGCATAGGTATGAACTAAAGGGAGGGTGGGTGGGGGATCCGTCGTCTTCTGGGCGCACAATGTGGGCACGGAGCTGCCGTGGCCGCTTGAATGAGGCTAAACCCCGCCCCCAAGCAAGCCCTATTGGCTGGCCCATGGGCGTGGCGCGGCAGCCAGGTAAGCTGACGCAGGGGTCGAAGATGCCCCCCTGCCAACACGGGAACCAGCTCCCGCTCACACCCCCTCCCCTCTGTTAAGAGGAGACACTTTCCCACACCGTGCTCCCCAAACACACCATCTCTTCCTGGGCCATGCCTCTCATCAGCACCACTTCCCACCCAGCTGGGGTGTTTTGGCCTGGCTGGAATATGTCCTTGAATTCTGATCATGAATCCTGGGTGGAAGGTGCAGAGGGGTTTGCAATTCTGTGTAGGAATTAGCCTACTGTACTGCTGTTCTGCCCTCTTTCGACTCTGGCTCTTTTCGCCCCGGCATATGGCCTCCAGAAGCGAATATAGAACAAAGAATCAGAGAGTTGGAAGGGACCAAAGGGGTCATCTACTCCAACCCCCTGCAATGCAGGACTCTTTTGCCCAACGTGGGGTTCAAACCCACGCCCCTGAGATTAAGAGTCTCTTGCTCCACCGACAGAGCTATCCCAGCTGTCAACGGAGCCCTCGGGCTGAAAACAGCCCCCCCTCCCCGCAACCCTGTTGGGCATTGCAAGGGAAGACAGGTAATTGTGGCAAGCTGTCTTTCAGAGAAGCTTGCCTGCCACCGCCAATCTTCTCATTGACTGCTGCTGAGCTTCTTGGGAATGAGTGTGAAATCTACTTTTAAAGGGTAACTCTTTAAAGGTCAGGTAAAGTTAAAGGGGCCCCTGACCATTAGGTCCAGTCGTGACCGACTCTGGGGTTGCGGCGCTCATCTCGCTTTATTGGCTGAGGGAGCCGGCGTATAGCTTCCAGGTCATGTGGCCAGCATGACTGAGCCGCTTCTGGCGAACCAGAGCAGCGCACGGAAACGCCGTTTACCTTCCCGCTGGAGCGGTACCTATTTATCTACTTGCACTCTGACGTGCTTTCGAACTGCTAGGTTGGCAGGAGCAGGGACCGAGCAACGGGAGCTCACCCCGTCGTGGGGATTCAAACTGCCGACCTTCTGATCGGCAAGTCCTAGGCTCTGTGGTTTAACCCACAGCGCCAAAGAGGCTCAAGCTGCAATCCTGTGTACAATGAATTGGGGGTAAATGCCCTTGAACTCAGTGGGGCTTTCTTACGATAAAATAGATGCATGGGGTTGCTAAATTAGTCTCTTTACTGTGTTGCCCATGGAATTGTCAGTTCCTTTTCTGCAGCATCTCCTCTGCCCACTCCTGTTTTATCTGCTGTTGAGGACAGCACTAATATAATCTGCTGGTAAATCTCCACTTAACCAGAGTGTGAAGCTAGTTAAACAATCCTGGTAAAAGGGGCGAAAAATGTTCTTTTTTGCTGCTACTAACTTAGGTTTTACTGCCATGGTAAAAACTGGAGGGAAGGAGGAGCTCTGCATGCAATCCCGGGATGTGATCCTGACCTCTTAACCACCATTAAGAGAATGGGCCTGTTTTGTCTTACCAAGTACATCACTGAGCTGGTAAATTATCCTAGGCTGTAGAGCTAATCAATAACACCTTTACAACAGACTGAAAATCTGCAGAAAACGTCACTGTTGAGAAACGCATTGATATTGAAAGAAAGGAAGGAAGGAGACAGAGGGGAGGACAGAGAAGGGAGCGAGAAATACCTTTCTCACAAAAGGTTCCCATCCAGCCATCTGTACAAGTACAGGCTCCGCTCAAGTGGTCACAGATCGCTCCATTTTTGCATTGGCAGCTATGTTTACAACTCAGGCCAAAGGTTCCCTTGGGGCATCCTGTGTACAGAGAACAAGAGACAAGCATTCGGGCGAAAACCAGGCACAGATATCAATCCTGACTTTTCTTTGATCAGTTTAAACAGCTGCCTATGCATGGAGGAGGAGGGGAAATAATAATTTGCTTTTACAGAAATTGATTTTCAAATAAGCATGGAGAATAACTGTGCACCTTTGTGGCTACTGCAATTCAGAGAGAGCCCAGGCAAAATACCGTATTGGCCTGAATATAAGCCGCACTCCCCCTCCAAATTCCGACCGTGAAAAGTTAAAGTGCGGCTTATACTCTCAACCTTACAAAAACTGGCTTCTACAATATCGCTGCTGAAACAGACATACGGTAAAAGGGAACAAAAAAATGTTTTATTGCCGATTTGCGAGCTTGAGTGCCTGCGGAATTGTAGCAATTGAATAGCGGTTTGCGATTTTAGTGATTGTACGGTAACTTTTGCGGGCTTGCACGATCAAAGGCTTAAATTGGCTTGGAGTTACAATTCTACCAACCGCAGCCTGTAACCCAATTTTAAGGGAGTGGCTTATATTCGGGTATTGTCTCTCCCCTGCCTCTTGAGTTTTAAAGGTGCTGCTTATTTGAGGGTGTGGCTTCTATTTGGGCCAATACGGTAGAAGATGCACAATTGGGTGGTTATCACTGCCTCCTGAGAGGCTTCCCTAAGAAAGACAGAAAGGTTTTTCCATTCCTAAATGTTCCATTCCAAATATTAGAGATTGTTTATTACTTTACATAGTAGATCATGCCAATGTGGCGTCTTAACCATTTACAAGTATAAAATCAACTACACTGGACGCTTGGGTTGCGAACGTGATCTGTGCAGGAGGCACGTTCTTAACCTGCAGCATTCGCAACCCACAGCGCTACGTCTGCGCATGCGCGGGTCGCAATTCGGCGCTTCTGCACATGTGCAAAGCGCAATTTAGTGTTTCTGCGCATGCACGAGCGCCAAAACCCGGAAGTAACCCATTCCGGAACTTCCGGATTCTGCATGGTGCACAACCCGAAAACGTGCAACCTGAAGCGTCTGTAACCCGAGGGATGGCTGTATAAAATATTCACGCATTACTTCCAAAACACTGTAACAGTTGAAGAAGCAGATTCCAAGTAGAAGGGAATACTTGTCTGAACAGGAGTGTCTTCAAGAGACGGTGGAATGCCAATATTGATGGAGCCCCTTACATTTCAGCACAGAGGGCCTTCCACAACATTGCCGCCAACAGTGAAAAAGCCCACCTCTGTGTTACCAGAAGCCAATAATCATCAGGCTGTGGCAGAACTAACCAGGTTCCAGTTGCTGATCTTAATGCCCATACTAGGCAATAAAGGGGCCAGCCTTCCCTAACCTAGTTCCCTCCAGATGTTTTGGACTACAACTTCCACCATCGCTGACCATTAGCCATGTGGGCTGGGGCTGATGGGAGATGGAGTCCAACACCCTTTGAATAGTAGCCAGATAGGGAAGGTTAATGAGGCCTATGCCAAGTTCCTATCCTGAAATACAGCCTAGAAATAAAAAGAACAGAAATGGATAAATGCAGGCATTAACTGCCCAAGAGTACACTGGGGATGCAAAAAATAAAGCATTTTATTCATCCAGACATGAAATCTAATGGTCAGTCTAGCTATCCCTTCCAAACAACTATGAAAACAGACTCCTTCTTGGAGTACACATTTTAAGCAAATGCTTATACAGAGGTTGAAATCCCAAGTGGACTTCTCCACAGCCTAAAAAACAAATTACCAGCTGGACCCTTTCCTATAAGCACACAACGGGAAAAACAGTTCCCACTCCTTTATTCTGAGAACTCTCCTCTTTGGCATGCTTAACATCTTACTCTGCTCACAACGCTTCCCAGTGTATCCTGCTTCACAGAAGCAAACGCCAGTAACCGGGTTGCAGCTCCCATCACTGTTTCTGCAGTCACAGGAGTTTCCACAGAGCTGTCCCCAGGAGCCAGAATCGCAAGCTGAAAAATAATGCAGAATGTTACATGGCTGCCTGCAACAACAGCAAAGGCTTCGTGGGTTTGGGAGTCTATAAAGCAGTGATTGGGAACCTTTCTCTCTGAAGCATTCCCTTGTCAGGGGCTATATGGCTGAGACTGGTGAAGCTATTGTCCAAAGTGGGTGGTTTCCTTCCTTCCTTCCTTCCTTCCTTCCTTCCTTCCTTCCTTCCCTCCCTCCCTCCCTCCCTCCCTTCCACCCCCTTTTGCTCTCTCACTTTCTGCTACCCCATTTATCTTTCTGCCATATTTCTCTCTCCCCCCCCCCCTCTGCCATCTCCCCTTCTCTCCCAACCACCCTGCTCCTTCCAACCCAAACCCCCAGTAGGCTGCTGGAGAAGGGACATATCCCTCCTGCCAGATGTCAGATCCCTTTCAGGGGGCTTCTGCAATCCCACCCAGGAAACATGAAACGAGGTGGACAATTGGCCTTCAAGCTGCAGAAGGAGAGTTCGTATTTGATATCCCGCTTTATCACTACCCGAAGGAGGCTCAAAGCAGCTAACATTCTCCTTTCCCTTCCTCCCCCACAACAAACACTCTGTGAGGTGAGTGGGGCTGAGAGACTTCAAAGAAGTGTGACTAGCCCAAGGTCACCCAGCAGCTGCATGTGGAGGAGCGGAGACGTGAACCTGGTTCACCAGATTACGAGTCTACCGCTCTTAACCACTACACCACACTGGCTCCCCAGTGTTGCTGTGAAGTTAAGACCCATGTCAGAAATTGCTGAGGGTGCAAGGCCTCACTAAGGAGCAAGCCCCAAAGAACACAGAAGAAGTGATGAGTGAGTGAACATGCACAAGTCTGCACTGCCAGAATTTTTTGTTATAAGCCACTCAGGTGATTAAAGGAAGAACATCTGTTAAAATCACTGTTGCGGCCCTCTCTGAGAAAGAGGGGAGAAAGGGTCCATTGTGTGAGAGTAAGTCAGTAGGCCCTGCAAATATTCAGACTGTGCTTAGTTCCAAATGCACCCACTATTAAAATCCATTCTATTCCCCCCCCCCCCGATGTAGCAACACCAGGGCTTTTTTTCAGCCAGAACGCAGTTCTAGCACCTCTTAGGTGGCACCACTGCCATTCTAAGAGAATGAGGGAGGTGTTCGTGGCACCTCTTTTTCTAGAAAAATAGCACTGAGCATCACACACAGAACACTATGACTGAAATAAAAAGGGTGGAGGCTTTAGCTGAGATTCCTGCATTGCAGGGGGCTGAATTAAATGACCTTTGGTGTTCCTTCCAACGCTACAATTTTATGAGTCTACGAAGGTTTTCCTCCATGAACTGGCCTCTGGAAGGATATCTGTGATGGCCACATTTCCTTCTGTCCACTGTAGCTGCCAGTGAAAGGACTTTTTGCCTTGAGTTGTTCTTTCGCAACCATTTTCCGTACACCAAGGTATTATAAGAATGGAAGAATAAGTCAATGGCACATTTGGTACATTTCCCACAACAGTCTTTTCTCATTCTTACTCCCCAGTAATTGATGTCCAATGGCACACTGCCTTTGAACCTGGAACAGGTGCATAGCCATTACAGCTCATAGCCCTTGATCAATTTGCCGCTCATAAATTGGTCTAATCCCCTTGTGATGGCTTTTTATGCTTATGACCCCATTTCAGTGGGGACCCACCAAAGCAGAAAAAGTGTGCAGTGGTTGGACTTGGACCAGGAGATGCAGTTCCCATTCGCTGCTGGCGGCCTGGTGGCACTTTTCGTTTGTAGGCGATAGTCTTATAAATGTGTCCTTCAAGTTCAACAGTGACAAATGGCTGCTTGAGAGCATGATGCATATGCTCAACAGAGAGCTCGGATTGGCTACGGCGCCCTGTTGAGTGAGCACTCGGATTTGCTGCTCCTTAATGTGTGAAAGAGCACTTAGTCATGAAGCTCACTGGTTAAGCAGCCTTGGGCAAGTCGCTGTCTCCTGAGCCAGCCTGTATCTCAGGGTTGTTAAGATAAATGTGATAAATGAACAGGCCATGAAAAGGCACCAAAATGGAAATAAAGGGGAAGCACAGCATGAGGCAGCAATGCAGGTAAGTTGTGACACCTATAATATTCAAATTTCACTCGATATTTAAATTCACAAACCCAGGGACCGTCTTTCTAATGCAAGAGAATGGGATTCACTCAACGTGTTGTGACAAGCGTCTTCCCCCCTGCCCCACATCCTCACATTGGGAATTAGCTCTGAACTAAGCTGCATTGAAAATTGGGGGGGACGCAGAACCAGCTGTCAGTCTGAACGCTGCGCCTTGTGCTTGGAGGAACTGGCGAACAGTGATGGAATAAAGTTCTCCGATCAAACCTCTCCGCTTCACCAGCCATCGCCCTCTACATTTTAGACTTACATGATTAAGGATTATAGCCAGCCAGGCTACATGAACCCATAAATACACAATCACAGAGGCAGGAAGATTAGCAGGGAATATATTAGATATATACATGTAGCAGGAAAGTCTAATTGCCTAAGAAGCTGCCGAGCTGGTTCTTTAGGATTTTGATTACGTCGGCAGCGGCAGGAAGGAGCAGGTGCTGATAATGGAGGCTTTGACTTACGCTGCTTGCAGTCACGGCCGATCCAACCTGGGGGGCATGTGCATTCCCCAGTGACGGGGTTACACTGAGCATCGGTATGACAGCTGCATTGCAGCAAGCATTCTTTCCCATGGTAACCAGCGGGGCAAGCTGAAAAGAGATAAGCGTGCAGCACTTGTCACTTAGATCTATCAGCTCAGACAAAGGCATCTGTTCCACGTGAAAGAGAGCAACTGTGGTCGTGATCCACTCATTACAGATCACTGGGCAGAGAGGTCCTGAAAAGTCATTTAGCTCGGGGCAGAATCACCTGCCTTTTGCTGAGCATCCTCACGCTGCGCTGCAGCTAAAGGGACCGTAACAGGCAGCTGCGAGTCAGCGTTGGCTTTCTAAACTTTGGAGCATTTGTTTCAAACGTAAGCTCTTAAGCTCCATGTTTTATATTGTAAACTGCCCTGTGATCCTCAGATGAAAGGCAGCATAGAAATTTAATAAATAAAACGAAAAAGGCTGGGCTGAACTGAGCCGGCCGTAGATCTGCTGGATCTTGAGCTGGTCTTGCCACAGTAAGGTGATGGCATTGCGCCCAGTCCAGATCCCATTACTGCGCCAGCCCAGCGTGGGTGTAATAATAATAATAATAATAATAATAATAATAATAATTTATTTATATCTCGCCCATCTGGCTGGGTTCCCCCAGCCACTCTGGGCGGCTTCCAACAAAATATTAAAATACAATAGTCCATTAAACATTAGAAGCTTCCCTAAACAGGGCTGCCTTCAGATGTCTTCTAAAAGTCTGGTAGTTGTTTTTCTCTTTGACATCTGGTGGGAGGGCGTTCCACAAGGATTGCACCAGAACATCTAGCTCCACACTCCACTGCAAAGCCCCACAAAGTTCCATGGGCAGCCTTGGTTTTATTTTAAAAACACAGAAGTTTGTGCTCCGTTGCCCTGTCCCCCCACCAAGCACAGAAGATCGCAGACTTACAAGCATTGCAGTATTTCCCAGTGTATCCTGATGGGCATTCACACATCCCAGTTACTGGGTGACACAGCCCTCCATTCTCACAGGGTTCGCAGACAGAGTGGCAGTTCACACCCCAGGAACCCGCAGGGCAATCTAAAAAGACAAAGTGTAAGGAATCAGTAGAGATACTGCCTAGAGTATCTTTGATACAGAGCCTTACAAGAAACAGTGTTAAGAACAAAATGAATGGTGCATGTATAAGAGAAGTCCCCATTTTCCAAGTGATGTGATTTCTACAGTTCCTTAATTTATTTCTATACCACTATAACATCAAGGTGGTGCATGCTGCTAAAACAAAACATAGTTTAAAAAAATATTAATTTTTTCTGCAACCAATTAAATATTGACTTTGCCTGCCTTTTCTATGGAGGTCACCTACTAAATATGTCTGTTTGTGCGTGCGTGCACTCACACGTTTATTAGGAAGAAAGTCCCATGGAGTCAGATTACTGGTACTCGTTAGTCTTATTATATTAATTTATGAATCACTTTTGACACAAGTCTTGGGGTGGTTTACAAACATGAAATCAAAACAAGTAAAAATAGGTTTAAAAACCTATACAAATAAACACCCACGGCAGAGACTTAACATATACATCCAGCTGAAAAAACTTACTGAACCAAAAATGCATTTGGAAAGATGGCTGCTGTATCTCAGCAGAGATACTGTTCATGCGGAGCATGCAATATGTACGATTGCAGCCTTAAGTTTCCAAGGGGAAACCCCCCCCCCCAAATCTAAATCCATGTAGATGAATAGAATTTCAAATCTCTTTAGGGGTTAAATTTTGGAAGCCGGACAAACATTCCGCTTAACTCTGAGTGTAGCGGAGCAGTTATACCCTCTGGACATCTGGTCTTTAGATTACGTGATAGTTTGCAATTCACGCTAAACGTCCGAGCTAAACAGTGTTAAAAACAAGCAAAGAGACAAAGACTGTGGCTATAGTAACAAGGCCATCGGAGGCATTAGAAAGCATCCACAGCCGCAACTGAAACAAGCAAAACACGCAGCTTTCAGTGTAAGTGCTATTGACTTATGACACAGATAGATGAACATTTATGACAAGACTGCGTATGGGATGTAAAAATAAACCTGTGCAAAAACGTAATTCCAGCATCTTAAAAACATAGTTTTATACTATTTTTACTATTTCTGGGGGGGGAATATATCAGGGGATTCTGCTTAAAGGTTCTGGTTCCCATCCAGGGTTGTATCTAGGAAGCATGAGTGTACTGGCCCGGTTCTGCTCTTATTCCACCCTGCATTTGAATTTCGTCCCATCCCATTCAAGGAGCCAGCAGCAGTGACCACATCCGTTCCTGGGTGGGCCCCTGTTGTTTCTGACCTCAGTCTCTTTCTCCTCTTGTTTATGGCCCTGTTTGCAGCTTGGCATCCCTTGATGCATAGGTAAAGGTAAAGGGACCCCTGACCATTAGGTCCAGTCATGGCCGACTCTGGGGTTGCGGCGCTCATCTCGCTTTATTGGCCGAGGGAGCCGGCGTACAGCTTCCGGGTCATGAGGCCAGCATGACTAAGCCGCTTCTGGCAAACCAGAGCAGCGCACGGAAACGCCGTTTACCTTCCTGCTGGAGCGGTACCTATTTATCTACTTGCACTTTGACGTGCTTTCAAACTGCTAGGTTGGCAGGAGCAGGGACTGAGCAATGGGAGCTCACCCCGTCGTGGGGATTCGAACCGCCGACCTTCTGATCGGCAAGTCCTAGGCTCTGTGGTTTAACCCACAGCGCCACCCGCGTCCCTCCCTTGATGCATAGCTAGCACCAAAGACAAACATATCATCTGTCCAACAGCCATGCTGATCCTATGGATTCTATGGGGTTTAAGACAAATGCATGGAGGATAAAGCTATAATTGGCTATTACCGGTACTAGCCAGAATAACTATGTACTAGTATTTCAATGTCAGAGGCAATATGCCTCTGAATACCAGTTCCTTGGAACCACAAGGGTTATGGCATATTCATGACCTGCTTGCACATCTGGTTCTCAGCATCTGGTTGGCCATTTGGTTGCGTGACCAGGGTGCTGGAGCAGATAGGGCTATGGCCACAATAAGGGTTCTTCAGTTCTTTTGCTTCCATTTTGCAATGAGACTTTTATATCAGCTTGCTTTTGGTCCCATGTTTTCCTTTAATCTATTTCTCCCCACTACTTTGCAAATCGCTTGAGATGCGGTCTCCGGGAGAGACACACACCACTCAACTGCACAGTAGCACGCCTGCCGGTCTTCCACTTTGCCACTTGACAGCAGAAGGGCGAGTCCAGCAGAAGGGGGAAAGCATTTCTGGCTCACCGCAGAACTGAATACAAAGAGGAGTCGCTCATCTAGCAGGGTGTGCGAGATATAAGAGAATGGCCTATCAAAGCACGAAGAATCCTGGACTCGCTGAGGCTACTTTGATTGCATAGAACTGCAGTGTTGGATTTTGCTGGCTAAAAATTGGAAAACACAAGAAGTGCCAACAGTGGAGGAATGGCAGATGAAGACGATGGACTTTTGGGAGCTAGCCGACCTGACCGGAAGAGTCCGTGACCAGAAGGAGGAGGAGTACCAGGAGGAATGAATGAAATTTAAAGACTATTTAGCTAAATATGCCAAGATAGCTTAAATAGAAATACTTGCAAGTACCAGATTGGCTTAGAATTTAAATATGCTATATGTTATAGAATAATATATCTGAAATTAAAATGAAAAGAAAGAAAGACTAAGTAAATTTTATGAGAAATTAATTTTGGAAAACTGTTACAATGATATACATAGAAACTCAGCCAGGGGGATTTGAGGAAGTCATCTAACAATGTTAACAAAAGTGGAACTATTATAGTTTGGATTTTTGTTTGTTTGTTATTTGTGTTTTTTATGTTTGTTATAAATTTGGAAAATCAATACATTTTTTGGAGGAAAAAAAAAATAGAACTGCAGCGTTGGAAGGGACCACTAGAGTCATCTAGTCCAAACCCCTGCAATGCAGGAATCTTTTGCCCAATGTGACCCTGAGATGAAGACTCTGTGAGCTTGTGGTTTCCCCACACCTGATTAAAAAGAAAAGGCAGAAGCAAAAGTTCCCCACTCAGTTCTCTCTCTCTCTCTTAAAAAACATGCCTCCAAGTACATACGGTTTAGGCAATTTTCTCCATAGAAGCCTGCAGGGCAAGGGTGTCTGCATCTCCCAGTTTCATGGTCACACAAGGACAAACCAGGACAGCTGCACCTCTGTTGACAGGAAGCTCCGTAAAAACCAGGGATGCACTCTGGAAGAAAAAGCATGCAAGACTGAACGGTCCTCGTCATCGTTTCATGACTGCAACATTCAGTAACTCCTTGCAAGTGTGGATGGACCATAAGCAGGACTTTCATTACCTTAACCAAAACCCCCCCAAAACATTTCTGTTATGCACTGAGTTGAATAGGATTCAAAATGCAGCAGTCTGATTGGTCCTAGAACAATAGGATTCAGAATGCAGCAGTCTGATTGGTCCTAGAACAATAGGATCCAGAATGCAGCAGTCTGATTGGTCCGCAATCCAGCTCCAGGTGGAAGTGAATCCGCAACCTAAATGGCCTACAGGAGAATCCCGGAAATAGCCAATCATGTGGGGCCCATTGTGTAAATAATGTATATAAAGCAGACACTTTGGGGGAACTTCCATTCCTCGCTACTATGAGCTGAATAAAGAGCATGAAATCCACACTTGACTCCGAGTATATTTCAATTTCCATTGAAGTGTGGGATGGGTTTTAATGGGTAGGAAAGGATATATTGATTGCACATGTGTGAGTTTCAAAATCCCATCCTTGGCAGAGAAATTAAAAGCACTTCCTTACCCTGCTTAACAAAGAATCAGACAATCACTTGTAAAGCAAGTTTAAAAATAATATTTACTTACTTTATAATCATGCATTGGTTCACAGCAAAGACATCAGTAAAAACTATGCAGGCAAAATACTTATATTTACATTATAACCAGCTTCACGCATGTGACTGGAGCTGGAATAAGCATAGGGATGCCTGACTTCATGGCTGGTCGAAGATTAGAGAGAAGGCAAAAGGAAGTACTACATGTTCCTTCCTCTCCAGGGGAGGAGGGGAAATGACATCACACAGAGCCCTCTCCAACAATTGCATTTCTATGGTCTGAGTATCTGCCTGTATCAGCAATATAGCTCTGTGCTAACTAGCAAGAATATGCATTTTTCGGTTTGGCTTCTAATCCACCACAGGAAGCACCATAAAAATAACTGCTGTCGTTGGATGAGGAACAGCATGTGTTAGGGAGGCTTGAGGAATTAGATCTTTGTAGATTTCTGTATGAAGCGACCTGATGTGTACCTCCTGGATGAATGAGTGGATCAGAACTTAATTACCCACGGGCTCTTGCACTTGCCAAAATTATGATACCATCCTCAGCTCAGAAGAAATATCAACATCCATTTAAAATGCGTATTTTGATCAAACATTTATTGAGAAACATACATTTTAAGAAGGAGAATGTTATCAAATACCATGTTTTCATAGGGTGACATCCCATCTAAGTCATATTCAGAGCAGACCCATTGAAAACAATGGACTTATGTAAGCCCGTTGATTTTAATGGACCTACATCTGTGTATGAAACAGGAAGCTGCCTTATACTGAATTAGACCATTAGTTCATCTAGCTCTGTTTGCCAGGGAGTCCCTGAGGTTTCAGGCAGGGAACATTCCCAGCCCTACCTTGAGATGCTGGGGTCTAAACCTGTGACATTGTGCATAATGGGATTTTTTTAGAAAAAATAAAACCACAGGTTATTGCAGAAAAGGGGTGAGTGAGACTCATGAGTATGTATGAATGTATGTATGTGAAAGTGACATGGACCAGAAATGGACTGCGAAAACAGAGGTTACAGACGTGGTTCTGCTTTATGATCCAACTGCTAGGGCTACACAGCTTTTAAAAAAGTTAAAATTCTGCCATTCAGCAAATGGATTCAGTCCCATCCCTGATAATTCTCCTGCCCCTGCTAACCAAACTGCTAATCAACAGGATTTCAGCTTTCTTTCTGTTTTTTAAGGACTGCTGATGTGCAACTGCAAAATGTGAGAAATTTTGCCTAATTTAACTATTTATTTTTCAGTAAAAAAAGAAAGAAAGGCTTAGAATCACAACAGTAAAGTCAAGTAATTAACACATGGAAGGAATATGTGCTGCAAGATGAATAAATAATATTGCAGAGAAAGGAATTGAGACAGATAGCAAAATGCATACCTCTTTGACACTTGCTCCCTTCGTAGCCTGGTCTGCAGGTGCAGGTACCATTTCTGGGGTCGCAAACCAGGGTGTTCTCCTTCAAACAGAGGCACTCCTCTGAGCAGCCAGCTCCAAAGACCCATTTGGGACAGGCTGCAGTCAGATTAAAGTGAGCTGTTAACACTGTTGCTAGGTTGGCATGCCTAACATGGAGCAATAAATTTCCGACGCAGAACAGAATAGCTGCTTAAGAAAGCACGACTGAATGGAAGGACGAGAAATGTTTCTGATTACTAATGGCTATTCAGTTTAAAATATTGTAGCTGTTTTATTGTATCAACTTCAGTAAATAAAATCTGCATATATTTGCATGGGATCAAAACCAGTAGTTTTGAAGAAGCAGTTGTGATCACAGATGCTGCAATATTTCCTCTTGTGTAAAGGAGAAGCTCCTTTAAGGTGCTATGCACTATTTATTAGTGTGCTGTGTTGAAAATCACACAGTTTTTGTCTTACTACTCCGGCATTACTTATGTTGAAAGTAAAACAATTAAAAAAAACAAAAATCAAGGTGTATGCAGCTTTTGATGTGAAAGAAAGCTTTCTCTATGTAGAACTTAGTTGGTTGCAACCCATGGTTTTTATAACTGTTTTCAAAAATCAGGTTGAAAGGTGCCTTGAGCTGTGGGATAAGGTAGTCAGATTTAAATAAACCAATAAATAAAATCTATGCATTCTTGTTTGACTGAAGGGCATTTTGCAAGAGCTGTATTGTATTGCTGAGGACTTAAAAACATTTTATATAGCATTCTCTATGGCTTGACTTACTTAGATGGCAGAAGCGACCATATAGCCCAGGGTCACATAAACAGGCTCCATACAATCTGTGGCAATATCCATTGTTAGCACAATTACATTTCTTGTTGCAGTGTTTCCCAAAGCGTCCTTTGGGGCAACCTGATAGATATTCCGAAAAAGAAAGAACAACACACAAATACAAATACAAATAGGAGTCAGTGTGCAAAAAAAAAAGCAACCAAGCATATTTTCTATCTATCTACCCATCTATCTATCTACCAGTACATTTCCGAGCACAATTCAAAGTGTTGGTGCTGACCTTTAAAGCCCTAAACGGCCTCGGCCCAGTATACCTGAAGGAGCGTCTCCACCCCCATCGTTCTGCCCAGACACTGAGGTCCAGTGCCGAGGGCTTTCCGGCAGTTCCCTCACTGCGAGAAACAAAGCTACAGGGAACCAGGCAGAGGGCCTTCTCGGTAGTGGCTCCCGTCCTGTGGAACGCCCTCCCATCAGATGTCAAAAAGAAAAAAAACTACTTGACATTTAGAAGACATCTGAAGGCAGCCCTGTTTAGGGAAGTTTTTAATGTGTGACATTTTAATGTATTTTTAATCTTTGTTGGAAGCCGTGCAGAGTGGCTGGGGAAACCCAGCCAGATGGATGGGGTTCAAATAATAAATTATTATCATTTTTATTAACCTCTCTATAAATAGTAAGAGTCTGTATACTGCAATCTTGCTTTACACTCCCTGCATGCATTTGGTTCCTAGCATGCAGCAAGATGTATGACAGCATGGCAGTGTTCAGGCAGTGCTATTAGATCATGGGTAGGCAAACTAAGGCCTGGGAGCTGGATCCAGCCCAATTGCCTTCTAAATCCGGCCCGCAGACAGTCCAGGAATCAGCGTGTTTTTACATGAGTAGAATGTGTCCTTTTATTTAAAATGCATCTCTGGGTTATTTGTGGGGCATAGGAATTTGTTCATCCCCCACCCCAAAATATATAGTCCAGCCCCCCACAAGGTCTGAGGGGCAGTGGACTGGCCCCCTGCTGAAAAAGATTGCTCACCCCGATATTAGATGCTCCACTCAAGTGGCAGGGAAAGATGTCAAGAATGCTCTTGACTGGCTGTAGGATCTGAACACTGCAGACCACATTTGCTGCACAATCCATGGGTGCTGCTGCTTACACACAATTGATGTAGCATTATGTCCCCACCCCCGTGGCACTCATCTGGAGCCCTCCGTGCCATGCCACTTTGGCCCTGTAAATTGTAAAAAGTGGGAAAGGAATGGCAGGAAGAGCTTCTGGTAAATGCCATAGCAAGGGCATGGAAACTCTGGATTCATTTCACATCAGCCCAGGGTCTGGAATCCAATGCAAAACAGATCTGTGGGGTGGAGACTCCTAAAACCCAGTGCCTGGCCCCCAATCTAGTGCCTGGCTTTTCCCAAAGTTTGCCCCATCACAAAATGGACTGTTCTGCTTACTGCACCCTGCCGTATTTGAGCCTTTACACTGCACTTTCGGTGCCAATTAAAAAAGATAGTGTCAACTCCACAGGCAATCATAAAGACACCCAGCTGGAAATGATGTAAAGGAAAACAATAAAATTCTTACCATCTTCACAAAACTTTCCATTAATTCCTGGTGGGCAACGACACCACCCTGTTACCGGATCGCAGGAACCTCCGTTCTGACACTTGCAGAGGCTGCTGCAATCTTTCCCATAGGTCCCCATGGAGCAGGCTGCAAGGCGAACGAGCAACACAGTCTTCTAACCGCATTAAGGACCAAGAGCAATTATGCTTCAGCTATCATGTCGAAATAAGGCAAAGCTATTAGAGGGCATCTTAAAACAAACAGTCCGGATATTATGCCATGCCAGTTTCTGCGGGTGATAATATTCATCTGCTTTGTGTTTGCTACTGAAATAGACCGGAAAATGTGCCGTTGATGTAGCCATGCGATGCAAAGAGAAGGAACCATGACCTGCTCTCCTGTGGGGGTTTGGCTGTTCCTATTTCCCCATAGAATTTCACAAGTTCTGACTGAAAACTAAGGGCTGTGCCTCAGAGAGACCTTATGGACATCTGTCCCTTGTGGGCTGCTTCTCTCCCACAAGATACAGACAGGAGCCTTTTTGGAGGAAGATGGCTTGGGAGGGTACAAATTAAGGCACATACCTCTGGGCAGTGGGTGTTTCTAAGGGCTTATCCACACTTCCTGTTGTTTTCCCCAAGTGAAAAACCACCCTTTAGTGCTCAATCGGCACAAACAGCAATTGAATTTTCTGCGGATTGCTGTTTGTTCCTATTTAAAGCTAAGGAGAGGATTTCCCCTGGGAAAGGAATGGTGCAATGGGAAAACCATTCAGACACATGCCTAGAAAGAGGAAAACTGCTCAGATCCATGCTTCCTAGGCCCGGGACAAGAGAAAGTATGGACAAGCCCTGAGTGTCTTAGAATCCTCCTCTAATCTGATCAGCACTATTAAAGGGCACAGAGGTACATAGGGCAGATTGATGAGCACTACATGCCATACCAGTTGCAGCATTCAGACTTATAAAATTTATTTTTAGTGCTGAACACAGATATAGGTAGGGGCAGCAAACAAGCAACTCAAAGGGATAAATGTTTGCTTGAACTACTTTAGCCTTGCAGTGATTGTCATTTGCAGAGCTAGCCCTAAGAAGTAGACTGCAAGGAAACCCCATCTCCACACCTGTCTGTGGAATACAATGAGTGACCTTTTGTCAAAGTGGTGAAAGCAGAAGACAGACAAAAAGTTGCTTTTCAAACTGATGCTGCTCATAGCTGATCCTTTTCTTTGAAGATTTGACCGATATGATTGGGTGTTGGTTTTTTTTGCTGGTGGAGGGGAAGCAGATTGCACATCACTTGCAAATTTGGGTCTACTAAATGGACCAGTGAGCTTTGAAACTGTCAATCACTTACAATGGATGAGAGTAGATCTAGATGGAAAGGTGCATTATTATTGCCACTTAATGGGCTTTTTTAGGTTGCCTCTCTCTTGGAGAGGAAGTCTACAGGAGATTAAGGGACAATATGTGTGAGACCATGTCCCTGGATCATCTTTTGTGGTTCCTTAGAATTTGATCGCATCAGCCTGCTGTCAAGGCAGATGCAGGGGCAGTTTAATAGCCAGGTAATGTATCAAAACGTTCTTTCTGCATCACAGAAAGTATCTCACCTGTGTCTTATTGCCACTGCAAACTGACACTCAGTAGTCTTAAATCTGAAGAAGGGGATTGAAATGAATGGGACTTGACACCAAAACAAATGAAGGCACACACAGGAACCCTGAAATAAATTTGCTCTTCTGTGACAGGTATGTGTGCAGACCCAGCATGGTGAAAGGCAGTGTGATGACCCCCAAAGGTCTCACCCACAGCTCACATCAATAGATAATGCCCCCTGAAATGCATCTCTGCAATCCACAGGGAATACCTGGCTGTCATATCAATGTGGAAAGTATGACCCAACGACAAGCAGACAGAACCCACTAGTGTAGCAATTATGTCTTTAAACTGGACTAGAGGATCATGGGTTCAATTTCTCACCAAGTCATTCAGCTCATTGTGGGTGGCCTTGAGCAAGTCACTATCTCTCAGCCTTAATGGGGGTAAAATAGGATAAACCCATTGTCTAATGCCCTCGACAGAAGTGTAGGTGAAATTCAGGACCCCACCTTTGTTCAACGTTTATGTGGTTTGAGCAAATTCTTTTTCAAGTCATTTGCTTAGCTCACAAGTGCAGAGCTGTGCAATCTGTGACCCATGAAGCCATTGCTAGCTGAACAACAGCCAAATTGTTTGATTATTATTTTTAACCCATCCATCTGAAAGGTGGTATACTCTGGTCTTCAAATCTAAGCAAACTGATTTGACAAAGTAGACGTTTTATTTATTTAATTTATATCCTGCACCTTAGTTACCCAAATCTTGTTCAAGCTGGGCTCACCCTTCTTAGTGTTCAAAGTGCATTTAAATAGTAAGAGGTATACTCACTTTCATTACATATAATGCCAGTCCACCCAGGTGGGCAGTCACAACTACTGTTGTCACTGTTGCACTTCCCTCTGTTCATACAGTCAGAGCAACTCAAGCTGCAGTCACTGCCAAACATGTTATGCAGACAAACTGAAATTAAAAAGCACAAGTGTCAACTCGCATGCCAGGCTTGGCTATTTCAGTTTATTCTGTACATGTTTACTGCCAGCAACTACTTGCAGCCCGGGGCTATATAATCCAAGAGATGGAAACAGAAACACAGAGAGCTGCAGAAAAGTGTCACTGCAAAAGTTTCCCCTTCTTTCTTATATCCATTTATTTTTCATTTTTGAAGCATGCCAATCCAGAACAAACAAATACCTCCCACTCGAAAACTGCACAACAAATGGCATTATGAAACATTGGCTCTGTTCTAATAGCCTCTTCTTTTCGGGTTATAAGTCCTTGCCATAATGTTAAATGTGAAATCATAGAATTTTAGAGATGGAAGGGACCCCAAGGCTCATATTCTGTTCAAACCCTCTGCAATGCAGGATTTCCTTGCATTCAGCAGTAATTGCAAGGGATCACTCCTGTTAGTCTATGCAATAAAGCAAAACCAGTCTTCACTGAAAGCACTGCTCTTTTTCTGACCTCTGCTCACTCTTAGCTGGGTTGTCAGTGTTTCCATCAGAACAGTATGCTGCAATCTCCCACACTACTCTTCCTCCATACATGCCCCAGATGTTTTCCAGTTTTTAACAATGGTGATATGGATTGCTGTTTTTTAAAACTCACATTCCTTCCAGGTCCATTGGGAACAGACAATATGGCTAACTTAGGATCACAAGGAACTGTTTGGTGTGTCACCTCACCTCTCACTCTAAGAGCATAAGGACAGCGTGCAGGATCAGGCCAATGGCCAACCAGAGGCCTATGAGATGCCGAAAAGCAGGACCTGGATGCAACAACACTCTTCCTGCTTGCGGTTCTCAGCAACTCTCGTTCAGAGGTATTCTGCCTCCAGCAGCATAGGCAGAACAGAGTGATTGTGACTATGTTCTAGTAGCTCCAAATTTTTATAATTCTCCTTTCTTTCTGGGCTGATTTTTTTCATTCCCTGGAAACATGTTACTTCCATGCTTGCTCTCTGGGAAAAATTAAGATTTTAGAAACATTGTCTCACCAACTTGGTGTGCAACAGTGAGCTCTCCACGAATCTCCTCTTCCTCCTCATCATAGAAAGAATCTAGGGAGGTACTGAAGTGAAGGAGCTGAGGTGGTCTTCTGAAGCGGAAGCCAGGAATCCGGGCAATCTCCAGTTCTTCTTCTTCCTCCTCTTCCAGCTCATCATCATCTAATGCTGATATCAGAGATACAAATACATTTTCATCTTATTAAGTCCCACAAGCTTGATCCAATTTGTTGTTTACATCAGTAAATGGGTGCTGCTACTATTATTAATAGGAAACAGAAACATTATAATCAATGAAAGCTCTTCAGACTATTCAGATGACAAAACTACCCTGCAATGATGACTCTCTTACCCTGGGGTAGTTTAGTTGCCTCCAAGAGTCAAGGGAAAAAAATCACTACATATAAGGTGCAGATGTATGGTTTAACAACTATATGTACATATATTACACTTGAACTGAAACTCTTGCTAGCACGGAGGTACTTTCTCTGTATTTGGAATTGGAAGGCAATAGGTGTTACTGGTTAACTATTTTGCCCTTCCTGGAGGCCTTAGAGCAGGGGTGGGGAGACTGTGGCCCTTCCAATGTTCTAAGACTCCAACTCCCATCAGCCTCAGCCAGCATGGCTAATCATGGATGATGGGAAGTGTAGTCCAGCAACACCTGGAAGGCCACAAATTGCCCATCTTTGTCTTAAAGAGTCAGTAGTTCATGGTGTTGTGCTTGTTTATTTTTGTTTAGTTTGAATTTTTCATGTGCTAAACGTGCCCTCCAAATTGCTCGTCCTTAGAACAATGTGAGTTTTTTTGCACTTCATTGCTCAACCCATTTTAAGGTGGCTGATTAGACAAGCTGCTTCTCACTTGTAGAGAGCAATCTTAGTTTCTTTGTCTTTTGAATTAAAGATGCCTACCCAAGCAAGTTGTTATCCATCAGCCTTAAATTCCATTGGATTCAGGGTGACTTGTATGTGTTTCTGTCCCTTAAGCCCAGCCATAGCAAAGCTACAAGATTTATAAATTATCTCAGATGTGGAATTTGAACTGAACACAAAACAGTGTCTAGGGATTACATATTTAGCTTTAGAATAAACAATCATTAAATTATAAACGTATATAAAAGCTACACACACCATCATCATCACCATCAGGCTATAGATGACATTGTAACACTGAAACATATATTTAGAAGTCTGATTGAAACAGAAGATAAATGTTTTGGCTTTATATTACAGATTCAACACAACCACTTTGGGAATTTTAGAATTACGCTTAGCTTCTCAATATAACGAGGATTTGAGTAATATCTAATTTGCTGAAAATGAGACAATTCAAACAAACCTCATTTTTAAAAGATTATGTGCTATTAAGACGCCTCACTCTGAATAAGTAATGCCATTATCACTTCCAAAAACCATGGCTGGTAATTGGAGTTTTCCTTCGAATAGAGCTCCTAACGATACGGAATAACTTACAGATGCAAGACTGTCCATTGGCACTGCTGAGCCTGTATCCTTCCTCACATGTACATTCATAGGAACCCAAAGAATTAATACAATATTGGTCGCAGCCATCAGTGTCGGATAGGCACTCGTCCACATCTAGGAAATTAAATGAGGAAAGTAAACCTTGGATGCAAAAACCCAATTTGGATCAAGAAGAAAACTGTGCTGAACTCCTGTTCAGAACTTCAGAATGGCTATTACTGTTATCTATTCTGATTACCTTGATTATTAGTACATTCAGTTGTATCCAACATTAGAGTAAAGCTGCTTGAATTAATGGACATAAGTTAATTGTTGTCTATTAGCTTCAATGAGTCTAATATGAGTTTGATTAACACTGGATACAACCCATTGATATTACCTAGATAAAATCTGCATTTCCCACCTTCTGAAATGCCCAGGCAGCTTGCAAGCATAATTTGAAACAACTTCCATTTAAAATCCAATTGAATAAACATTAAACAAAACCATGCAACTTAGAAGCAAAGCCAAGCGTATCAAATGTCCTTCGCTGCCCTTCCTTGCCTGGGAGCACATAATAGGCTTCTGTTTCCTTTCCTTGCCCCTCGTCCCACTCACATTATTTCCCCACCACCACAACATTCATTTTTTTTGGAACAACCTATGGGTAACAGTTTTTGCAGCTAACCATGGTATCATATCAGCACTTCAAATTGTAGTTTTGAACGATGCATGGTCAGCGATGCTGCTGCGCTGTGGTTAGCTCTGGAAATGAAAGGAGGGAAAACCTGCTGTCAGGGAACTGCCATCGGCTCAGAGGCGAGAGGGGGAAAGCCGGATGGATTACAGAGAGCCCCCAAAGATCGTGGGAAGCAGAACTTCCTCAGCAGAGGAAGGAAGCCACGCCTCTAGTGGAGAGGAGATGCAGGGCTTGGAGGAGGCGAGGTGCTGCCAGGACACCTTGCCTGAGCAAAGCGGGGATGAGAGAGGTCCCCTGTTACCCACGCCTTCCTTGTGCAGTAGGCTTCCGTGCAGAGAGGGGAGGCGCAGACTGGGCGTCAAGAAACTACTCTGCTGGGGAAAGTTTAAGGACCGCCCACTCTCAGATTCTGCCAGTGAATGAGCAAGACACGGAATAGAGGCGCTCTGCATTCTAACGGTTTTTATCACCAATAAGAAACCTTTAAAACAGACTATTGAAGCATATTGTCTGATTGCTCTTGAGCAACCAACAAATACCTCTAACACCTGCATATCAGAGTAAAGGGAAGAGAAGCCTAGGAGCCATTCCTAGTCTCCTAACTGCAATTGGGGAATTAGGCAGGGTTATATCCACCCAAGGTGGCGCTGTGGGTTAAACCACAGAGCCTAGGACTCGGCAGTTCGAATCCCCACAACGGGGTGAGCTCCCGTTGCTCGGTCCCAGCTCCTGCCAACCTAGCAGTTCGAAAGCACGTCAAAGTGCAAGTAGATAAATAGGTACCACTCCGACGGGAAGGTAAACGGCGTTTCCGTGCGCTGCTCTGGTTCGCCAGAAGCGGCTTAGTCATGCTGGCCACATGACCTGGAAGCTGTACGCCGGCTCCCTCGGCCAGCAAAGCGAGATGAGCGCCGCAACCCCAGAGTCGGCCACGACTGGACCTAATGGTCAGGGGTCCCTTTACCTTTACCTTTACCTTTTATATCCGCCCAAAAAGCACCTGTAGCCTGCTTGCTACTGGCACAGGGGGTAGGGAAGCTGCTACTGCACTACAACACCCATGATCCCTGGCCAGCAACTGTGCAGGCTGGGGTTGATTGGAATTGGAGTCCAACGACAATGAACAGGCCACAGGTTCCCCACCATCACATGAGCGGTTTCCTGAGTTCTGCTCAGGAGCAGGCACACATCAGCACTGCTTGCGAGACCTGAGGTGACAAACACAATGAACGCCAAAGCAGATCCCCGTGGGATGTTTGCTCGACATTTCTGCAAAAGGCCTCCTGAGTGTCTTGCTGAGTGCCTGGCGAATTTAAATTACCATCACATTCACAGCCGTCCGGATGAAGCCGAAAGCCTGCCTTGCAGCTGCATTCGTAGCCTCCAATGTAGTTGATGCAGAATTGTGAGCAGCAGGCATCTCCAGTCACACATTCGTCCAGGTCTACAGGAAGGATGAACAAATTCTTCACAATGCCGTAGAAGTAGTTCATTTATTTTTTAAAATTATTTTTATTAGCAATTTCAACATAGCAAATTATCAAACCATATAATCGCATACATTATTTTTTTCCCTTTTCCCCCTCCCTCCCTCCCTTCCATCCCTCCCTCACCAAAGACTTCCCTCAGCTCCTCTCTCTGATTTCTCAACACATATTATTCTCTGCATGTTATAAAATTTTACATATCCTTACATTATCTATCTAACATGCTATCAACCAATAAATTTATGTATGTTTATTCAAAACCTGCCAAGGAGTCCAGTTTATTTTGTTGTATTTTTAGATAATTTGTAAAAAGCTCCCATTCTTCCTTAAAGCTACAGCTGTCCTTGTCCCACAATCTATATGTCAATTTAGCCAGCTCTGCACAACTCATCAATTTTTCTTGCCACTGTTCTTTTGTTGGGATTTCCTCATTCCTCCATCCTTGTGCTATCAAGAAGTAGTTTAAACAAGAAAGAAATCGTCCCAAGAGGACTGCTGACAGCTGGGCACGACAACTCCCATCATCCTTGACCACTGATCCTTGAGGTGATCCTTGAGGTGATGATGCAAGTCCAACAACATCTAAATGGCCACTGGTCCCCCAGCCCTGGTTTAGTGAACACCTGCATGGTACGTTCTGACTTACAATTTCAGCAGTATTCATCCAACACTGCAGAGGCTAATTGGTCTTGTAGTAAGGTTAAAGCTTACTGGGAAATGATATATAATGAAATGAAAAGGATGTTTAAAATAACCTTTGGGGGGTGAGGAAACCCAGACACTTTTCTTTTGGGAATTATGGGGACAGAACTACCTAAACTGTACAGAAACTTATTCATGTATGCTACTACAACAGCAAGAATGTTACTTGCCCCAAAATGGAAAGAAGCAGAAGTCCCAGCAAAGGAAGAATGGATACAAAAACTTATGGAATATGCAGAAATGGCAAAATTTACCGGAAGAATAAGGAATCAAGATAGCAATTTTTTAATAAAAAAATGGAAATGGTTTATTGAATATTTACAGATAAATTGCAAACCGATAAAGACATTGGCAGGATCATTGTAATAACCTGCAATTTCAGAAGAGTATATATTTAAAGAAAATGAATAAATGAGCAAATTAAGTTAATTTGGATACGCAAAAGATATTAAAAATAAATTTAAGGAACCGCAGAAAGAGGGGGAAGGAAGTCAAGTTATGAATAGTAAAAATGGTTGTAAAATTAGTGAAATGTATAAACTTGAAATGTATAAAAATAAATAAAATAAAATAAAATAAACACTGCAGGGGCTAACAACACCAACCCTTGATTTTAAAATCCCCAATTCAAATTTTACCTCTGCCACAACCCTGGTTATGCTACAGGAACTCCTTATCCACAAAATGGGATGAAATAAAAAGGTCTCGCTGTATTAGATTTCTCCTCCCTTCCTCAAAAGAAGCTCAGGGCATGCATATGGTGAAGGGACCTTCAAAGGTCCTCTAGTCGAGCCCAGTGGCATTACAGGAACCCTGCTGCTACAACATTTGTGGTAGCTGACCATCCAGCTTCTGTTTAAAAGCCTCTCACAATGGAGAGTCCACCGCCTTCCAAGCCCTGCTCATCCACCATCGGACAGCTGACACAATCCTCCTAATTATCAGATTCCTTCTCTACTGTCTTTTAGCACATTCCTCTTTCTAAATGGAGATTTGTACCTCAGTTTGTAACTGTATGAGATTTGAACTTTTTATGTTATGTGTTGTTGTTTGAAACTAACCAACTAGATATGTATAGACATAGATATATATTTATATAGGTTTTCATATATGCAATCAATTTTATTATTATATATTGTTTTATATTATTTAATTGCTTCAGATGCCTCATAGAAAAATAAACATCATATCATATCATATCAATCATATAATAAAAACCCCTTTCTTGTAATTTGAATCCATTGGCTTGAGCCCTAATTTTTGGGCTTGATTCCAAACTCTCCTTCCCCATTGTATCTTCACAACAATTCCTCCATGGGAGATGAGGAAGACAGGGACCAAGGAAGAAAGACTATCTTGAGATCACTGAGTGAGCTACATGGGCTAAGCAAGAATTTGGACCCAAGTATTCTGGGTTCAAGTTTAGAATCCTATTCCCAGTACCATATTGGCTCTACCAATCTCTCTTATTAAGACAGTTTTAAGACACACCAAAGTAGCACATGTGAAGCAGCTTTAATACCCTTAAACTGTCATGTAGAAGCCGAGTATTAGCATTATATTACTAGGAACAGGCACTGCTGAATAGAAATCCCCTTTGCTATGAATACGCATGAATTCTTTGGACAATTCATCTTGCCAAAAATCTTAGACAGAATGCAAATACAACTGTGAAATGCTTCCAGCAAAAGTCTTCTCAGATGAAAATATTAACTTTTAAAAGGCAATTATATAATTCCTGGAAACTTGATAACCACTATATAATTCCTGGAAACTTAACGACTATCACATGGTGCCTCTGCTAGAGCTGGAATTGCATGGCACCTAAAACTCCTGATGTAATTAAGGTGAAACAAGGTCATTGAATGAATAAATAAATAAATAAATAAATAAATAAAGTACAGATTGAGCCAAGCTGATTGGCTACCCAAACAATGACCAGTCAATGCTGAATTTGCAAAATTCCATGAATGAAGAAACAAGAAAAGAGAAAGGTCAGTGTGACAATTAACCTTGGAAAGGGTGCTAACATTCTTGGGGGATCTAGTCGAAACAAGGAAATAGGGTAAACATGCAATCAATTCATGGAGGCCAGCATGAAATCGATTAATGCAGGTTTCTGGACCAATACCATTGTTTTTTCCTTCAAACGTCACAAAGAAGCTGGCAGGCAATGTTTCAGATCATATCTATGCTTCTGGCTCTCTTAATACTCACTTGTGCATTGAAACCTGCCATCAGTTAGTGGGAAATGCTTCTTGTCCCCTTTGCATAATGATGTTTTTTTAAACAGCTTATGCTGGTTGAGATCGTAATCTCCTTTGGGCAGAGACCTGTCCTCCTATACAGGCAATCATCGTTTTGCATGGGGGTTCAGTTCCGGTGGTGTCCACGTGTCAGTAGAGCATGCGTAACCCTGGTCCATCCCGCCTCATTCCTCCCCTTCTCATGATGTCTTTATGACATTTTGGGGCTACTTCCAGGTTTGGCGCTGTGTGTGCGCGTGCGATCGCATGTCATTCAAATATGTCTAAACCAGGAGTGGCCTATACTCTGCAAAGTGGCAAATGTGCATTCATGGCACTGTGTAGCCTAGAATTGGCTAACCTGTGGCACTCTAAATTGGACCCAAAATCTCATCGGCTCCAGACAGCATGTCCAATAGTCCAGAAGGATAGAAGCTGCAGGTTCCACATTCCTGATATAAACTAACAAGCAATTATATCTACATTTGCTACAATCTTTTCTCTCCCAGAATGGCCACAGGATTCAAAAAACAATCCTAACAAATGTTGAGTATTTATATGCCAAAATACGTGATCTGCTTCTACGTGATCTGCAACTATAAAGTCAATCAGTATTTAATATTGATATTTAATATTAAATATTAATCAAGATTTAAAATACACTCTAACATTAACACATCCCTAATTGAAATATACAAAAAAACTATCAATTAAAATGTGTGGTGATTAAGAGGGTTTTTTAAAAAAAACCAAACAAGTTAAAACAATGAAATCACAAGTCCAGTTCAGGGGAATGCTTCCCTAAACAGATGTTTCTGCTTAGTGTTGGAACCGATGGAATGCCAATACTGATGGGGATTCTCATGTTTCATTGGGAGGGCTTTTCACAACACTGGTGCTACCAGTGGAAAAACTTGCTTCCATTGTTACCACATAAAACACCTTAACTAGTCTATATTCCAAATATTATATAAACACAGTCTGTTGCAGCTGCTTCATTTCTTATAGTGTAAAATAAAGTGCTTACAGTGTAAAAGAAAGCTTTCAAAAGCAAGCCTGCTGCTTTGTTAACTGTAGGTGTGGAATATTCTGCACTTTCTCCTCTCTTGAAGCCCTCCTCCTTTGGCGATCATCTGCGTGACTCTGTGTGTATCTGCACTCATTATTGCTATCAATTCTTCCCATTCCTTGTTAAATAAATACTGTTCTTTTGACAGTTTTTGTGCCAAATGAAATAATAATAATAAAAATAAAAACTTCTATGGTTTGGAGTGCATGGCATTGCCCTTCTTAACCACGTAATCCTGTTCTGTAAACCCAGGTCCCAAAACGCCCCCACCCAATAATAGGTTTTGTGGGAGGAAAGAGTTGTTAAAGTGGTATAGTAGAACCTTGGTTTTCAAGTGTCTCGGAAGCCGAACGATTCGGAACCTGAACGCCAAAGCCCCGAAAGTAATTGCTTCCATTTCTGAACGTGCCTTGGAAGTTGAACAGCTTCCAAAGCACTTTTCTCCATTTTTTCAATGGATTTTGTTCCATAGTTTTCGGACTTTTTGGAAGTCAAATACTCTTCTGGAATGGATTACGTTCAAAAACCAAGGTTCCACTGTATGCAGGTTTGTAGTCTAACAAGGGGACAGACTCCTTTGAATTGCTGTCTGCATTTCCTTATACATCACCTGTGCAGGTCTTCCCATCTAAATCCAAGCGGTAACCTTGGTTACAAGAGCAGAGTGGCCCATTGGTGGAGTGCTCACAGTGATGAAGGCAACCTCCGTTATCATCTTCACAGCTGTTGACAATTTCCATTTCAATGCCTTTCCAGAAAAGAATCAAATCATTGCCAATCAATAAAGAAAAATGAGAATTGTAGTAAGTTTGCTGCACGTGGGCTCTAGAAGAAAACAATGCAGTTCCTGCCAGCCCCTTCAGGGATACTCCATTGCATTCCTCCCCCACTGGTTCTCCATTTGCCTCCCGCAACAATCTCAGGAATTCCATGCCCAGTGAACTTGCTCAGTCTCCACTGCAATGTTTTGGGGTTTCTCCCTTAGCCCAAGAAAGATTTTCTGTACTTTAGCAAAACTTGCAGTTCCTCTAAGGCTGCTCCTACCTCCCTCTTGCTTGCAGCTGGTGCCATTTTGGCTACATAAAGATCTGCATCACTCAGAGGGTTAGTATTAGCAAACTATATTAGCTTCTAGGATGTCCTGTATCTTTAAGTGGAAGACAAGAGTTTCAGCACTTTGTTGCTTGGGCCGCATACACACAATACATTTAAAGCACCTCCCCACAAAGAATCCTGGGTACTGTAGATTAAGGATGCTGGGAATTATAGCACTGTGAGGGGTAAACTACAGTTCTTTTAATGTATATGCAGACTTTTCCTATCCTTGGGCCACAAACCAAACCAAAAGAACAAAGAGGTTAAGAGGGAAATATGCAGGAATAATATGCACACATTGAACCAAAATGTATATCAATATACAATAAATGACACGGATGAACCTGATAACATACCAGTGCATATCAAAGGCTCAAACACGTTTTAAACTCACTATGTCTTCTTCAGTGGAAAATTATATAATAATTTAAAAACAAAGCTAGATATGCTGGCTATTATAAAACCCAAGGTCAAAGAGCCTGGTTACATTTGTAGTGTCTGGGGAAAAAAATACAAATTGCTCAGTGTAACTATAGTTTCCTGCTGAAGAAGACATTCTGTAGTTTAAACACATTCAGGCCTTTGAAATCTTCTTATATAATGCATGCACCATATTGCTATTTTATGAGGCTCATCAATGTTATTCATTGAATAGTCATAAATTTTTAGTTCAGAATATAAATTTAACTTGTTAGATTAAGCGTTATTTCTCTATATTTTCTGCACCTGTCTCCACCTTTCATCCATGTGATCTCATATTTTTTATGGTCAAGTATGGAGCTTTGGACTGAGTAGGCCAAGCCACTGTTTTTATATCACATTTCAGTCATGAATCAGTTAGGAAAAATGAGGTCTAACATATATGAAGTAATTAGGCTTTTGTTTAAAACTGCCGTATGGCATGCAAAATCAGGAGACATGGACGTGGGGGGAAAATCAGCCTTAAAACATGGAGTCTGAAGTGAACACGTACTTTGGGTGACTACGGGAATGTTTGAACTCATTATAATTCGCTATATATTGAAGACTGGTCAACAGCACTGTTTGCCTCTTGAAATGCAGGCGACAGAGTTCAGAATTCTGAATTTGCACTCATGATTGCAGAAACCATGGCTCAGCATGAAGGCCTCTGCAAAATCCAGCATTCAAGCACTGAGGTACAAATACTGGGAATTCTAATCACATTGGTTCTTAAAGAATGAGAATACCACAAGAATGAGAAACGGGAGCACGCCTCCCCAGATAAAAACGGCCACCAAAATAAAATCTCATTTTTATCCTTTTGGAAAGATACACTTGCCTTTACAGCACTGCCGCAAAACTCCCACTTACGGTAGCATTGCCTTCCGTCAGCTCCTAGCTCAAATCCAGGATTACAAACGCAGGCAAAGGAGCCCAAAGTGTTCACACAGTGATGGGTGCACTTGGCCGTTCCTTCTGCACACTCATCAACATCTGTAGAACAAAAACGGTGTTGAGGTTGAACAGTGTTGAACAAAAGGTCAGCCTTAATGGACATCAGCAACCTTCAGGAAACCCTTTCAAAATCAGGGAGCCTACAAAGGAATCCAGGAGTGATGTAGAAGATTCTAGGGCATGTTCTACAATGTGCAGGCAGTGCATGCTCAACCTATTTGCCCAGCCTCTCTGTACCTGTTTGTTGACAAATTTGAACTGAGGACATAGCTTATTTGAGCTGTGTATGCAGAGGAAGAGCAGCAGAGGTGAGTAAGAGAGCCACTGTGGTGTAGTGGTTAAGAGCGGTAGACTTGTAATCTGGTGAACCGGGTTTGAGTCTCTGCTCCTCCACATGCAGCTGCTGGGTGACCTTGGGTTAGTCACACTTCTCTGAAGTCTCTCAGCCTCACTCACCCCACAGAGTGTTTCTTGTGGGGGAGGAAGGGAAAGGAGATTCTTAGCCACTTTGAGACTCCTTAGGGCAGTGATAAAGCGGGATATCAAATCCAAACACTTCCTCTTCCTAAGAGGCACTTGTTAGTCCTTACTGGACCTTCTGAAAATATTCGAAAGCACTCCATAGTTCTACAGAACAAGAGGGATTTTTATTTTTTGCTGGGGTGGGTTGAGGTGGTGGTGGTGGGAGAAGAGGGAACTGAAACAAACGCATATGCTCACTCACTAAGACATGGTTATAGAATAGCCAGTGCACTACCCTGCAGATGCAGATTGGTGTAGTGATGAGATTGCTGGACCAGGGCCTGAGAGACAAGGGCTCAAATTCCAAATCAGCCAAGAAGATCACTGGGTGATCTTAGGCCAGCCACTGCCTCTCAGCCTAACCTACCTCTCAGGGTTGTTGTGCGGATTAATTGAGGGTGGGAGACTCATGTAAACCACCTTGAGCTTTTTGGAGAAAAAGGTGGAATACAACTGCAGTAAACAAATTGTTATATTTATTTATTTGCCACTTATTTGCCAAAATGGTTTCCAAGTGGTATATGCACAGGCATCGTGTTGTTGGGCATTGATTTCCAAGAGGACTTTCCTTAGACTACTAGCTTCTCTTCTCCTCTAATGGTGGGAAGAAGTGAGTAGCTGAACCAACAGTGGCAGAGAAGAGCACAGGAGGGGGTGCCTCAGTCTGAAGCTCCCTTCCAAAGTCTCCTAATGGGAGACAACTGAACACATCTGCCAGCAGGAGTAGGCAATGGGGGCCAGAGGGGCGCTCTCCACCCCTGTGCTTCCAAATCAAGAAGCCTGACCCCAAGATTGTAACTCCTCTTCACAGCAGAATGGCTCTAACTATGTTCTTGCTTATATGTGTTTAGCATACCTGGTTAGAAAAGAGGTCAATAACTAGACTCTTCAATTTTAGTTACCATCTCCGCAACCCACACTTTGCTTTTTTTACCTGCACAGGACTTCCCATCTGCAGAAAGGCGATATCCAGAATAGCATTCACACTCTGCAAGTCCGCTCTCATTTCGGCAGATCTGCAAGCAGCCTCCATTTCCACTCGCGCAGGGGTCGATCTCTGAAACCAAACACCAAGAAATCCAAGCAATGTGGATCAAAAGTGCTAGCTAGGAATGTTAAGTGTCTGAATTACAAACCAGAAAGGTAAGACGCTTTGAGAACACACACACACAAACATATCAACCAATACACAGAACACAGGTCAAGATCTATCTGGCGCAGGCTGCAAGTCTTTTCACATTGCAGTGATATTTATCTCCCAATTTCATTCCGACTGTTCATCACGAGCCATTTGACAAGTTCATCTGGCAGAGATGCTTGAACTTATTTTCAATAGTTACAAAACTGGCCAACATGCACAACCTGTTTTGCAACAGCTGAAAAGAAAGAAATAAGGGGGGTGAGAGAGAGGAAACGGGGGGGGTGAGGGGGATCTGCTTTAATGATATTCTCTGTTTCATACAGTGCTGACTTGCTTTTCCCAATATTCAGCAGAGATCTGACACAGATACTTCCACGCGCATCTCTGCCTGCCAACGGTTCTCTGTGCCAGCAGTTCAAATTGATGGCACTTTCCTCTATAGCTTCCTTTGCAGTCCGACAAATATAATTGCTCAAACATGCCTGGCAAACCGTGACCAGCCCTTAACAACCAGAGATCTTGCTGCGAGGGATTACAGCAGCGGCTCTACTGGAGAGTCAATACAATTGTTTGGAAATGCACTTCCAAAAGAAGCACAAGCTCCTGCTCCAAATATTGTTGTTGTTGTTGTTTTATCATTTAGTTGTGTCCGACTCTTCGGGACCCCATGGACCAGAGCACGCCAGGCACTTCCTGTCCCCCACTGCCTCCCGCAGTTTGGTCAAACTCATGCTGGTAGCTTCGAGAACACCATCCAACCATCTTGTCCTCTGTCATCCCCTTCTCCTTGTGCCCTCCATCTTTCACAACATCAGGCTCCAAATATATTGCACATCAAATCAGAAAGAGACCAGGAGATTCTTGAAAACACCCAAAACAGAACAACAACAACAAAAATCCACGGTAAATTATGCCTAAAGATTCCAGTGGTGGTTCAATATTTTGGAAAATGTGCCCCAAGTCAATTCCCAAATACCAGGTTGGGGTAACCAATGTGGTGGCTACTTTCAGATATTGTTGGTCTACGACTCCCATAATCCTTGACCTTTGGCCATGTTGACTGAGGCTGATGGGAGTTGGAGTCCAGCAACATTTGGAGGGTCACATGCTGGCTACCCTTGATCTAGATGATGCGACTTTAGTAAATATGCAGCTCCATGTATCTTTAGGTGAGCTGTTTTGTCTCTAGTCTACTAAGCTCAGGAGCAAAGCAGCAGCACACGTAGGCAATATAATGTTTGGGACCTTAAGAAAACTGCAGAAAGGAGTAGGCAGCTGTTAGAAGGTCTGAATCGTATATGGCAGTTTCATATGTACATCCAGAACCCTTCTTATCACTTCTAACATCCTTTGCCCACTTTGATAATGGTGCCTTTGGCTTCTCTGATTTTATCCTATCGTGATCATTGTATTCCTTTGTAAGCACTGCAGTGAGGCAGTCTTTTCCCTGTCTTTTGTACATCTCTCGCAGGCAAAGCTCCTGCTACAAGCGGAACTGAGACACAGAAGAAACACAGGACCAAAAAGCCTTGATTTTTTTCTCTTAAAAAACCATGTATATTTTATGGTAAGTATGGGCATATTGCAGATGGCACCATATATGCAGTGAGTTTGCAATGGGAAATTTAGCTGAACTCGGCTGCAAAACTTGGCAAACAAAGTCTCCAGTAGATCAATGGAAACGCAAGCATAAAGCTCAGGCCATCAGCAGCTTCGACAGATAATGGGAGCTAATAAAACTTGGCAGGAGGAAGGACAACCCAAGGTCATATTTCCTTCCTAATTCTTTTTAAGAAAGGGAGAACAAGGGAATCCAATAACCTGCTTTGATCTCTATTCTTCTCCCCACTGCCCCTCCTCATACACTTCCCTCTCATTATTTCCTCTCCCCACTATGTTACTTGATGAGTTGACTACCCTGTTGTCTCCTCTAACCACTCCATGGTCCTCCATGATATTCTGGAGTCATGCTGTTTCTCCCTTTACAGAATCGCAGGAAATATGGCCGAGAGCAGGTCAGGTGAGAAGGCACTGAAGAGACACAGATGCACTTGCCTCCAGCTGGGGAGACTGGGGTCCCTTTGAGAAGCCTTGGATTGGAGTTTAGGAATGGTAATCTAGTCTGGGGGAGTTATAAATCAACCTCCAGCTTCTGTCAGCGCTCACCCAGTGCTCTCTTGCTCTCTGAACAACTCCCATAATGCCCCATACGCTTTTGTTTGAGGTCAGGACAGGACAAATGCTTACATTCTATATTGAGATCCTCATACTTCCACAGGGTAGGCAGATTACAAAAAGTTGCAAATTCTATTAAAGAAGTCCAAACTTAGATATAATCCTCATCCCTACCATTCCCCTATTGTAATAGTACAAGGTCAGTGTGGAGGTGAAATGTAACAGGCTTGAACCAGAGAGCCTGGCAGCAGGGCCCAGCCACATGACTCTCTATTTCTGACACCTAAACTGCATTGATGCTTTTGAATTCTGGTGCTGGAGGAGACTCTTGAGAGTCCCATGGACTGCAAGAAGATCAAACCTATCCATTCTTAAGGAAATAAGCCCTGAGTGCTCACTGGAAGGACAGATTGTGAAGCTGAGGCTCCAATACTTTGGCCACCTCATGAGAAGAGAAGATTCCCTGGAAAAGACCCTGATGTTGGGAAAGATGGAGGGCACAAGGAGAAGGGGACGACAGAGGATGAGATGGTTGGATAGTGTTCTCAAAGCTACCAGCATGAGTTTGACCAAACTGCAGGAGGCAGTGGAAGACAGGAGTGCCTGGCGTGCTCTGGTCCATGGGGTGATGAAGAGTCGGACACGACTAAACGACTAAACAACAACAACAACAAAACTGCATTAATCAATGCAAGTAAACATGTATTCCACTAGGGCAGAAGCGGGGAACCTGGGATCCTCCAGATTTTTTGGACTACAACTTGCATCAACCCAACCACAATAGCCAATGGTCAGGGAGTCCCACAATATCTGGAGGGCCAAAGGTTAGCCCAAACTACAGCCTTTGGGCTCCTATTGTGTTTCCAACAGGTTACCTGCACCCTGAGCTCACACTTACTTTCACAGTGCTTCCCATCTCTCTTAAGCTGGTAGCGTGTGTGGCACTGGCACCGGTAGTGGTCTTCACTCATCTGCACACACTCATGTTCACAGCCTCCATTATTGACGGCACAAGAGCTCACACCTAATACAATGAGAACACAAAAAAGCCAGAATGTCGTGATGCAGTTCTCCACCCAAATATCTGAAGTGAGGGCAAAAAGTGGAGCAACCTTTCACGCAGCAATATATCCTAAAGAGCAGATTGCCTTCCCAACATGTGTATTTTGACCCATCACCTACAATACTAGACCTTATGGCTTTAAGCAGGACCCTGGATGAGCTCACATCCTCCAGCCACTAGTACTGTGCTAAACACCATATGATCCCTTTGGTAAAGACATCTCCAAAAAGCTTAGTGATAAGCTGAAGACTTGCTTTTTGCCTTGGATGCATTACCTCCTTTATGCCAAAGCTTTATCCATCAACAAACTTCACACATCTGCTCCAAAAATGATCCTTGAAAGCAGAGCAGGGAAGGAAAAGCCTTGCTAACACTCTGATACAGAGGAAGCTGTGTTGCAGTCAGTCAGTCAGACCACTGGTCCATATAGCTCAGTAGCTTTTCAAGGACAGAGGACATTCCCTGCCCTATCTGGAGATGCTGAGGACTGATCCTGGGACCTTCTAAAGGATGGTCTTTTAACTATGTTAGCAAAAATACTTCCACTGCTGCAGCTAGAGTGAAAAGATTAGGATATAAGTCACAGAACTTGGGAAAGAAGAAAGGAAAACAAGAAACATTGGTCCATCCAGTGCAGTATTGTGCACACTGAAGCTCTCTGGGGCTACAGATTGAGGACACCCCATTACCTTGAAATGCCAAAGCTTGAACCTGGGACCTTCTGGGTGCATGGCAGATGCTCTACCAGTGAGCAACGGTATGCAAATATATATATACAGTGGTACCTCAGGTTAAGTACTTAATTCGTTCCGGAGGTCCATTCTTAACCTGAAACTGTTCTTAACCTGAAACACCACTTTAGCTAATGGGGCCTCCTGCTGCTGCCGTGCCACCGCAGCACAATTTCTGTTCTCATCCTGAAGCAAAGTTCTTAACCCAGGGTACTATTTCTGGGTTAGCGGAGTCTGTAACCTGAAGCGTATGTAACCTGAAGTGTATGTAACCCGAGGTACCACTGTATAGTCATCTAGCCAACAACCCAAAAGTGTTTCTTGAGAAACAGGTGCAACTGAACATGCTTGAGGGCTTGTGGGGAGTGGTTCCAAGATGGATGCCGGAAGAAAGGCTGCATAACAGAAACCATGAAATAAAACCAGTGATTGTTCATACTGGTTCACTGCCCTTCCCAAGCATGTGTGTATGTGTGTAGACACATAGCCCTGAGGTGATGGATGGCTGCTGGATTTCTCTATGGAGGGATGAATGACCTATTCAAGGTGTTGTCTGCGTATGTTCTCCTGAACCTGGTTCAGCATGGTAAGAGCTGGTTGTCAAGGGGGAGAAGGCGAATTGTAGCTTCAGGTTTTGCATTGTTCCGTGACACTCTTTTAAATGGGGCATTAAGTCTATTGCAATAAATTTAGGCACTGAGAGACCAATGTCCCCATTAGCTTATTGATTTAAGTCTCTTCATTAACCTTGGGCCTGAATTAAAAATAAAGCAACAGAAGTAGTTCTGTTAAGGTGAACGTTGGCCCTATTGGGACAACATCAGATTTCCTATTCAAAATTATAGCTACACATTTCTCACGTATTCATATTCTTGCTTTGCTTTCTGATGCATGACTTCCTGCTTCCATCCCCTAGTCTCCAAGATCTATAAAGACAGCTTCACGATTCTGCTAGAATGTTTCATGTTATTTGCATATAACCCAACAAGGAAGCGGAAAAGGACAACCTTTTCTTAAAGGATTCTCTCCCACCTTGGCTAGAATGGCAGGCTTAATGTTATCTTGTAACTATGCCAATGCACTGGCAACTCTAAGAAATTGCAAACAAGACATGTGTTCGATCCCCAAGCTCATCTAGCCCTCAGCTCAAAAACAAAGAAATACAAAAGAATGGATTCAACAGATGTAATGTCATTCATACCTAACCGAGCTGTTTTTCACATTTCAACCAGGAATCAATGGGAAATGGAATAACAATCTCTCTTGTGCTGATATGCAGATTTACAGAGAATTTTAATCCTTTCTACAGAACTTGGCTACAGCTTTTGACGCTTTATGCCCTATTGCTCTGGTATCTCAATTAAAACAACTCTCTGCTGTCATTTCACCACCAACTGTAAGAAAACTACAAATCTATGTGAATATAGGGTGAAAAGAAGACCATTAAAAAAAATATCAGGCCCTGCTAATTCTCTTTTTAACAACATGGTACGTGCTGGCTTCTTTTTTCTTTTTGTTATTTAAAATATCTTTGTCACCACTTTTCAAAATATTCTAAACCGTTAACAGAGAAAAAAGGAATATGGTTTTTTTTTAAAAAACGAAAATATATTTCTGTGCCACTTACTGTTAAGAAAATGTCAAACCAGTTCACAACATTAAAACACACATTAAAACCATTTCCAAATGTGAAAAAATCCGAATATCAAAGAAATATAGAACAGTGTTAAAGATAACCAAATGCCTGAGGAATACATTAAAATGCTTAATTTACCCAGAGCAGGAGAAAACAAGCTTGTTCCATCTTCCATGCGACATCCCTTGAGATATTAGAAGATGGCTATCATCTTCAAAGAGATAGAGTTGGGTGTCATCTGCATACTGAGGACACTACACTCTAAATCCCCCAAACTATTTCTTCGAAAGACTTTAACTAGATGTTGAAAAGGCGGGGCGGGGGGGGGCAGAACAGAAGCTTGTGGAACCCCAGGCCCAGTGGCCAAGGAGTCAAACAGACACTTCCCACCTTTTGAAATCTCTTCTTCAAGAAGAATGGAGCCCAAGTCCCATCCTGGCCAGACAGTCCAGAATAGTGCCATTGTTGAAGGTATTGAAAACTGCTGACGAGACTGACAGTGACATACTTTTCCTGCCTCGGTTCAAAGATTTTCTGTCAGGATAGGCCAGGCTATTTCTGTCCCATAATTAGGCCTGAACCGCAGTTGAAATGGTTCCAGATAACCTTGCATCATTTAGAGTTTTCCACTTGCATCTCTGAGAATAGACTTCTGAGGTCCATTGGTCTTCATAAAACTTTAAAATTGGCCCATGCGAAAGTACCAATCATGCTGATGAGGATGGGAAAACTTTTTTATTTTGTACCCAATACTTCAAATTTCATTCATTCAGAGAAGGTGCACCAGCACTTTCATTTAAAACTTTTCCTTGATCAAATTAGTTTTTATTAGCAAATATATTCCATATCTGACTAACTGACATAATTGTTTCAAGAGTTGTTGAAACTTTCAAATATTTTGATCCTAATACTGTCCACCCAAGCAAAGCTATATGTAAACTCTAAGGTTGCCCAATTCAGGAGATTAAGACAATTATATGTCTATTGGGATAATAATAATAATAATATACACATCTATATATTAATGTATGGTAATGTAACCGTATTTTTTCTTTTTTTCTTTTCATTCTCACTCACTCACTTTCTTTCTTTCTTTTTTCCCTCACTCTATGTTTTTTTTTAAAAAAACGTTCTTCTCCTTGATGAACAGAAAAAGTGAGCTCCAACATCTATTTTTAGTATAAAACTAACAAAAGTCCTGTTAGACTAACTGGTATATTTAGGACGACACAGATATCTGGCTATCAACTCAATCCCTCACAAAGCATTTCTAAAGGCTCTGAATTCTGAATGTGGGTTGAACTATAAGTTATAAATGTCACAGGGCTGCTGCCAAAAACACCCTCCAAGTTCTCATCTGTGAAGAGTAGAGACATACTTCATAATGCGATGTCATCACTTTGCAAGTTGTTCTGCCCCCGGCTAGCAAACGATGTGGAACCGGAGCGGGGGAACTCACAGTATGATGACAGTACATCATGAGATGGGTGTCAAGGGTGAGAATGCAGCATGGGTGTCAGAGGTGAGAACTTGATGTGGGAGTGTCAGTGTCAGCAACATCCCCATGACGCACAAAGTGTGTCAATCCTTACTTAGAATGCAGAGTATTTAGAAATGCTTCTTGAACAAAAAGAAGTGGTGAATGCCTGGCTATTTGACCGTACAGTGGTACCTTGATTCTCAAACTTAATCCGTTCCAGAAGTCCATTCCAAAACCAAGGCGTGCTTTCCCATAGAAAGTAATGCAAAATGGATTAATTCGTTCCAGGCTTTTAAAAACAACCCCTAAAACAGCAATATAACATGAATTTTACTATCTAACAAGACCAGTGATCCATAAAATGAAAGCAATAAACAATGTACTACAGTCACACAGTCAATCAATCAGTAGCTGAACTGGGTTCCACACAGTCACAAAAACAACAACAAAAGTTGCAAAAACAAAAATGCAAAATAAATAGCAAAAATGGACAGACCTCAGTGTAACACTCAAAACGGAAGTGTGGTACTCAAAACGGATGTGTGGCATTCAAATTGAAGCGTAACACTCAAAACGGAGCACGTTCAGCTTCTGAAAAAAGTTCGCATACTGGACCACTTTACTTCCAGGTTTGCAGTGTTTGGGTTCCAAGTTGTTTGAGTACAAAGGTGTTTGAGAAGCAAGGCACCACTGGTGTGTGTGTGTGTGTGTGTGTGTGTGTGTGTGAGAGAGAGAGAGAGAGAGAACACTAGAGCAGTGGTAGGGAACAGGATCCAGCCAGCAAGTTAGATGCCTATCACTCCCCGTCCCATGAAAGCCAAGTCTGCAATAATCACAGAATCGTAGAGTTGGAAAGAACCCTGAGGGTTATCAATGTGAACCTTCTGCAATGCAGGAATCTCAGCTAAAACATCCATGACAGATGACCACCCAACCTCCCAAGTTCACCACCTCCCAAGGAAGACTGTCCAACAGCTCTGTCACAAAGCTCTTTTTTGGGTGCAGTTCATCAGGTCCGGAAGTGCATTATAGTGCTTCCCATACTGCACATTAGAGTTATG